TGTAGAGAGAGTCCACTTGTATAACATACTGGTACTGTAACACAAGAATTGGGTTTCAAGTGGTTGCTATAATAATCAAACGCATCTTGAAATAACCTGTCTCTGCGTAAAAATGGCATGCATAAAACATTCATTATGTAAATAATGTTTGAAAAGGGGCTTGCATTATGAAATTGTTGCATGCAGATTTTNTGGTTGCTATAATAATCAAACGCATCTTGAAATAACCTGTCTCTGCGTAAAAATGGCATGCATAAAACATTCATTATGTAAATAATGTTTGAAAAGGGGCTTGCATTATGAAATTGTTGCATGCAGATTTTCTGGAGAAACATTGGTGGATTTTTAGTTTGAGGTGCTGAAATATGGTTGCAAAAGAAGCAGTGTCAAATGATAAGGCCCAATACAAAAACCCCTGGGATCATGCATCATCTATACAAACTTTTTGAAAATCATATTTGTCAGTCTTGAAGAAATCTAATAAGAACAAATTTGTGAGGATGATGTGTGGAACCCCTTGAAATTATTTTTGTCATTGATCTACAGCTTCCATATATTCAACAAGAACAAAATCAGTTGCATTTGGGATCAGAAATTTTAGACTGTGTTTGTCTTAGTCGGGAAATATCTACCTGGAGAATCTATTTGTCAAAAAAAAAATGTTTCATCCTTATTGAATTGGGAAGTTTGTTATAACAAGATTACAGTGAGACCCCCACATGTGAACACCTTGACCTGTGGACAATTCGACATAAGAACACTTACTTTCCCATAAAAAACTAATAAAAAAGGCCTGACATGAGGACACTGACTCAACATAGGGACATTTTGTGATAAAATTAGAAATACATATCAGGCCAAATTACAAGAAATAAATATTTCCAACCCTAAAATAATGTAAGAAAATTCCTTGGGCATTTATCTCACCAATTTACCATCCATTTAGCTAATTGAAAAATTACCTCAGCATAGAGGGACTTCTTTCTCTCACTTTAACTTGAATGATATTTTTATAGAGAATGACAAAATTTCTATTCACTGTACAGAGGTATTCAATTCCCCAAATGTCCATACTGTATTAGTGTATTGTCTTGAAATATATTGATTGAATCATTTGAATTTGGGAGAAGATTCGTATTTTCATGGAATTATGGTGAGTATTTTGTCCATAAAACACCAATTAAAAATTATATAATTTAAGTCTAAGGGAAAATTAGATTGGACTTGGGGACACTCTTGATGCACCAATTATGTCCACATCTGGGGTCTCACTGTATTTCAGTACATATACTGTATTTACTAAAGTACCACACACCCTCAAGTAAGGGGCACACAGGGGGTTTTCAGTTGAAAATTTTGAAAAAATCGTATCCCCAAGTAAGACGCGCACCCCAATTTTTAGTGAATCTAAAACCAAAAATTTCAAAAATAAAAACAAAAAATTTGACTTCAGGCATGAATTAAACAAAAATCTGATCAATTTTCAAATTTTTCAAAACAAAAATGTTTTCTTGTTATATGTGTTCCAAATTTCTCCATTATAATTAAGTATACAGTAATGCATACATAACTTCCTAAATCTTCTTTAAAATTTTGTACCCAATTATGACGCGCACCCCTTTTTTTCTTCTGAAATTTGGGAAAAAAGTTGCGCATGGTACTCGCGTAAATACATACAATAAAGTATTTTTTCAACCCACCTTTCTCCAACAGTAAGGCAGCCATCTCAAATGAATGCATGACCGCTGCTAATGCCAAGGGCGTTTTTCCAGTATCATCCAGAGCATTCAGGTCGTCGTAAAATCCCCTCTCCAGAATGAATTTTAAGGTACACACGTAGCCATTGCGAATAGCAAAGTGTAGAGGTTGTTTGACTTCCCCACGTTCTCCGGGATGACACGGCCGATAATGGTCTCTCTTACTTGACTTTATTTCCAAAAGTGCTTCTTCAGGCCCCGAGTCCAAGGAAATCCTTTTAATGTTCTTATACAATTCCGAGGAATCGTCGTTCACTGCCCGGAGCAGCTCTTCCAAAATCTTATTGTCCGTGGTTTTGAGCAATAGGGCGTTTCCGCGATCGTCCCGTAGGTCGACAGGCACTCCCATTTGCAACAAAGTTTGCACAGATGTCGCTTTGTTTGTTTCAACGGCCTTTGTCAGAAGGTGAGCAGCTATTGCAGCTGCGGAAACCGCGCAATTTTTTGAATTTGCGTAAGGTGTTAAGCAATTGCTGACTACTGATGTTGGGTATTGCTGACGGTATTGGCCCCGTGTTTCATGGATTAGCAACAAAATTGCTGCAAAACCGTTGAAGAAGGTTCCAATAAGCAGCGGGTTCCGAAACATCCCGAGGTTTCTGGAACTTCTCTGAAAATAAATTACGCACTGTTATTATACCCCGGTATTACCTGCTGAGAAAAGTTAACGAGACTGAAAAATAATAACTTTACGAAAGGTTTAAAATAAACTATGCGCATTTGTAGTAGTCCCAGTTTTACTACTACGTTATAACACTAATTAAGTAAAGTTAGTTGGACTTGAAAGATGTAAGAAATTGTAACAAAGCAATCGACTTGGGCTCCCATTGCTTGAACAGTGCTGGACATTGTGTTCGATATGACACCACTTGAAAATCGACCATCTGTTTTTTTTTTTTTTAAAAGAGAATCGCAGATTTTCTGCGGGAATACGAGTATATGTGGCTGTCTGTATATAGTTTTTGAAGCAATGAAAGAAGCATTCCTATGCTTTACTTTCATGTTGACCAATGTATTTAAGAATTTACTGGAGAAATTTCCAAAGAATCTGCAATGGATCAAGCATGGGAATATTTGATAAGGCTGTATACAGTCATCCTCTATTATTGAATATTTTGGAAGTCTGGAGTCACTATTTTCATGCATTTCTGAAGCTCACAATTGCAATATTCGGTGGTTAATAATGTACTGTTTTTTTAATATTGGGCTGGACTTTCCAGTTTCCATTAGAAATGGAAAGTTCTTCAACACGCCTATTAAAGAATTTTTTATCTATTTTTTTATATTTCTTAATTCTTTTTATTTCGGGGCACCAGCACTGTAAAATGGGGACTGATCAGCTATTATAACCGCGGCGAAGACTTGTGAAAAAAACCGTTCTCAAATAACTTGCAAAATATATTTTGAAGCAGGAATTGAATGACTTAGTCAACAAGAATCGCTTCAAGTTTCCACTGAGCTCAGATAAGTTCATTTTCGGTTTGCATGCATTCACATACAGTATGTTGGTACAGTACTGTAGTTCCAAAAAATGATAAGCTTTTACTCAGTGGAGGCAGCAGTGCTCAGCTGATAATGGACCAAAGAGACTTCGTTAGCTTTTCAGATCACTAAGCTTGTAGAATTCTCTTATTTTTGGTAACCAGTTGAAAATCAATAAGTGAAGGAACTTTTCAGGTTTAAAAAAAATGGCGCACTGCATTATCTATTTTGGATGTTACTTGTGGATTAGTTTGTTGATTATGAATTGAATGAGATACTGTACAGTACAACAGAAGTTATGTGAATTTTGATTTTTCAATGGCTTCTTTTTACATTTTTGTTCCTATTATTTAGTGGATTATTAAGGCCATTTAGTTTCTCATGTTGGCCCAAGCTTTTGCTTTACTCTTCCATCCTTGGATGTTCATGAGGCATTCAGGAGTATCAGGACAGTTGCGTTTGCACATCAATAATAGGGACATCCAACTCTGTGGTTGAAGGACCCCAACCATTTCCCTCTTAGAGTATTCATTATAGAAGGGTTCTAGTAAAAAAGTTCAAGGATACCACCCATGGGTGTTACAATAAACTCAGAACTATTCGCATACAAGTTGCTATGAAAAAGTATTCTGCAAGGTCGCAGTGACTTGGCTGTAAATGTAATATTTTGCCTGAACATCAGTCAGGAACTCAGGATTGCTCAAATTATATTCTCCACTCCCCAGCAAATGCAGTATTAAAAACTTTAAAAAATAAACAGTTCTAGAGGTTCTTGGTTTGCTGGTAATGTTTTGAATTAATGGAAGAATTTACTGTGTAACCTTGTACAGGAAACAAGTCTTGCTCAACATAAATTCTGTTTTGCATAACAAAACGCATTCCTGGTCAGGACAGTTTTGTCATACAGAAACTAACCATTAATTAAGTTGAAATGTTAAATGTCATTGTAGAGAATTCCCATGTACCGCAACTTGCTTATCCTGCAAAGAACGGAGGTTAGGGAGTTGTGCACATCTTTTAACGCGCTTTGGTCTGACAGCAGCCTTTCAGAGAAAAAGTACTGGAAAACGCAGTTCATACTCACTGAAAGTTGAGGAGAACCCTTGGTTAACAAACTTTTTTCTGGGGAAAATCGCAATTTCGAGAATTAAAAAATCGGTTTGATGCAGAAATTTACAGGATAATTTCAGCGTAAATAATTCACCCAGGCAATTTCCCACAGGCACTTTGATATGTGTAATCTTGTGTTCTAATATTTGCTTCAACTACCTTACCCATAGCCTTTTCTTGATTTTCTGTGAATTATTATTATTGGATTTTCTATGCTTGGTTTCTTAATTGTTCAATTGCCAGAAAGGTCAATTTGATCTTCACTTGTTGCCTTAAAAAAGAACTTTATTTTTCACCAGACATGTCTCATCAAGTGTGTGTTTATCTGGATGTGAGACTTTTTATCTTTGTTCTCATCAGTGCTATACATAACACTGTAAAGTGTGAACACATTCCGGGCAGACACAAGATGCAGCAACAACTATATTTAGATTATAATTTAGTTGGTCTTGAATTTTTCTTATATTCAACATTCAATTGTGTTTTGGGTTCACAGAACAAAAGAAATTCTTCTCCCATTGAAGTCTATTTTAAAATTATAATTTGATTAATAAACTTTTGTCCGGAATTAATTAAGTTTGTTGAACCAAGGGTCCACTTGTACATTGAATAAGACAAACTTATTTGAAGATAACAGTATAAAAACTGGCTTTAATCCAACGGATTCACCCGACCAACAGGATGCAAGCTGACCGGCTCCAACGCCATCGCTGCACTAGTCAAACACAGCGTGCGAATATTATGCAACGGCAAAACCCCGGGGTCCCTCAACAACGTATCAAACAGGTCCCAAGCCGTGATTTTCCCCGGCTCATATCTCGCTACACTGGCGCAAGAGGCCGCCAGCGTCGCGGCTCTGGCCAAGCCTTCATCTCTGGGCATCGGGAACCTGGGGAACATCACTTCGGCGCAGTCGGGAACCAAGTCTATTTCCGCCGGGGTTTCTTCGGGTTCCGCATTCGCATCCATCGCGTTGGAACGCATTTGCTTGTCCAATTCGGTGCAGGAGAACAGACCGTCGGCTTTGTATCTGCGGAAGGGTTTTTGTCGCAAGAAAGGATCTCCGAATGAGGACGCGGATGCTCCAAAACTGTGTGGAATCTGTGAAGCAAAAAATTTCATCTTCCAACTGCGATCTCACAATTACATTTTCGTTTTTGTGACAAAATCTGTAAGGCTCAGGGAAAGTTAAAAAAAAAAAACACAAAATTCCAGATAAACTCACAAGATTTCTTTTAAAAAAAAAAGGATAGCTCACAAAATTATACTGTGCATAACTAATAAATGAAGTTACACACGCATGATCAATCAAGCAAGATGGAATCAATTTCCAGAAAACTTCCACGAGAGAAGCAGAAATTCATGATTTTCTCCACAAATCCTACTTGCCAGAAGTGTTGCAGAATTAAATTCATTCATAAATTATCTAACTCATCTATTGAAGTTACTGTTTCACCTCATCCTCACGCTTGTGAGTTAAAAATCTTGGTGGGCAATATTTTCATGATTTTGTAATTCTCTTTGACGAAACAAAAGGTTACTTTTAGAAAAATGGACGTGGCTTGTGCAGATCACAGGCCTAAATTTTAAACTATGTAGAAGTCGGAACCATATTTTTGTAATGGAGGTATGAGCATTGGTATACAGCACTGTTTTGCAATTGATTGCATAATATTTCAAGATTTTTGACTGGTTCTTTCTGTATTGTTATTGTGTTTTAAACGAGTTCCATCCCTAAACTTCTCTGCTATTTTTAGTAGCCGAATGTTTTGTGGTTCATATAATTTTTTACTGATACTGCCAGCGACGAAAAAGGGTCTAACATTTGACCAAAGCAAATGTTGCCAATTTCTATCCTAAGGTGGCACAAATACGGTATACAGTACTGTACTGTATTTCTCAGATTTAAGATTAAACCGCTGCGTGGTTGCATTACTGCCTTAGCTTTCAGGTGTTCTCAGATCCAGAAACACATTTTGGGCACTTGAGACTCCAAAAAGAAGAGAACTTCTCCACTTCAAAATTACGAAAAAAAATTCAGGATCAATATGAGAAAGAAAAAAATCAACTTGCAGTCCCGTGCATCAAGAACGATTTGCGGCTTTTGACGATGCTCTGCAAGATATTCTTCAGCATTTGCTTCAAGGCATTCGTCACCAATTCCGCAACACTATCAGCAACCTCGGTAATGTCTTTCTCGTACGACAGCGTCAAGATTCTTCCGTGAATCAGAAACGGATCAAGCAAACACTGTTCCCGCAAGGCATAGTGAAGGGAAAACTGGTGCTCGACTCTTCCGTGCTTCACTCCATCCGAAAATGCCGAGCCACTCATTAAAATATCCACTGGATCCTGGGGTCTGAACTTGACTTCATAAGCCATCCTATGTTGAAAATCAGAAGATAAATTTGACGAATCATCAGTTCATGCGACTGAAAGCAGAGACCTCAGTTTTTTTTTTTTTTTTTTTTTGGGACACCCCGTATATCGGGAATCTTGCGAACAGAATCGGGATGCCAACGATTTTTGCGTCGGATTGTAAACCGCAGGTTGTATGAAACAATGACCAGCGCTAATCCGCAGAAGTTTTTTGCCAGTCCACAAGATATCATTTTCAGAGATAAAAAAAAATCAAAAGTAGCAATGAAGTCCGTTATATTTATCTGGAATTTGGGAAAGACATTGGCAGTTGAAATTATCTGATGAAAAATAGAAGTTGGCTTTTCTCCCAATATCACCTCAAATTTTTACCCGCTGAAATAAATCAATTTCATCTTTCATTCTGAGAAATTTTCGAAGTCCAGCTTTCTAATGTTTTGAAGACTGTAGCTGCTTCATCGGTTCTAAAATGGATTTTGCAACAACAAAAAACACGAACATTTTCAATACCTGCCAAAAGTCTTTCAAACAAGAAGTTTTGACTCAGCAAAAATTTCATAAAACTTTGCTGGTCTGCAGAATTTTTTTTTGGAAATTTGTCTGTCTGTGAAAAATTCTATGAAAAATTTGCAGGTGTGTGGGCCCAAAAAGGTCGGGGAAAGCTGGAATAAAACAGGCCACGAAAAAACATATCGAAAATGTGCGTTCAAAAATTGTGTTGAATACGTTAAATCAGTAAAAAAATTACAAATTATTAGAGCAGGCGACTGAAAGCAAAGACCTCATTCACTTTTCCGATTGCCAGGATATCGGAAATCTTGCGTAGCGAACTCGGGCTGCCATCGATTTTTCATATCAGACAGTACTCCCCAGTTGGAAAAATAACACGACACGAAAAATTGTCGGAAATGAACAACTCAAAAAGGTATGTTCGATAAGAGTCGAAACTTACCTCCGGGATTTCTTCCGCGACTTGGTGGGTCGGTGTCGACTTTCAACCTCCTTCGCTTCCAATTTCACTTCAGTTTTCAAATCACCCCTGGCGACATTAACGTCAGGGGCCTCCGTCTTGACATCCATCGAAAACATGGACGACGATCCCATGGTAACACAGCATTTCTCCAAAATACCAAGAACTAATCGATTGTGCAAGTAAAGGTGTTGTGTTGTGAGCAACTCTTCGGCCTGGGCATCGAACTCATCTTTGCTCATGGACGATTTGAACCAGCGACGAAAGAGGGATAAATACAGCGGAAACTTCGACCCGAGAACATTTTTCAACGAGTTTCTAGTGGCTGTGACATCATTCGAATCCATTCTGCGGGAAACATAGTAAGTCAAACATATCAGTGGCTGAATTGATTTCGTCATGCGAAAATAAGAATTAATAAGAGGAATGTAAGAAGGGGTAACATTCGAAGTTATGCAATTCCTCACACGTCATGACCTTATGGAAAAATTGAAACCGAGTCGAACAAAAAAAAAGAAATATTTCATTCCGTCAAAGTGATTTCAATCGCAATGCCTTTTTTCCACGCTCATGCTGAAATCGATACCGTGATTCCTCAGAAATAAGACCAAAAATTACTGTACATCATTTCGAGGTCGAAAAAATCCCCGGAATTAAGTTTCAGAATGCTTAAAAACAATCAAGAAAAACTATACAAAGGCTTCAATATATCGAGGTTCAGAGTAATTTATTTCTCCATGACAATAGCATTACAGCAATTGCTAGTTTTCTTCAATAACTGTCAGTTTTCCACAAATTACACAAAATTGTATCTTGAATTTTGGTCTATTCTAAATTGAGAAAATTGATTGTATTCAGGCATTGGTCTGAAAATGTAGAACGATTATGCAACAGCAATATATAAAAGACGGAATCTTGACTCCAGGATCAAATTTAATTGATTTTTACTGAGATGTATGATTTGATGTCTATACCTGTAATATTCACGTGTTCATAAAAATCCATGTTTTCAGCATTAATAGTTTTTACCTTCGGAAATGTGTCGAATAGTTGGCCTTTTTTTATGCATCCCTTCGCTTGAAAGAAATTTCGTTTATCTTTTGGATACATCTAAGTTTTGGATAAACTTTGTGGTCACCCGGGTCCCCGAAATTTGCGATTTTGTAAGATTCATTTCTGAGAAAACACGGTAATTATCTGCATCACGTACTCGGAGTCGGCAACACGCATGGGGACAGTACGGTACTACTACTGTACTTGAAAACATGAACGCCAACTTGAACAAAATATCGGTGCACAGCATTTGGCAGTTCCTATAGTCTCGTCTGTGTCAACGACACACACACGAAAAAGATACAATCCCGAACCGGCACGCACAAAAACGAACTTCACATTTACAAAAAAAGATGCATAACGCTTTACATTCGATTACCTCAATTCGCGAGTCGCGCCAAATTTCCGGAATAAAACACGCTCTTGCACGCAAAAACAAAAAATTTCAATACCGTACATCGAAGAAACTCGCGATCATCAAGGGATCCGGCCCGAAAATAAAATACTCGATAGTAGGGAGAGAGATCAGCGAAGAGAGTTTTTGATGAATCATTTCATTGTTCAAATAGGATGCTGAAAATCAAACTCATTCTGATTCATTCTAGCAGGACTAAAATGTGCCGAGAAGCCCTCATACTGTCATCCAGAGCGACGTCATTATAACCGTCATACATACACATTTGCCGTATCAAAGCAATGTCAACGTTCTTCATCGAAACCTGTCCTGTGCTTGGATTCAAATTGAATGAAATCAATATTTCTACTCCAGCCCCCACGCCTTAGAAACGGCCGATTACTCAAGAATCGAAATCGTGTAAATCCAGTCCCGACTGAGTCATCAATAAAAACGTGCTTTTCGTTCGTGCGGATAACTTTCGGGTTTGTCATATGATATAGGAAACGCAATTTCAGAATATCTTGTCCGCATGAACTTCCTTCATCCTTAAATCTCTGAATTCGGCTGCAAAGGTCTATGAGATCTCTGCACATGCGCAGTTAAATTCGCGCGCCAACGAAACGTTCGCGTGCACTCGCTGCACCTGAACGGCCTTGACTCATCATGTACTTGCAAATGACGCACCAAGTACTCTTTCACACTAAAAACCCGATTGCAAGTCGGACACGGAAACACCTTCTTCTGGTTTGGGATCGAATGCCGGATCAAATGACGGGACAAGGTGCGACGCAGGAAAAAGGCTCGGTTGCAAATTGAACACACGTGTCGTGGTTTCCGGAGATGCTTGGGCAGGATTTTCGGATTCGTGCCACGACCGAAAGCCTTGTGTGCTGATAAGTGGTCGTTCAGGGAGGACTGACGAAGAAACCCTGCACCACACAACGAGCACACAAATGGTCGATCTTCCGCCTTCTTATGTGTGTAAGAATGAGCCTGCGGATCACAATGACGTCACAAATCAAGAGAAGGTTACATTGATTAAGGTTCACCCAAAAACAACGAAAATCAAAAAGAACTCATAAAAACTCGTCCTCCTAATTGAAACAACTCATGATGATTAAAAATGGATACAGTATACAGTAACATTACTTTGGGCGCACGACATACACAGAATATCCAAAAAACGGTGTCGTAATTAAAAATTTCATTCGAAAATATTTGTTTCCATTGGTTGCGCATGAACGTGCAGGACGTCAAAATTATGTTGATTAATTAACGGAGTTCGGGACTTCTAATAACGAATGAAAAATATAAATTAAATTTTGGTCACTCTTAATCGTCGCGTCAAGAAATGAACGGACTGTAAAATCAAGTTAGTATGTCACGTTTTTTTCCCCAGTCAGTAATTCAAACACGAAGCAAAAACGAGATTCAACGCATGAATTCGAAGCTAACAGAGAAGTTTACTTCAGTGAACTACTAATTTCACGGCTTCAATCGTGAGTGAAATGAATCGGGAAAAAAAACGTTTCAAATACTCAGTTTAATGTCCACGGAACTCACCACAAGATTGCACTTGTGCGAAAATCCTCTCCCGCAAACATTGCACTTCCATGGCTTGTTCGTAACATGAACAGCCAGATGCAGACTCATGTTCTTCACCACTTTATGACACAATACACAAGCTTGTCCTCCTGCTGTTTGGGCTTCGGCACTTCCCGGATGCACGGTGAGAAAGTGACGATTCAACAGCGCTTTGTGCATGAATGACACAGAGCAAATACCGCACACATGTTTCCTGGTTCCGTGTCTCTCTTCCTCGTGCCAACGAAGTTTCGCTTCCGTCACGAATATCTCGGAGCAAGAGAAACAAGAGAAAACCGACGTCCGGTGCGACGCAGAATCGTCCCTCAGGTCTTTCTTGGGCTTTGCTTTCACGAGACGCTTTTTCGTAACGGGCTCCAAGGGAACTTTCAAGTCTTCTTGTGTATGAGTCGCTCGGTGTTTGGAAAATCGAAATCTACCATACACCACAGCTCCGCATCGCTCACACGTGAATCCGCGATGAAAACTCATCGCGTGGCACCGGAAATACCTAAGTTGCTTGAATATCTTCCCACATTCCATGCACTTGAAAGCTTCGTCATTCCCAGCGATTTTCCCGACGCGGAAAACATGCTCAGCTGTGTTCCTCCCGATACGAGAATTCACAGTGATGAAATGTTCTTGCCACAATAAATCCGCAGATTCCGGCTCTGCCGTTAGTCCGTGCTCCAGTTCCTCTTCATTCGCCTCAAATTTATTCACGATCTTCGACAGGTTGTCAACGATTTTAAAATGGTTCTCGGCTTTCCAGTCCGAAACTCCTGCGCTGGGTTCAGTTTCAAAGTGTTCGGGCGGGAAATTCGCATTAGAAGATATTCTTTCAATGTCCGGAGCGAAATTTGACGTTTTGTTGCTCTGAGATGCGGCCACAGGAACGTGCCAGCTATTTGAACCGTGGGGACTCATGGATGGTTCAACCGCAACAGCATACTGTTCAACTTCCACTTGTGGAAGAGATTCGACTGCTTTCGCCTCTGAAGCAACTTGAAATTTGTCAGGGCTTTCGTTATTGGCCTCGACGGAAACTTGCCAGGCTTCAGAGGCGGCCTCTGGCGAAGGAAACGCAGCTTCGCTTTCCATATCGCACGGCGATAAATCATGACTGTTTTCGGTTTCCTCCTCCAACTGAGCATTTTGAGTGAGACCTCGACGCTTGGAACACGCAGATTCGGATGGAGATGCCGGCGAAGGCAGGACTTTGATTTTCCCAGACTTCCCTACAATCAAACGCATGGACTCTTCATTCTCCTCTTCGGAAGATGACGAACTATCGTCCATCGACTGTAGAAGTTCAATCAATGCTCCTAGAAGCTGCATTCTGCGTCGCTTTTTCTTCTTTTTCCGATTCCCGCGTCTCATTGACGCAATTGAAACGTCACTGTCTGCTTCGTCTTCTCTGATTCCTGTCTGAGTACCCGAAGTGAGCCTCGTCGGTCGATGGTTTTCTAGAGGTAGATTCTGGACCACAGATGGAACGCTGGTGAAAAACATGCGTCTGCATTCCGCAGCATCGGTTAGAAGCACAGGCACGAATTGATTCGCTGTGCCTGCTCCAGTGAATGGTTGCAGAAAGGAGATCTGCGCAGGGGGAAGCATTTGACAAGGGATCGCGTCACTGGGTACACCATCGGAACTCATTGTGAATCGATCTTCACAAAACAAACATAAAATCTGAAATCAAACGAATTAACACTCATATCATAAGCGGAAGGCCAATAGTGAGACCAGAAATATTGGTTGCATTGCATCAAACTTCGCGTCGAACACAATAGTTCGACTTGTGCAGCAAAATATAGACTCGGTCCTTCCTTCAAAAATATAACTTCATATACTGTACTGTTAACCAATATCTGAGGGCCAAGAATCAAGTTGATTATGATTTAGCCCTTTACAGAGGATGGAAAATCTTCGTGAGAGATCTGTTTCAAAATGTACAGAATTCAATGGAATCAATTTTTGATACTGTACATCAACCTTTCTCGAGTCGAACTTTGAACGACCAGCAAAAAAAATCGAGTTCGGGAGGTTTTGGCTTAGACGTCAAGCATTTCTGCTGGGAAAAAGAAAGAAAAATCATAAGAAATTGTAATTGGTGATATTCTTGGCCTTAATTGCTTCTTGAATGAGTTGATAAGATGCTGAACTTGCAGGCAACGCTTCATTTGGCGAACAAAATCCCTCACTTAATTTCAGAACACACCAAGTTACATTTTTTTTATTTCCTCTTTCTTGTGTAAATGACAGAAAAATCAAAATGTCTCCAGAAAATTTCAATTATGGAAGTTCGAGTTTCCTGTGCATTGCTTTTAAGGGATTTAAGACTGGGACTTGGAAATAATTCGACATAGGGAGGTTTGAGTTATCGAGGTTCACCTGTATCATAGCTTCTCGATTAAGATACGGTCGGTGCAATAACTCAGGTCAAGGAATGATTAATTTTATAAATACTCTCTCCAATTACGTCAAAAGTCGGGAACACTTAGGCTGTTGGGCATTAAAACAATCTCATAAAAAAGTGAAAACGGCAATTCGAACGAATATTATCAGTGTACGTCATCAAAAAACGTCAAGAAACAGTTGCCCCGGCATAATTCCCATTCGTGAACGTTGCAGGGGAACCCGTCGTGTTCCATTAGCTCAATTTCGAAACTCGACGCCCAAATTCCTAATGAAACATCCTCACTTCGGTATTTCCGTAAATTCTGAGCATTTCGCACAAGCATTTCTGCAGCGGGACGATTCAAAATATATCCCGCGCCACATGGAAACGCAGGGTACATGGACGACGAATACAGCAAATCCGCCCACTTTCCATGCCTTTGAACGGCACGTCTTTTCCGGAATTTCGACATACAGAAGGCTTTTTCATGGGAAGGCAATCTTCGCAGGGTGGATAGGATATCACTAAGATTTGGCAGCACATCGTCGTCAAGTTTCATAAGAAATGATGCTCTACTCTCCATGAAGTCTGTAAGGGCATGGATTAACTTGAGCGTTAGGTTTGCGTACGTATCCATAATCGGAGCCAATAAAATATCCTGATGAGTTAAAATCTCGTTCTGAATCTGACTTTCAATAAGATCTGAAACTGAACGGTGCTCAGCATCGGAACGAGCATGGAACATTTGACTATCTTCACTGATGGGTTGTTTTTCAACAGAAATCGAGAATAGCAGGCGAGAATTCACAACGTACTCCGATGGGATATCGCTGCTGCTTGAATACATCGCAGTAATTTCGCCAACGGAAAACAATTTCGCAGAGCTCCGAAAGCTTTCGGATGAAAAGTTGGAAAACGAATTAGTGCAAATGAAAACTGCTTCACTCGCGCGGGGAAAAAAGAGTTTGACCGATTTACTCGCAGGTAATGATCCATTCATGACAGCGGGAATGTTAAATTCTAGCGTTCCGATTACCTCTTGCGAATTTGCTTCCAAAATTACAATTTCTGAGCACGCATTTTCCTTCGTAACGCTGATCGTGGTCACGAACGAGTCAACAAACGCACGCCACGAAAATCCGGCATAAACGACGTCATCGCGAACGTTAGATTCATACACGAACATGGAATTGTGGTCAGCACCGACCGGTATACCTCGACAATCCCATTCCGTGGCTCGTTTGAACCGAGGAATATCACAGCCTTGACTTCCTGCAACCGAAATAAAAATATGTTCAGCTAAGCCCTCTCAAAAGGCCAGAATAACTCACCGATCACAAATTTGAAATCAATTGTATCGTCATCGAGACGAATTTCACTCCTTAAACGTTCGCGGTGATGGAAGTTCTCGCGTGCAGAGACTATGTAAACCAATAGCTCCGGTGGATTGAGTAGGATGAAACTTTGAAATATCCAAACGCATACCGCAGAAGCCACGCCCAATACTCCGATCAACCAGAGACAAACCCGCATCACAAATTTACAGAATGAACATGCATCTCTTGCCTCGGATTCACTTCGGGCCACAATCGTTAAGATTCGCCCATTACATTACTGTACCAAGTTATCCTGAACTGCTCTATCTATCAACATTCGTACCGACCGCCGGCACAGTAACGTACTGCGTCCGTCCAGCATCCCATTACACACATCGCGAGACGTTTTGGTTTTAATTCAACGGAAACCGGAGACAAAAAGGAAAAATTGCGACAATGGATGTAGAGGAACAAAGTACATGTCTTGAGTAATTTTATTCAAGCGCAAAGGAAGCCAATAGAAATTGCAATAACAATGAATGCAGTGGAACAAAGAACATAATCATGTTTTGAAACCTTCTATTCAAGCTTAAAGGAAACCGCAGTTAAAGAGAAAAAATTTGCAACAATGAATACTTCAACAAATAGGACGATTAACAAATGCACAATATTAACGCTGATCATCCTCGTCTAATAACGCCTTTGCTCGCCAATGGCTTCGTACGTTTCAGGACAGTCTTCGGTGCTGGTTTCTCCTTCTCCAAGGATGTCCCAGATTCGCCTTCGACTTCGATTTTATCCGGGTTCCCCGAATGTTGAGCAACTGATTCCGCATATTTCAACTTATAAGCGTTTGCTATGAGTTTCACTACGTCTTTCTCAGTCCAGTCGGAAGTCGGCAAGTTTTGCAGAAACATAAGCAACGTTTGAAAGTCAGATGACGATAAAATTGTTTCCCTGAATGTTCGCAGCAGCGCTGTGTACAGATACACATAAAATGTAGTGAATCCATCTGGCTCAGCTATGCAAGTGTCCCAAAGCCGTATGAAGCAGTTCAGAGGGAGCTCTCGCATCAACAGGTTGTTCATCCAACGGAAAGCGAACTGAAAGTAGAAGTCCCTTTTGTTTTCTGCTCCTAATTCAGAAGCTGTCCGAATCATACCTGTAAATATTCTACACCGCAGTTCGCTAAATGCGAATGCAATTCCGGATCTACTCGTCGGACGAGATCTTCCATCAATATAACCGAAAGCTGAATCCCAGGCTGACTTGCTGTGTAATTGCTCTGGATATTCTTCAACAAGTTTTTGAAGCACCAGTAAGCATCAGCTTCTATGTTTTTGACGTATGCCTCCTATGTGAGAGATGATTTCATTAATACGGCACCAAAGAAAAATAATTTAATTTTCTTTTGTTGAGTTTTTCGATACTAGTTACAAGGTGGTCACAGAAAATGCGCAACATAACGCTGATCCTGACAATTAAAATGCTTTTAAATAAAACATGGATGGAAATCCGTGCTCAGTAAAAGGAAGAACATCTTACTTGCAAGTATTTCCCTATTTCTGCATGAATACTGGGGTCCTGGGACTCGATCATCTCGTGAGGAACATATTCATGCGCGAAGACCATAATAAACGGTGTAAGCAGATCATTCAAACCCTGAACGTATCCCGCGTTAGGATGCCTCAATGCCCAAACAAACAGAACCCTATCGTAAATATCGATCATCTCCGGCAATTCCAACATGGGATGTGCGAGTCTCATGCGGGGCAGATCAATGCGTATCTGCTTCCTGATCTCCTCGTAAGCTTCTCCGACAGCATCGAAATGTTTATGAACGTAGTTCCAATATTTGGTCCGGCGACGAAGCAGGAATTCGTCCCACAATTGAATGTTCAATGGGAGAAAACTCGAGAGAATTTTCCAGATCGCCGGGCGGATTTGATGGGGAACACCTGACCAACAGCACGTTTTGAGTTCTTGGATATCAATCACGGGTCCTTTGAGGATCTTCATGAACCGATCCAGTTTCTGACGACGAGTTTCGCAGGTGTCGCAGAGGCAAGTGCTGCTCGGGCTCTGGTGAACCACAGGTATGGTTTCCTTCCCTGCCGTTCTGTTCTGCGAGCATTTTGAATAATTTGAATCGTCGACATTAAAAAGTGAAATGCTTTTCGGCTTACAGTGAAAACATGAAGAGGCCGAACAACGAGAGTACCTAATTTAATTCCTACAATTAGGATTACGTTGTTTGAATCATTCATTCTTCAAAAACCTTGACGATACGCATTATTCACAAAAAAATTGAATGCCTGCATAAATTCACACCTACCTTCAAGGGCACTCTTTGTCGGACATCTGAAGACCGTTTCACAGGTGTGATCTTTGCCTTCGGAGTTAATCCGCGGCTCGAAGGTTGAGACTTCGTGCTTTTCAAGCTTTTACTTGAATCCTTGAGCTTCAGCGAAACGTCCAGCATCGGTTCTCTGATGCAGTCGCCCGCTTCATGAACACCGCTTATACCAGCTTTTTCCTCTTTGATGCTGTCGTCTTTCTTCATGTAGATGTCGAGCAATCGCTCGGGATCGTCATACACCACGTCTGTAACTGCATAGGTTTCCACATCATGACCAGAGGGGTAGGGCACCTGCAGGTCCCTCAAGACTTCTCTTCCTGACACCTAATCCAGAAGGCAATATTGTACTATACATTTTTCATAACTGGGTACTGAACAATATATTTATGTCAAAGTCCTTTTCCTAGGAACGGTTTGCAAAACTGGCTCTACATAATGAGCTGCTGCAAACCCCGTCTTCCTAGAATGCCCTGAACAATGCTCTAACTCAAGAACTCCCAATTTGACTTTCAGGTTGATCCCATCTTGACAGAAAATATTACAAGACTTCCATAGCTAGATTGTTTGAACTGTAAAAAATGTATTCATTATTTATATTACAGTATTTTGTCACCTACATGAATTAAAATTGAATTAAGGACATCAGATCTAATTTTTAAACCTCTTGATTGTTCAGTGGCTGAAGCGCGGGGTTCGCTTCAGTCTGCTTGGGCCTCTGATGCACATCCAACCTTCCAGTTGTGTTGACCACTGTCACTGGACGAGGCAATGCCAGAGGCATAGGATCTAAACTAGTATTCCAGGGACCAGGTGGCACCCGTTGTTGTGGCTTGAAAGAAGGCCCACTGCGAGTGCTTTCCAGCTTGGGGGCTGGCTTGAAATTAATGGGAACTGGAGGACGTTTGTTCTGCTGCTTCAGCTTCTCTTTCAGATATCGGGGGTGAGTTGGTGGCAGTTCATCTGCATATCTAACTGGTGTTGTGCACGTCGTACGTTTCGGCACACTCGGTTTCGGGGTCGCATCAATGACCTCATCGTTTCCTGATGGCTGGAATTTGAAAAAAGAATACCCTCTCGATCGACACATTTTTCAAACCTAAAAAATTAATCGATCCAAAAAAGTTGAGCTTGTTCAGAAAGTTTGAAGTTGAAGAATTGAAACTTTCTTTTCATTCGCGAGGGATCCTTTTAATTCACATGACAATAGGAGTGATTCCACGACTTGCGAACAGCTGCGGCTCATTAAATTCAGATGCAATCGTGACAGATGGTGAACATTTGTACCTCAAAAATATTTTAAATTTCAATTTCAATTCCTTTATTTCACTTCGCGTCGAGTGTAGACAAACCATTTCTTAACCTGCTCGAATTGGAGTCTAGCCGAAAAAGATCAGTCCACCCTCCTGAATTTTCAACAATTTTCGAACATACAACTCATTAACCTGCACTCGAATCGAAAAGCAAACGCGTTAATTCAAAATTTTTGTTGTCGAAGGTCACCTTTAATAAGAGGCTTCTTAAAAAATATTATAGCTATGGATCCGGGCGGAATTTTTCTGAAAACCAGTTCTGCATTTTAACTTGTAGTGCAAGACTGGTTTTCTGAAAACCAGTTTTGCACTGTCATATTCTGGCTCCATGAGATAACCCCGGAAGAGAAAAAAATCCCAAGACTCGAAAATCCCGTGCGGTCGTAGAAAACCTCGCGGGGTATGAAAATTCCTCAGGAACGAAAATTTTCTTGTAGGACGAAATTGCAAAATTGTGTCAGGGTTTTCCTCCCGAGGTTTTTGAGTTGTAGGATTACCTTTCGAAAGAGAAAGGCGGGGAATCCTGAGAAAGATGTAGCATTCATCCCTATATTTGTTTTAAATATAAGCGGTCCACTTTGTTTAATATTTTCGCAGTTCAACTTCGCCTCTGATGTGAAAGTTTCAGAAATTTACACTGAATATTCAGATTGGAACTCAAGTAAATGGAATTTCACTATCGAACCACAATTGAATTTTTCTATAATCTAATAATTATGTATTTATCAAGGGGTTTATTTATTTTTTTTGAAGCATGAATCCAAGTTTCAGGATTTTCGTGCCCCGCGAAATTTTCAGGCCTACAGGATTATCATCCACGAGGAAATTTTGGAGCCGTGGAATTTTCTGCTCCATCCCACATATGGCCCTTACCGTTCCTAAGATACTCGGAAGTTTCGTGCCACCAATTAAATTCAGCTTGTCTTGAAGAAATCGCTGCATGCGAAACCACCCAGATTGTGACTCTTGTGTCTTTTGAAGATTCATTTTTCTCTCTAAAATCTCTGCTTTCTTCCCTTGATGAGGCGTCGATGAATCGACCTCGGTCGGGATTTCAGGGATTTTATGCAAAGCATCATGAATTTGTTGCTTCTCCAACCAAGATGCCAATGCTCCAGGTTTCCCTATGATCGTCACTCCTTCATTGGTTTCCGCGCCCAAGTCCATCGGAGATCTCGTTTCGACAGTATTCACTTCCGGATTTCCCGAGGGAGACGGAGGCTGAGACTCAAATTCGTCCACTCGCGGTTCTTTAACTTCCTCCACCAGGGGCTTATTCTGCTTGGATTCATTTCTGTTGGGTGATGGAGGATATGAGCCAGGGAATGAGAAAAACTGTGGAGGAGGGAAAGCGATCATGGGTGCGGCCATGCCGGGTTGCATTCCGAAGGTAAACTGCGGACATTGCGATGCCGGGTTGTAAGTCATGAAGACAGGCATAAATCCGGCCGGAAATGCGGTGGGCATCATCTGATCACCTGAAGGGCAAATGAGATGATTCCCGATACTTCTTTGCTGCTGAGAAAATATCGGTCAAAAAACGCACCTTGGTTCGGGTATCCGAAACCGGGATTAGCATTGGGAGAATCGCTCATGTACTCGTTCTTCGTATTTCCAGTCTCTTCATTTTCTGGCGCATTTCTTTCTTCTTTGATGGCTACAGTCGTCACCAGAGACTCTGTAGTTGCAACGGCAACGCTGGCAGACGCAGGTTTTGGTCGGTCATCCTCAAAAGTCAACGCACGATTACCAGAGAAAAGGTCTTCCTTGCTTTGAATCGGGGTCAGAACAGGATTCGCACAGGTACAGAATTTCCCTTCAGCTTTCCATTCGGGTTCTTCAAACGCCAAGTCGTCGTAAATTATTTCAGAGCCAGAGGATTTTCTTCTGATACTTCCTCTGCGTTTTTTCCCGCCACGATGCAAGCTTTTCCCACGAAATCCAGCTCCACTAGTTCTGAAAAAATATATTTGTTATTCGGTTTTTGTTCGAATTATAATTTAAGCATCATCGACAAGATTTACAATTGATAAATTTTTCGTCATGGAGAATGCGCGCTTGGATTTAAATATAGCAACTTGACAGAAGAAATTCTTAAGTAAATGAATGAATAAAAATAAAAACGTTATTTACACCGAAGCCTTAAAGTCTGATAAAAAAAATATATATGTAAAAAATCCGAATTCCGTATAGCAAATTTAAGAAATCCGAGAAGACATTCGGCTTTCTTTCTCAGCGCATCTTTTCATATTTAACACGTGCTTAAAAGTTCAACCGCCGTTGATTTTATTGAATAAAATCAGGGAGCCTTCAGTAAGATGTTTTCAATAATTGGAACATTATGTAGAACAGTTCCTGAAATTATCAAATTATCGAAGAGCGTGATTCGTCTTTGATCTTTTCCACATACAGTACACTGTTAAGAACTAAAATTTACGGCAGCCTAAATCAACACGTATTTCATTTCAGAATGATACAATTAAATTTGAAACTAAATCACTCGGAAGAAAAAAGAACAGCTTCGTGCACCTGGCAGCTGCTCTGTACAGGCTCGGATTGATCCGCCCAGGCGGCATGATCGGCATAATAGGAAGTCTGCAAGCTCTGCAAGAATATCTGATATAATGTCCTCCGCCTGAAGCATTCCGACTGATTTCACTGAGGGCATCATCATGTTCGTCAACGTTCAGAGGATGCTGAACAACTGGAGGAAGTGGAGGAGGCGGCGGAGGAAGAACAGCAGTTTCAACCGAAGTAGGTTTCGGCTGCGTCAAAGGTTCAGAACGGATTTCCTGCTCGACTTGACGAGAGGAATTTTTCCATTTGATGGTGAATTCTTCGTTGGAAGAATGAGTTCGGACTGGGGTTATATCCGGAATGTTCGTCAAGGGGAAAGCTTCGAGCATAAGATTTCTTCGATCGCTGGCCAACACTGATGGAAAGCAAAACAAAAGGGACTCTAACGCATTTGCTGGAATTTCATCATGGTGTCGCGAGGATAACTTCCAGTGATGCTTATCTACGTTTCTTAACCTCGAGGCGATCCGAATCTGAGTTAATCTAAAACGCTCGAACATTAAAGCTATATTAACGGAAGGGAAAGGAAAGTTTTCTAAAATACGAGCATATAGAGATTTCCAGAGATACTGATTCACTTCTGACTAGAATAGCAGACGGGAAATTTCCTCGAGAATATTCCTCTTGAGAGCATTTCTTGGAAGAACATTTTCATTTTTAATTCGTGACAACACCTTCTTGAGTTCTACAAACAGGAGCTTTCTTCCATGAAATAGCAATAGGTTCCACTTCTTCCTCCTCGGTGTCAGGTGCAAATCGAGCGGATCTCGCACTTCCGCCAGAAATTGCACGCGGGATTTCGACCTGAATATTTTTGGCTCCACCGCATCCAGATGCTGAAGAGTGGCACCCACCTCCTGGCACGGGTTCTACGTTAGATTGATTCTGTTCTTTGATTTCTGTGCCGATTTCCTTCATTAAATCTAATCCACCCGTTCTTTCAGCGACAGCTTTCAGAATCTTCTGGTCCAGGAATCCAGCCTTTACTGAGGCTATTATGAATCTATCCTTCCAACTAGCATTTCTGTGAAAGACGAAGTTGAAAGGCGTTATCGAAATGGGGAAAATTGTGGCCAGAAAGGTCGGAACAAGATTTGGGTCATGTTATATATTCGTCTCTTGGTTGTAGATTATACTGTATTGTACTCCAATTCTTACGCTTTCAGAATTTTTTTTGTTTAAGAAAATTCCATCAAAGCCTGCATTCTACATCTAAAAAATTATTCCCACACCAAAGATATATACACCGATGTACAGCATACCATCAGCAAAACGTAAAGCAATTTTCGACGAAGACTCTAATTAAACGTGAACTTGAGCAAAAGAATCAAGTTTGGTACTTAACCTGTAGATTTTATTAGCAATATCTTTGTCAACCAAGGTGAGGTCCTCCAGTTTCTTTGACTTGCCCGTCGGCGAAGGGACCGTGGGAGCAGAGCAACCACATCCTCCGCCTTCTATGCGTTCCGGGTCGCCTTTCTTGGGTCCACAACCACAACCACCAGATTTCGTTTGTGGCGTTTTCGGGCCACAGCCACAGCCTGAAGATGGTGCAGACGGCTTCTTGTCCGAGCAACAACCCATACCCGCTTTTTCTCGCCTGACCGGTTCGCCCAGTTCCCAAGCGTCTTGCAAGGTTTCTTCGAAGGCTTCGCAAAACAAATTAACTCCATCAGACAATATCCGTGGTTACGGATAATTTCATTTTAGGAAGAAAATGAAGAAAGCAACGGATGCAAATCAGAAAGGAAGGAAAAGTCGGATAACGGAGTTACTTAATTCAATTCTGACAAAAAGTTTGCTCAGAAGAGTATAAGTTATTCTCGTTTCAATTTCATTTTTAGGGTTTTGACGCTCTACCAATTGAAAATCTACCAGATCAAGAATTTTGTTCACCAAACCACGTTTAAGAAAAGCGACCAGCCTTATTGTATCTACTTTCAGGGGCATTTTAGATTTCAAGTATTCAAGGTGAGAGGTTAAATAATTGAATTTAATTTCATGCATTATGGGTGTGCAGGATAAAATCCCATCGGAGAAAAAATCCCGTGGATCACAAAATTGGGAAAGTGTTTCTTTGGGTTTTCCCTCCAATCGTTTTGAAAGATTAGGATTACCTTTCACAAAGGAAAATGTAACCTTCATTTCGAGCTTTGATCCCTGCATTTGCTTCGAATATAAACTTTGTACTTCTCCAAAGCTTTTCACAGTTCAACTTTGCCTTCAGAAGTGAGTAAGAGGTATCGATTTGCTTAAACTCAAAAATATTTTCACGTCGTTGATTGAAGGCAATATGAGTACTCAAGGGTGCTTATTCAGAAATAATCCACCAAAGTGGAACAAGACGGTAAAAAAAGAGGATTTTCCTGATGCATAACAAGTTACGGGATTTTAACACCCGATCAGGTTTTCGCACTACTATATTTTCTCATGTGGCCCGAACCAATTTCCAAGTAGGTTAGCTGAGTTACAATAAGGGAAAAAAAGATCAATGAAATGTTCTGGGAAATTCGATGGGGGAACCAACGAAATCCCCAGGTAGAAGAGCGTTACCTTCAAACGGATGATAGCGTTCGTAAACTATCTGACTGATGGTCTTCGGTTCCGGCCTGTGACGATGTTGTACCAGTTCGTCAATTTTGGCAATGAGGTCGTTGGCGCCATTGGTACCATCATCGGGTACAAGGGGTAGCGGCATTTTCCAAGTAGATGCGAGGACAACTCAGCGCGCAGCGAGTGCGCGTGAATTTTGATCAAGGAAGAGACTAACATGTAACTTCGTAAGAATTGCCGAAAAGCTTTCGACGGACCCCTTTTTATTTTTTAATCTCGCACGTACAAACCTTTAATAGCTTTTCACTGAATTCCTATCTGATTTTATTTTTCGCGTGCTAGGAATACTCGTCCTGCTCATGTTCGGAAGAAAATTTGGATCACCTTATCCCGAATTATCCACTGAAGTGTTCGGCACGACTCATTTTGAACCAGAAATCCTGATGCGTTCAAGTTTTTTAGGCATTCAAATCGAAGTGCACGCGGTACACGAGGGGCGGTCACAAAGTTTTGTTATCAGAAATTCACTATTCTGAACATATTTCGTTTGGGCTTCAAAGTTTTACCTCAGAGTTCAGAATCTTCTCGATCACCAACGATAACAAGACTATGTTGATTTGCTAAGGATTTTCAAATTGCTGCTTAACTTTCGACGTCTCGCTCTCCCAGAAGACTTCTTGGAGCAACCTAATTATTTTGAACTCTTATGAACTTTCGTAATTGTCCCTGATCATTTCACTCACTCGCATCTCTGCCTAAAATTTCACTCTGCCTGAGCCACAAATTGGCAATGACAGCTCGATTGAATGATATCCCGTACAGTTCCACCCATTTGACAATTCTTCAACACGTGAAACACAACACTGATAGGTCTCAAGAACCAACCCTTTCAGGTAACAAATCCTTCAAGTGAATTTTAGCGATTGCTGATTGTCGCATTGGTATAATTGAAGTTTTCCAATACCACCTCTGAAAATCCGGTTCTATGTCACACTTCGCAAAAACATCTCTTCTTCCTTTTCACACACCTGTCGAAAACAGGCACTTGGACCATTTTCCAGCAAGGCCCAACTTAGCCAATAAAAATGCGTCGGAAGAGGGAGATTCATTTGCGTGCATTAACGGCATCCGGATAGAAATAAAACACAGCCACCCAAAATCAAAGCCGACCACAAAAGTCGTATAACACTATCAATCGAACCGAGTTGAAACTCGACTTCAACAAGGACTAGTAGCAAACTTGACAAGTGAACCGAAAGCACCAATCATACGCCTAGAAGAAACACGTCACGCGGATCTGGTACAAAATTATGCATCTCTTCAGCCTCTTCCTTCCCTGAAAAGTTCTTTACGTTTGGCTGAACATTGGCAAACGCTGCAGAGAATTCCAATTCTTGACAAAACCGTTAGTAACGGACTGTAAAACCGATTTACTTTCTCGACATCCCCGTCAGGCGATGAGGGAAGACAAACGCCGTGTTTCCAGAATAGACAATCTGAAGATCTTATACCTCTAAAAAAAATGCCACGTTTCGACGAATCTGAGAAAAGTGTCATCGACGACGTCGGTAAATTTCCGACTAGAACTTCTAGTAAATGAAACGAGGCTTCAGACGACGCACAATGAAGCCATCTTTTGTCAACCAGTCCATAGCTGAAGAACCACTCAGAAATACCTCAAGTTTGTGGAAAATTGTCCAGGAACACTCCAGTCCGATGTCTGCACTGAGCCTTCGTAGTTCTTCGACGACGCTTTGTTGAATATCGGGAGAAGCTCATTTGCTTCACTAGTCAATGCCTGTGAAGTACATCACAGAATACGATCAAGCTTCACGATAAACTTCCCAACTTTACGAGGAGTTGGCTCACAGTACTTCATTAGGAGAGTAAATAAATGTTTTGACACTTTCAGTCCCTCAGTGTATGGCAAAAAACGGCGACCGCTATCTTCAGACGTAAAATAGCCCAAAGTACGGTATACAGTAATGCCTGTCTCGGCGAAATCTTAACTTGATCTTATTCGAAATAAATGTATTCATTTTTCCTCTCATACATGACGCCGAAGTGATTCTTTCACGGAGTTTAATTTAAAACTGCAGCGAGAAAAAAGAAGGAAGAGGGAACTAAATTGTTGACTAACCTTCAGATACACCAATGCATTCGTTCCATATCCCTCCATCGATGTCACCAGAAGGTCCCCACGGAAATATCGAGCGTACAACCTCGACAGCGGTAACCCGTACCCATATCCTAAAAAGATGGAAGAGTGCATAAAACTTAGCTTCAGTTTTAAAAAAATATTTATCGAACGTTGCCAAACGACCAAAAATTGAATCTTCCCGTTTCTCACTCATCCTTCCCTGTGTCACGCACGCATTGTGTGAATTTCTCATCCAAACAACAACATAACCCCGCATTGAAGTTGTAAAACGTCAACAAGTGGTAAAGGCTACGACAAATACAGATTGCATGTAAATCAAAGTCGAAGGAAATTTTGGACGCGAAAAATAAATTTGCTTACTGAATACGCTACGTATATTCATCCTAAAAGGATCCTGTCAGTCAAACAAGCCGAAAGTTCCTGACTTGCTGAGCGTTCGAACCTCACTTATTCCTGACAAACTTCGTGCGACACCTATGTAATGGGGTGCTAAGTCACAGCGGGGCTGATACACTTCAGTACACTATAAATGTATCCTAAAACGAGCATGGTTGGCAAAATAAATAAAATCCTGAAACTAAAAAAACCAAAAATAAAAGAAAGGAAATATTTACCGGCAAGTGGGGCAGACCCCGATCCACTTGGCGAGGGTTGCGGGGCGGTAGAATAGGTGTACGCAAACAAAAGGTCCGACGAGCTGCGCGGAATCCCTCCGCCCAAATCGGATACCATGATACATATGTCTTCTTTACCCACCGAGATCCGAACCTCGATTGGAGGAAACTCCGTCGTCCCTACAGAGGAACAAGAGAGATAAACGTCCAGATACAAAACCGGAGTAAAATACTCGAAAATAAGATAACTCTCACCCGAACCAAGGTGCTCCACTACAGCACGTAGAGAGTTCTTGAACAGTTCGAAGAAAATATGGTACAAATGCGAAGGGACGTAGACCAAATGCAATTGTGTCGGTTCTGCAAGAAAAACGTAATGCGTCATGATTGCTTTCCATGCATCATTAAATGAACATGAGAGAAAGTTTATCACAGATTTACAGTCGTGCCTCGGTTAATCGACTTCATCAATTGATAACATCAACTTAATCAAAATCGTCCGTTAAAAACACCAAAAAAAATTCAACACGCAGACGTTTCTCGTAAATAAATCCGTCCACGATAATTCAATTAAAAATAATAAAAATGCCAAAAATCCATTCACTTAAATCCAAAACAATTTAAATATTGAAAAAGTTCACCGTTTCCATCAACTCCACGAATGATCAAATCCGGAGAAGCCAAATAGTACTGTTCGCACAAAAATCGAGCGTTTTCAAACGCGTCATGGATTACATGCACCAAGTTGCACTTGGTGTCGATGGATCCAATGTTGCTCTGTCCGCCATTCAGTTCTCCGCCGAAAAGCAAAGCTAAAAAAGATTAAAATTTTTTTGAATCGTTCAGCTGATCGCAGAATAAATTACAACAAATTAATTCACTCAACTGTGTTGATTGATGAGCATTCGAATTGATATGCGTGACATATAAAACCGATCCAAGAAATATTGAATCGAATTTTCCGTAACAGCGTCGACATCTCTGCTTTCTTTAAGCTCGATGACACCTTGAGCCATCGTTTCGACGACGCTTGAATGACGATTCCTGATCTTGATGAGCGTTTCCACAAAACTAACGGTGAAAAAAAAATTCATTTTAGCCGATAGACAAGGGAAACAAGCAGGACCTGAACTCAATCTAGAAACCGGTTTGCGCATAAAGCTTATTTTAGCGGGTAAAGAAAATTGTCGTACACGACTGTAAGTCATACAACTTCATCCTTTTAGGTCTCAGCTTGTACTTCGTCATGTATACCATAAAAATGTTGGACTACAGCAGAAGTTTCAGTTCTTTTTGGGATCCTCTCGTATGAAAAATGCCATTGCTACAGTAGAACGAAAGGGTTGATCGGGTTTCGGAACACATTTTTATTTGTATATTTTACGCTCTGGCCATTGAAAATATTTTCGTCAACAATCTTCGAACATTCATGCATGCACAGAAAAATATTTAAAATACCGTATTTAACGCGCGAAATGGAGTACTGTACTGTAAGGCATGCTCCCTAGTTTTTCACCCTAAAAATTTTGATGAAAACCACTCCAGGAGTAAGAAGCGCACCCCATTCTTAGCGACTGAAAAATTCAATATTGTACTTAAAAAATAAGAGACATCAGAATTCAAATTCGAATTTAACCTGAATTCAATTAATTTTCGATTTTTTTTTCATTTCAAAAGGTTCCTGGCAAAAATATCCCGTTACTTTCAAGTGTTCCGCACACTTCTGACATTGTTCGAAATTTTTCATTTCCGTCGATGACGCGCACCAAATTTGTTCCCGTCAATTTTGAAAAAAAGGTGCGCGTGGTACGCGAGTAAAAACTAAAATGCCGAATTTTAAGCAGGATACTGTACAAAATTTAGGACTTTTCACTATTTTTACGCGAATTAGAAAACTTACAGCAACGTCTTTTGGTTGAATTGATTTATCCGAGTTCATGAATTTCACTCACGTATTCAGCACAGCAGGGTCGTTTGAATCCGATTTTTGGAAATCAAGTATCTCCAGGAATGACCGCTCGTACCATCCATGTACCATCTTTGAGGATGGCATCGAGAGTAAATACTCGGGCAGCAAATGTATTTCCGCCATAATGTTAGCCAGGCGCACAGGTAACTCCTGGCGCAAAAAGTTGAACGACGTCCTTTCCGTCGCATTTAATCCTGAATAAATAAAACGCACAGATGAATTAATCGCATTCAAGAATTAAATGACGCGTTCAGAAAGCTTGAAAATTAAGCTTTCAAGTGCACTTGAAAAGGCAAAAAAATATTTGTTTCCCCTTAGAGAAGAGGGATTCAATATTGCACAGTGACCCAACGATTGCGCACACACTTAGATTAATGAAACTGGAAAAAAAAGTATGGTGCAAAGGGTCAAACTAGATTACTCAAAATTGAAATAGTTCACGCTTACTGGAGTAGATGACGACAAAGTTTAAAAATCATCAACTGCCAAAATAAAATACAAACAGACGAATAAAAAAACGTTGACTTACCAAAATCAATAAATTGTTTGATGGACAACGGCGAAGGGTTGAACTGCGAATAATATTCGAGCATTCGCCCAATGCTCTTTGCACAAAACACTGGGTTCAATCTCATTTTGATCAGTCACGTGTTTCTTTCGGCCTCCACTTTCCAAAAAATTTACTGATAATATCCGGATACTCATCAGCACAATTCAACTACATAAAAATAATGCAAAAAACTCTGTCCTGAAAATATGCATAGGTTAAGATTTTCATCCTCTCCCGAAAAAATAAAATAATAAGTTTCAGCTTCGTTAATAACGCAGTGATTTGATGCAACAAAAACCCAAAAATATCAATAAATCCCAACAACACTGCAGATTGCTCGAAACGAAACGAGAAAATTATGAAGTTGCAATTTTTAGTAAAATACACCGCAAAACTCCAAGAATCACTGAATTCGATGAACAAAAACGGCATGGAGTGTCCAAAAAGTTTCAGTGCAGTCCAAACAAGATCATCAAGTTATATGTCGTACTTTTCAACGATTGGATTGTTGCTCCCCGAGAGATTTAATCGTGCTTACGGTACGAGAAGCGGAAGAATTGCATGAAAAATTCATTTTTCATTGAAAATTCATTATTGTAGAATCCTTTCCAATCCGAAGTAACTTTCCAGAAAATCTTCAGTTTCTGCTGTATTTTATCGTAGAAAAAATATGGTTGTTCCCTGCTTTCTTTCGAAAAATGCTTCTGCCTTCTACTTACGCTTAATAAAATAAAATACTGGTTCTTACGCAGTTTTCTTTGATTTTTGCGATGTACTTTACAGATGAAACACGCCGCGATAACTTCAACCGTCTCCCACAAAACCAACTCCCAGTAATCCTTCAGGGAATGGTGCTAAATCAGACAGTGATCACATCCTGGGCACAGGCACGTTTTCATCAATTTTCGAGTCCAATCGGTGCTTTTGCTTTATCGACCAACTTCAGCAATAAATCCACGGACTGAGAGTCAACTCCGAACTCTTCCTTCACTTTATCTCCAAAATAATGCGCATCCAACCAAAGCTGATGGCGAATTTTTTCGTCATCAGTTAAAGAGTCGCTGGTTTTAAGCGTGGCATCTTCCGTCTTCTGACCGGCTTTCATCCGTTTCAATCTTTTCAGACTTTCCTCCATTTTTTGTACTGACGTGAGAACTTCGTTGATGGATCCGTACAATCTAAATTATACGAAAAATGCATCATAATTACGCTTCGATTCGAAATACACATTCATCAACTTACTGTTTCCCGTAAACGTCTGAAACATCTAGGAGCCATTTCTTCATTCGCACCTCGTGCACACAATCTTTGAATTTCAGGCGGAAATTCGAGACTGGATTCAATGCGGAAACGATGTAACTGGAGGCTTTCGTTGAAATTTCGCGGTTTGTTCTACGGAATAATCGTGGAATGTCCATGATGCCTTTCAAGTGTTTCATTCCTCCAGAGGTTAAATGGTTGACGAGTATTTGCGCAACTTGTTCTTCTTGGCACTCGAGTTGTCGAAATGATTCGTTGAAACATTCTAAGTGAAATTTTAATTTCGAATTCCGGTATTAGAAACAAATAATCGAGAATGAAACCGTTCAAACATACCTTGAACTTGATCCAAGGTCGTGACGCCAAGTCGTTCTATCTTCGGAAAGACCCGCGAGCTCACCAATTCAGAAACATAGTCCCGAATATTAGCAATGTCTGATACTAAATTGACTGCCTGATCAACTGTCAATGCTGATTCAGGAACGACGTCATTGTTATCCAAAGAAAAATTGGCTGTCGTTGCCGTCCTCGCCATTCCGGGACTCTTTTCCGCATGTGACGGAAGATCAGACGTGCTCATGTTCTTTGTTAAGGGACCTTCTTTCCCCGCGTCAACGGATAACAGCGAGTCATCTGATGAGCTTGAACCATCTTTAACCTTTGAAATATAAGAAAAACAATAGCAGATAAAAAAAAAACGAAAAATACAAATATTAAAATCACGCCTTGGGTGCAGGGCGAGTTTAAAAAGAAAAAAGATGAGGAAAACAATCGAACGAAACAGCTCGCATCAGAACTGGATGTCACAAAATATTAGGTAATCGAATAACTTACGCCACTTTTTCGATTTTCAAGTACACCACTGTAATGAACTGAAGTTGACTACGTTATATAAATAAAAAATGAAGCAATTTTATTTAAGGTAATTTTCGTATTTTTCAACCAACCAAATCGTTCCGCCAGAACTTCCGCCACTTAAAAAAAAGCTGCAAATGCTTAGATACTCTTGTGAGCTGCCAACAGAAGGAAGAAATTGGTTTCAAGGACGGTCAAATTAAATCGAACTCGATTTCCCTTCATTATCCAGTCGATTCTTTTTCTTGGGACTTTTCTCTGCTTGGTTAGTGAAAACATTGGTGAATCATGGAGAAAAAAAAATTCTCATGTGGTATCAACTCGGTGCACTTTTTTGTAGCACCAAAACAAAATTCTAGAAAAAATGTTTTTCCTAATGAATTTCTTTCTTTAAATAAATTCAACAACATCGAAATTCAACTAAGATGCAGAGAAGCACATCACCCATTACTTTCTGTAAGTAAAATACCGTTCGCGAATTTCAAATGAATTTATTTTTCAACAGTGGACCAAAATTGAAGATATTTTTCTTTTTTAAAGAAAGTTGCCTTCCAAATTCAATCCTGGTAAAAAAAAATATTAAAAAAAATGTCAGAGTCGATGAACGAACTTCATTGGGGCCCTGACATACAAACGATTCGACTTAGGGACGTTTGACTCAAGGAATTTGCCCCGACATCTGGACAACGTCTCAAAATACGGACACTGCCAAAATTTCTACAAAAATTGACTTTCCTTCCAACGTTTTGATATCTCTAGAACAAACTAAGCCATTTATATTCACAAAATTCAAAATACTGTAGTTCTTAATATAAATTTCCGCTGATTCATCACCAAAAACAGGCCAACTTGGGCTTCTCTTCTTACGGTTTTCTTTCCATCATCTGAAGACAGTACAGCAAGATGTGTGCTTGTTCTTCACTTTTTGGGCTCCTTTACATGCCAATATGGCAGATTCTGTCTGGTTTTCTTTCACGCTGTTATTTTTCTGTATCTTGCAGTTGCCTCTGTTTGGGTTCACGAATTGAGTTTTAAGTTGAGTTAAAAAAAATTATAGCCAATTTTTTGGGGTCTTCTTCCAGATTTTCGAAAAATAGGAGAATTAATTGCATATACAGTACTCCCATTGCAGTGTATGGGAAAACGTTATCCAACATGCGGAGAACGTCCATGGGGCAAATACATCCGCATCTCAGGGTGTAACTGTACCCTTTTTTTAAAGGAATAGGCAGAAACTCCAGGATTAAACCTCACTTTTGCAAGTTTTCCATCAACTAGCATGATCTTTAGAGAATAAAGTATTGTAGCTCCTTTTGGAAATATGTACAGTACAGTACTACACAAAAGAAGTTGGAGATAAAATTGATCACGTAAATTTTGAGCAGTGACCATTCGGTTCTTGAAGAATGCGGTCATTCTTGTGAAAAGGTCAACACAAGTTTTAAAAAAAGGCAGGACAATCGCCAAGTAAACTCACGGTCATTTTGCTAACAGATTGCAACCACACGCAGAAACGTGACAGCAACTGAACCGAAAGCTTCAAAAATCGGTGAACCAAAGGTGAAAGAAAAACTCCATCATCCCAGCATTGGTTCAGACATATAACCAACGTCTCGCTGGCATGAAGTCGACATGATCCATCTCGGTTGACCCACTCACTCAACGGCCGCATCGTCAAACTCTTCTCGAAAGAACACGAAATTTCCTGGAACCTTTTGGAAAATTTTGCATTCTCACACATTTTCAGAAACTCACTTTGGTTTACACACCTAATTTGAAAGTATACCGGGAGATTGAACTTGTTGATGAATACGAGGTAAGATGGATGAGCTCTGAGACGCCGAACGCTTTCCAGATTTCCACATTGCTCTTCAAAGTTCTCCAAAAACGCCATGCTGGCCAAAAATCTCTGAAAAAAAAGGAATTCGCAACTCATTCAAGAAAATAGAGCACACAAATCACGCATTTAATAAGGAGGATAAGATTTCAGGAGCTGTCTTTCGTAGAACCGAATCAGCATAAGTAATGATAACAGGAGAATATCTACTAAAACTGATTTACTCCAACATTTCAAATCAACTTCACTTGATGAGAAGACTGAATTGTAATCGTGCTTCAGACATTGTGAAGAAAATTTCACTCACCGGATGGAATGAAGTGGGTGATCCTAGGGCAAATAAAGATGGAGCACGGCTCTCCAAAAAAGAAACGATTTCGGGCCATACGGAATTGACCAGAAAATCATATCCACTGACGACTTCGAGTCTGAAAATATTCCAGCATCTAGAATTTCCCTCTTCCACAAGAATTACACTTTTAATTTTAAACATAAAATCAGGCAAGAATATTTCGATCATAGGTAATATTTCAATTTTCATGGACTCGGAAAAAAATATTGCACAAGAAGGATTCGCAGTTTTGCGAGGGAGAATTTTCGGAAGAACTTTGCGGTGAACACGGCGAGTTCCAATTAACAACTGACAATTTTTTCAACCGAAATTTTTTACAATACCACTCACCCAGCTCCTCCGGCGGAAGCTTCTTGGAGGATCGAGCATTTTGCTGACACGATGTCAAGCAGAGAAGCGAAAAGAACAGCGAGTGCATCCTTTTCCGAAGCTCCTGGGCGACTAAAAAGTTCGATATTCACGTGTTTCTCAAAATACGGGCGCACTACGCGGATTCTGAAGATGGACTCCAATTGCGGAACGCGGTCAATCGTGACGTGAATCCGCAAACAACGACGTATCGCCTCGACATCTTTCTTCTCGAGACTCGCCACAAAATCTTCCTCCAGGTTTGTTTGCAGTGCATTTGCGATGTACGCTATTCTCTGAAACAGAAAAAGGTTTGTTTCGGTGGATGCCCAACTCCCTGGAGCCAAACTCTCAGTCCCTCTCAGTAAAACCGCACTTACTCTCGTTATGGTTGCGTTTGAGTGACTTCAAGAATAGAGAACTCAAATGCAGGTTTTAAGGCCCGTTGAGACCCAAACAAGCTAATTAGATTCAGCAAGTGGGTTCATATTTTCTACAACATATTGAAATATAACTTCGCAAATTATTTTTATGGAGCAAGGAATTTAATACAGAAAGATTCGACAATTGGGTTTTACAAGTTGAGATTGACAAGAATGTTCCACAGCAACAGTAGGTTTCAACAATATCAGTACTAAAACTCTTGTCTTGCAGAAACTGGTTCTCGTCTAAAACTCCTGTCTTTTTGTTATTTACGTAGTCTAAAACTTGATCTGGTCACTTCAGAATAGTTACCGTTGAAGTCTACTGTTATTGTGACACACTCTTGCCCATCTCAACACATAAAACCCAATTGTTGAATCCATTTAAATTAAACTCCTTACTCTATGAAATAATTTGCGAAGTCATACTTCAATAATATGCGCTTAAAATATGAACCCGTGTTGAATCCAACTCAAATTTTGCGGGCCTCAAACCCTGCAGTTGAGTTCCCTATTCTTGAAGTCATTCATGCGACCATAAAAGAGAGAGTGCAATTGTTCTGGAAGTGACTGAGAGCGGAAGAATTTGGCTCGAGGGAGATTGGCCTGTCACACTCGCTGAAACAATTGTGTTTACAACGATTTTCTCCATACAATTAATTTTTTTTAGTATAACCGTGTTCCCTACCCACTATGGGATTCCCTATAACGAATTTTTTAAAGGTTATCCTGAATTTCGTTGTAAAAAAAAGTCCACCTGCATGATATCAACAAATGAGCCAGAAAGACTCATAAAGATAAATAAAATCTTTAGGTTTGTCAATTTTTGTCTATCTAATTTGAGCCAGGGCCCAATTTGAAATTTAAAATCAGAGCCTCACTATTCCCCCTAAAGAAAATCTGAAAATTTTCCTTTGGGACATGGATAGCATTTTTACAAACCGGTTGGATAGAAGACATCAAGTCCATGCCTTGAGCTTTTGCCACATGGAAATGAAGCTGGTTGAGCTCCGACGCTATTCTCTCAACCACACCACCTTTGTGCGATGCATCTTCAGAATCTCCCATTCCAGATTTATCCAGCAACTTTTCTATTTTCTCGACGCAATGAATGATGTGCACCAGTCGCTCCAGATCCGATCGTCGTTCTCGGATTTTTCTCGCGTCCTTCAGCTGGTCGTCAACCGCAGTTTCCACAGTTTTAATCGATTTTGAAACATCCTGAAAAAAGGGAGAAAACAAGCTTTAAGTCATGATAAGGAAAAAAACATTTCGGCAGACTTACCAAGATTTCAGATCGAAATCTTTCGAGTGGCGTCATCAAATTAAGGATTGCTTTGTCCATTCCGATCAAGGTGGACGAGAGGTTGAGAAAATCGGCATAGTCTTTGTTTATGAGCTCTATAAGAGCCGAGCTCAACAATTTCTGGTACACTTTCAAATCATCACGGAGTTGGCTCAGGGTTACCCTACTTCTGGCTTGACGAACAAAACCATCAACTGAAAAACTTTTCTGAAAAATGAAAAATACATTCAATATTTAGCTGAGGTCTCAAAAAGATCAGCCTGATTCAACTCACCGATGTGAAGTCACTTTCATTGAAGCATAACGCAATTTCGCCAACCGGTACAAGCGCTTCTTCCATCGTGAAAGAACTTGCTCATCACCACAATTCCACAAATTCAATAAATATTGGACACATCTAAAAAAAATAAGAAAACAGTTATTTTCATTACTACACACAACTCTATTTCATGAAATGCCCGTCGCCTGAAACACTTACCCAACCGAACAACAGACTCGACTCAATCTTAACCAAGATCAATTTTACGAAATTGGAGCTAGTTTCCTTGAGAGGAATCACGCCATATTTCGTGACATCCAAGAAGGGAAATACGAACTGCATTTTTTGAATAAATTACCAATACTTTTAAAACTACCAGACATCGGCCTAATCCACGCCTTGCACATACATTTTGAAACAAAAAAATGACAAAATTTTGCGTAGCCTTTCTATCTTGAATTACAGACACACAAGTCAATACTTTTCAAACCTCACTTTTTCATTGTAGACTCAATCCCTTCAATGTTCTTATTGAGCACCGCCGAGTGCATATTGCAAATACATTACAGTATTTATAGCACTAGAATGTCGTTACAACGAACCTTGCTATATCGAATCATTGCTTACAAGAAAAAATGGTTTTCCTTGCAGAATAGCCATAATGTTATTTTGATTTCGTTATAACGGATTTTTGTTTACAACGAAGCTTTATTAAAGTCCGAAATGTTTCGCTACAACGATATTTTACTGTACAGTACGGCATAAAAAACACAATCCTATCAATTAATTCGTTCATTTTTCGTTATTTTCACCAAAACGTGGATTCTTCAAAGGGAACCAGCACCATGAAGCGGAAAAAACTTCAAAGAAAATAACGGTTGGATAAGGCGGGGCATCACAGAGAAATAGAAGAGAGAAAAGTTGTTGGCGACAACAATTCAACAGCTTTCACTTATAAAGCATATTAGAAAAAATTAACATAAAAGCCACAATGAGACATCACTCGAAAATCAGTCTTCGCCTGAACAGCTCTCTTCTTCATATTCATATTCTGGAAGCATCACAACGGGTCTTGTTCCAGCTGTGAAAAAAATTTTTTTTTAATGAAACGTGATTGAAGGAGCATTTTTCTAACTCACATGGACCAGGAACAGATAAATCGAGATCATCATTATCGGGAAGTTCTTCTACGTCTTCTTCTATTTCTCCCAGTCCCCAGTTCAGGTGATCAGCCTTTTTGAAAGCTTCAATTATCCCTGTCACGCTCCCGTCAGACTCCTCCCCAGACGAATTGGCATCATCACTTGACGAGTTTCGTCGATCATTTTCCATATCAGATTCCGATTCGGAATCGTCTAGAGCCAGGGGTTTATACGAGCTCGAGATACGATCGATATCTTTACTGGAGCTCACTTCAATAGGGTCAATTTCGATGAGTTTATCGACAGTGTCTAACGTGGACTTTGCTTCGACGTTTGCTTTCTCCTTCTGCAGGCCAACTGCTTCTACCTGTCAGAGAGGAAGACAAGTGAAATCATTACTTTCACACTTATTTGGATCACGATCATAAAGAGAATCCTAATTCACATGCACCGGTAACAACGAAACAAGAAAATGTTTGAACGTGTAAGACGAATTTCAGATAAGGTTCCTTGTGACCAGGAACACTCGATTCAAAAACAAATCGAACGGATATTAACAAAAAGGTTTTGAAGAAATCACAATTTCCACTAACCTACTCATAATTGGTAGAAAACGGAGTCATGAAATTCGAGAGAAAAACGGAAGCATGAAGTGATAAACTCAAGTCAAGAAGAACATGAGCACGGTAAATCAGATTTGCAAGTGATCAACTTTCCGAAAAGTCTCGATAAGTTCAGTTCAATCTACTGTATTACAGCTGTCACGAAAGTCTACGCATTTTCTGCAATCATAAAAGATTCATAATCATCTGCTTTCATTTAATAAAGAAAACGCAGATGTTGATCCCAGGAAATTGAAAAAATTACGGAAATCAAGAAAAAGTCTAAATTTGTTTGCACTCGCCTGCAGGCGAACGGTGATAGCCCTCAGTGATGTTAGCAGCCGTTCACAGTAGAATTTTTCTTTGCGAAGCGTTTCCAACACGCTCAAGTTTTTCTTTGGCCTGGTCTCAAGCAGCCAGTTCGCCTTCTTCCCTCTTCGGGCAGGAGTCTTCACGTTTTTCAACACAGGGCCGCCATTGTCAGCATCACCTTTCTTTGTCAGATCGGATTTCACTGCAAACAATAGAAAAATGAAATTTTCGCAATGTTTGCTGCGTAAGGGGAGATTTCTAAATTTAAAAATCATCTCAAGCAATGGAAAAAAGGTTTTTCCCCTTCCGTCGAATTTCTTTGCTTTCTTTGCAATCATAACTACAACTTTTTGAATATTTTCTCGCACCCTCAAATAATTAAGGAACGAACATAAATAAGAACAGCAGCCTAAGACGAAGAAATTATAAAGCATATTGTACTTCGGTCTTCGTACTCATCAAATTTTTTGTCGCATGTGCCAGGAAAAAAATCAATTCACAATTCTCAAAAACAAAACAAAATCTGCTCACTTAACACAAATTCGAGTTTTAAAATGTTTCCTCGCACTCTCAAATTATAAAGAAATTGAAAATAAAATTGAAAAACGTTGAAACATTTAATATGCAAAAGAATTGTACAGAAAACTCTCGAAAGTTATTCCACGCTATTTTTGCGGAGAGAATTCTGCTTCAAACATTTACGAAGTAAGAATGTGCTCGAAGCTTCTGAAAAAAAATGAATAGAAAAAAACCAACACCTTTTGAAGGCATGTATCCGTGATTCCCCAGGAATTTGTCCAACTCTTCAATAACATCTTCATCAGATTCTTCCTCTTCGCTTCTTGGCAGCCGTCGTTTCTTTGCAGCCGAGCACCTATTGGTTTTTCGTGGCATGAGGATTTCGCGCGAATATTTATTTGAAAATGTTCTTTGAAAAGATAATAATAATCAATACTTAAAAACATGTTTTGATTCGAAATAATTATACAGCTGGCCGTCAACAATCAAAACAGCTCTGATTCTCTTTCCCCCGTACCAACTCCCCTGAGGCACGTCCTAAAACAACTTCAAACACAAAAGGAACAAATATAAAAAAGTACAGGAGTGTCAAATAATTTGTCCAACACGGACGAAACGGAAAAGGAAGAATATCTTCGGATGAAAGACTACCGTAAAATTATGACCACAGTAGTACAATTTAAACAACGGGTTTGAGTCGACATAAGTCTTAAATTTCAAAAAAGTGATTCCTGATGCCGCTGTCAGGAGAGCTTGGGGAACAGAAGACGCTCACGGACGAATATTTTTCAAGTTTGTGCGATGACTATCTCAGGTAAGGACAACAGGAAACTAGCTGCTACAATAACAAAGGGAGACACATCTTTTATCAAGGCCAGCAAATTGTCTTCCTCCCAGACTTGATTGGGTCTCGTCCGCTTGCTTCGCTACTCATGGCGTCAGTGCGACAAACCTTCGTAAAAAGAGTACAAGAGAATTGAAATTTCAGTCTCAGGAGTAAACGCACAAAAATTGAACGTGAGTGGTGGCACGAATAATGCTTTTCTTCCGCACAATTGACGTCTCTCGATTTTTTGCTTAAGATTTATTCATTGAAAATGTGTTGAAAAATGCACACAGGAAATTCTTGACGGATCTGAAACAGTTTATTCCCGTTATACAGCTTTACACTGTTCAGTTTAAAACTTTTCGGGGGATTTGAAACCAATTCGTCATTTTAAGAAGGTTTAATCTATCGGTCGACTTTTAAAATCCAATACTTCCCATGAAAACTCATTAACTAAAGTACCACTATATCTTCAATTTTTTACGCACTTTCTCACGCTTCAGTCCATTCATTGCACACTCCTCCGGCGACTTGTTTCCAAATCGTATCACACTGGATTGCTTTTGACTCGAAGAGGAAGTGGGCACATCCACAGAGCACTGAAATCGCGACTTTTTCGATGTACTTGCGTCGTCGATGGAAGAATCACTGCAACGTGATGAATTTAACAGTTAATATCTCAACAATACTGGACATAAATGATCTCCAGTCGAATGCACGACTTTTGTAAATTCAATACAATACCGACAGAACCATCGCTATCTAAAACGAACATAAGATTTTTATAAAAAGGATCAGTAATTGAGATAGATTCTCAAACGCATGGACTTCAAACAAAAAGAAAAGTATGAATGAAACAAAATGTCAATCCTATGTTCCAGAAACTGAATTAATCTTCCCTTTCAGAATGAATTCAGTTCATGATTTTTTCAATTATTCTGTTCTCAAAACGCTGGACATCACTCAAACGTGAACTCGATCAATGTCCAAATTAAGTTTTTTCCAATGATGAAAATCATGCCCTTCAGGAGATTTAGATGCTTGAAAATTGGTCCACTTCTTTCTGCTCTACCCTGTATGTTTAAAGAATTCCTTCACACAAATTTTTTCATGGAAATTCTAAGGAGTTACTGCATTGTAAGTTTTGTAACACAAAAAAAGTTTTTTCTAGACTTCCAATAATTTCAATTACATTTCATGGGACCGGGTTTCTTTTCCAGCATACAGAGGTTTAAAACTTGTAAGAGCATATGAACTTTGAAAACAATAGGAAAAAATGCTTACACCAAAAAAAGCATTCCATAATTTAAAATTGATCTTCCCACACACACTGATTTTTTTTTTTCCCGAATTATTCTGTATACGAAGAATAATTCAGTGACCGACTGCGAAGTATTCTCCAGCTCGTAAACTCACCTTTTCCTTTTCGAGTTGACAGATGAAGACGCGTCGGACAATTTCGATTCAATCGAACCAAACAACCTTGCAGCGGGAGACTGATCATGTCCATGAGCAAGTCTGGGAATCATGCAGTTCCACAAACATTAAAAATCACTCCAAATCATCGATGATATCTCATCGCTTACTTTTGCCCGTCTCGCCGCAGAGCCGATTCTTTTTCAAATTTCAATCGCTTTTTCTCCATTGCTTGACCTCGAAAAGTGTCAGGCAAAGTCCTTTGCCCGAGTGGCAAACATACGCGATAATACAGGGCCAACACTTCAGATCTTCGTTCTCCAGCTACTTTCAAAGTTTCCTGTGAGACCCCATACTGGAAAAATATTTTCAAGGTTCATTCAAATCTCATGAATAATCAATCAACACTTCGTGGATCGAGATAAATCCGTACCTCGAGTAAAATGGAACGAAGATCGTCCACACACATGGTTTCGGGAGACGATAATTTGAACTTCGATCGGAAACTAGGTCGCTTGCGAAATTCTTCCATGCCCGTCACAAGCATCACCTACTTTTTCCACTTCGCATCTTTCTGGCCAAACCCTTGCAAATAATGCGACACAGAAACTGAATATGATCCGCATTAATACCAGACGAATTGAACCATGCTTAAGGTCAAAGTTTATTGCGCAGGCATCATCGAAACATCACCGAACAATGACCGGGTGTTCCCGAAATTATTTAAACGACAGTGCAATTCATCAAAATTCAATCCGTTTTCCAAGATCTCGTCCAAATCCTCAATCAATTAAACAAAAATTTATTCACTGAACACATTCCGATTGCGGTCCGTTTAGCAGATGACTATCTTTCACAGTTCCGACGGTTACCTGTGAAAACAGAAGAATCATGCAAACGTTCCTTTCAGTAACCTGAAAAGGTTCAACATTAGTAGTGTGAACCACGCGTGACTAAACCCAAAAAAACGTGAATACTTCCGGGAAACTTAAACCAATCTGGTTGAGATTTCCATCAAACAAAGGTGGGGCACTGTGAAAGAAGTGAGATTTTTGGAATAAATTTGTAATCAACACGCGTTGAGCGTCTCAAAAGAGAAGTGAGAAATTTTTAGTCTTTTTAGGGCCGGAACACAGCGTTATTTAACAATCCCCTGACAATAGAAAGACAAAAATATTTCAACTACGGAAACCACAATTTTCCCGCTCATCAAAATTATTTCGACAATAATTGTTGTCGCGAGAATATTTTCTTCAATTTCGCAGACGTTAGCCTTAAATCCTAGTCCTACAAAAAAAAGGCTGAAAATTTTTTCATGTTCGCTTTTGCCATGAAACACCTCTTCCTACCTTCCTTTGACAGGAATTCCACAATTAAAACATTAAATCGTCCCCGGAATATTCGTGTTTTAGCGGTCTTCGTAGCGCGTGAATCTTCCCTGCACTCATTCATACTCACTCCACGAACTCTTCCGTAGAGATTGATGAACATCCACAAAGGCTTTCTCCGAAGAGAACACGAATTATCGCAATTATCGCTTCTGATCGGACTTGAGCCAAGTAATTTTGAACGATTCAAATAAACGTAGAGCTGATCTTCGTCCTCAAATAGCACCTCCAAAACATCGCTGGACTTCAGCTCCTCGAGGCTTTCAGCCAAGGGTGCGGCGGTATAATTTGAATTATCCTGCGAAATAATCACATGTTCCATTGTTCGCAATTAAGGAAAATAAGTCAAATCGCGAATAACTCACTGATTTTTTCATAAAAATTGAGTTCCTTGCAACCATAAGATTGCTTCCTCTGTTTAATACGGATCCAACAGGTTGTGGGAATTCCATAGATGTTCCCCAAATAAATCCCACGACTAATGAGGATTTCAAGGACTCGTCCACAGAGTCGATTCGAATCTACTCACACACGGAAAAAAACGCAAAAATACGGAAATATTCATGCATTTTCAAAAAAATGCAACAAAAATTGAAAAAAATCAAGAACAAGAATCAAGAATACTATTGCTTTTGGGCAAAAAGAAACGAGGTTGACTGCGGTATTTTTCAAACTTACTCTTATGGGTAGATCGGGTATTATGGGTTGACTTAATGCAACCCATGCTGGTCCGATTCCGTCAATCCGGAGTGCCTTTGTTCCATTTTCCGACAATACAATTCTAGGCGCGTCTTCAAAATCCATCTCCATATTCAACATCCCCTGGACATCCATGGTTATACATTGCATCGGGATTAACCGTATTTCTCCCGCAGGATGACTGTTGAAGAATTCAATTCATTCTTTAGTTGGTTAATTTAACTTGGCCATTAGTTCATTCATTCATCGAAGTCCATGAAAATACATGTAGCTTCAAAACAATTTTTTTAGATTCGCCGAAAAAAAACCGGAAGTGTGGCCGACGAGATCCGGTTTATTTATTGATGACAGCAGTTGCACATTACTGCACTCCGAATCATGGACACCTCGCATAATTGACTTCACACCGAATGAAATGGGGGCTATCGCCAATTTTTTCACGATTTCAAAATTTTGTTTTGTTTTGCTTCGAAGTGAACTTGAGGGAAAGCGAGGGCCAGCCTTGTTTTCAATAGTATGCAATAATAGCTTTTCTCAATCTCTTGGCCATGTTTAGCATTGCTTTCCTTGTTTTAGACATTTGTCGCTATATCATTTGATCATTTCATTTTATACATGTGTACATCTAGAAATTTATTCAATTGCTGATTAAGGAAAATTCCTAACCTAGAACTGGAACTAATTGGCGATTTCACTTAAAATTACATAAGTTGTTAATAAACTTCCATCTGGAACGAATCACGTTCATTAACCGAGGCACCGAGGCAATTATGTAACTGCGAAAATCCGGTCACTTAGCAATGCACTCGTAAATTATTTTTCTCCACGAATAGGTAATAATATTGCAGAAAAAGTGGCACCTCGCAATTTGACCTCTCTCCCGAAATTCGACCTGTTCTAGCCTCTTTTCTAGTGTTTTTGTGCTGTTTGCCGTTGTTTTTACGGAGTGTCTCGCAATTCGATCCTAGTCCAGCAACGGATTAGGGTCGAATTTTGAGACACCTCCTGCATACGAGTGCAGAATTGAATTCAAAATGTTAAGTAAAATCCAAGTTTTCATGAAAATCTACATTCCGTGGAGAAGAACGCCGAGAAACGTGGACGCTCACCTTTCCAAGGGTTTTGCTGGTTCAACAGGCACAGGAAACGGACATTGGCGCAAAAGACGTTCCTTCTCTTTAATACTGCCGAATGTCTTCACTTGAACGACAGAGCCATGTAAATCCACGAAAGGTACCCACTGGCGAAAAAAAATAATCGAATCTATATCTGCAAGCATTTGTCAACCCTTTCCTGTTTCCAAGAAAATGAGAGAATTCACATATTGATCTTCTATCGCAAAACACTTTCTTCCTGCATCGAAAATGCTCAAAATGTAGCGTAAACGCATTAATTCTAAGCGAGAAGCATTCACTCAAATGGAGTCACATCACCCCCTTTAAAAAAAGTCTGATTTTCAAGAATAAAATGCCGAATTTGTTCGCAACCGTGAGGTTTTGTATTCCGTTCTTATTTTGTCAGCACAAATTATTATATTGTATGTACAGTCTCTCTACAATGATTCTCTCTGTAAGACGAATTTTTTGTCCCATAAGGTCCTTTCCCCATTTTATAGGAGTTCTAGGAATTCGGGAGACCAAAAAATGATGATAATTCGTCGTTGGGAGCAATCCTCGCCAAAACGAATTTTTTTTTGGGTCCCTGAATTTCGTTTAGACAACAGTCCACCTCTATTCAAGCAATTTTGCTTGTAGAATACACGATGTTACGTACGAGGTAAATGAAAACCTGAAACGAACTATCGTTTTTCGAATCAATACACATAGTAATTCTAAGGGATCGCGATAATCAGAAAACTTACATCTCCAGTAGTATATCCCCGGAGTGAGAACATCAAACCCAGCATAACATCGTCGATGAACACGGAAATGCCGAGGAAATCCAGTCGTAATTCCACAGTACAGCCAGGTTTAACCGATGACATGTACGGCTCAGACACTTGGGCAACCAAGCATCGCTCGTCGTACTTGTTATGTTGCACACCAAATCCTGTAGAGGATATGAAGAGTTACCACAGAAAATATCCTCAAAGAGAGGCAATGGTGAAAATTCGAAACTCATGTTTCATCTAATGGAAAAGCAGATGCTCACCATCTGGATTTGTCAAGGACTGCAAGAGTATATTGCCCCCTGCATTCCATTCGCAGTCGGGGATGAAACGTTTGGGGATCACTCCGATCGTAAAAGATCCTGGCCACGAATTTTCCACTTTTGTGATCATGAACTGAAAATTTAAAGATGGACGCGATGAAAATCAATCAAGTGGATTTGCGACTACCGTATTGACTCAAGTACCATGCTATTTTTTTCTCAAACTTGAGGGGGAAAAGGGTGCGCGTCACGGGCAGGGATAAAAAATTTTTTTAATGTAGAAAATTTAGGCGCGCTTCACAAACAAATATTACGGCAAATTTTTGAAAAGAGCTTTTCAAAAATAAAAATAATTTTTTAAAATCAATCGAATTTAGGTTAACTTCATGTTAAAATTTGAATTCTGGTGTCTCTTTATTACATTTAGTTTTTCAGTCACTGAAAATGGGGGGCGCGTATTACTCGGGTAAAGGATTTCGTCAATACTTTAGGGTGAAAAACGGGGGTACGTGTCTTACTCCAGGGCGCGTCGTACTTGAGAAAAGTGGTTATTATTCTTTGCAAATTGCAGGCAGCTAATATTGATGTAGCCATTTACAGTATTGATGTTTTGTGAGTGACTTTCACTCGCAAAACAATTCTTTCTAGCTCTTCGGTTGGTTCTGGAGGCATTAGCGTATTTTTCTAGCGATATTTTACTAACCCCAAAAGATGGGTCCAGCAATGTTAGCGGTTTTTCGGCCAACACGACGCCACGAGTGAAAGAACGATGCCGGGTGGCCAGGGTATTATTGTGCGTGAGGCACACGTTACTATTTTTCCGAGCTTCAAGTCGGACTTCGCGAAAAGGTTCATCAGAATCACAGCACCCGTCATCATTTAATCCCAGAAATCGCTGAAAGAGCTGATTGCATTCTTCGGCATCCATGTAATCTCCGGTGACTATCGAAATCGCGGCACATTTTCCGTACAAATCCGCGATCAACCACACTTCTGAAAAGAAAAAGCAACGCCAAAAAATGGACCAGTTCAAGACGAAAAAGAAAATTCGAATATTGACAGTTTGACACTGACCTTGAGGCAAATCGGTGAACGCAATGCCAACGTCCACATTCCCGACGAAGAATCGAATTGAGCCAGGTGCTTCATATTTTATCCCTATCGTCGCTGCCTCGCAAATATTATCCAGATCGAATGAAAAGCGGGATGGTTGCACTTCACGATTCTATTAAAATACATCAAGGGATTATCATAATCCCTTGTTTCAATTTCATGAAAAATACGAAGTACAGTACTCCGAAAAATTTACCTATTCACTTAATTAAAATTTTTAAATGAACACAACGAGAATTCCATTCAAGAGACAAGCAACTACTGTACATTATTTTCAGATAAATAAAAAAATCCGAAATACAAGCTGTAATTTTATATTCCAGCGATTTGACTACAAAAAAAAGTATTGAAGAAATCTATGCAAGCATTACTCAAAGAACAACCATTGGATTTACGTGAAGAATTTCGCCAACCTTGAAAACTGAAGCACCTGACCAAGTCCAGATTTCACAGCCCTTAATTTCTGGTAATGAACGCAAGCGACCACAGTGAGCAATTGTAGAAGGATTCACGCCAATTACCCCTGAAAATAAGTAAATAAACAAATAAAAGGTCATTGTTTTCGGAATTCCAGATCAGATCATGAACAAGCGAGACGGAAAAACTGTACCGCGAGTTTTTAAAGTACTTTACTGTAATAGGTACATTTCCAAATGAATTAAAACCTAGAACAGTGATTCTCAACGCTTTCACATTGAACGTATTATATTTTTTTATCTGCTCAAGCTTCGAGGAAGATTTTGTTGACGAGCTGTTCGTCATATTATGCTGCGTAAAAATATACATCATACAGATTCTTTTCGAAAAAAAAATGTCCAATGCAGAACAGGATAAATTCTGCGAAGATTGAAGAACACGGGGGGGAATAAAAATTCAAAAATTCAATTGTATCTCTACAGTTGCAGTTGAACCCTGATAACTCCAACCTCCCTAAATCAAATACATTACCCCTTAAGTCAAATTTTTGTCAAGTTCTTGTCTGAATTCCCTAAGGAACAATGCATAAAAACCTCCCGAGCTCAAAACTTTCCTCCTCAAGCCTGCACAACTCAAATTCTCTGGAGGCCTTTTATTTACACAGGAAAGAGAAAACAATAAGAATGTAACTTGATGCGAAGACTAATCGGGGAAATGAAACCTTGCCTCCAAGTTCTGCTTCCTGTCCACTAATTCCAGAAGCAATTAAAAGCCCAGAATAACATCAATTACAATTTCCTGAAATTTTTCCTTCTTTCCACGAAAAAGAAAATTTTATTTGTCCTCACTAGAATTTGTTCTTCCTGGTCCCAAAAATTTCGACTCAAAGAGGCTGGACCGTGTTTTGGGCTTTCATGCACGAAATCAAAAAAAAAACCTTTTTGGCTAGTTTCTGCTTCGTTTACCAATTTCAAGGGATCCCTCCCAACGCGGCACGAGTCGGTTGATTCGAATCCTTTCTGTGACTCCGGAACGCAAAGGTCGCTGAGAAACAACTACAGCTTCATTGTACGTTGCTTCAGCCCGCATCCGAAATGCAGATTTCCCGTTGCAACACACAGCGGCGTTTTTACCATGCAACTGATGATTCAGCAAGAGTCCGGGACGAGGACTGTCAACGTACTCGTCCCAAGCGGAATCGGAAAGCTTTTCAGTATCTTCTGAGTCATCTTCACTGGAGCTGGAATCCCAAACCTCCGCACAGTTGTTGCTTCCAGAAATTTCAGACGACGCTGGCATAATTTTAACAGCATTCGTTTTTCCGAACATATCCACCACACCCCAGACCTTTTCCGCGCGCTGGAAATTGAAGGCACATCCCTGATCAACTCCATCCACGTAGAAATGAACAGCTCCGTTTGATTTGACCGACACTCCGATTTCATCGTCCACCTGAAGACAATGCCAGAATAATTTACAGCACATGGGAAAAAATATAAATTCGTTCAAAATAAAAAAGGTTCTACACATGCTACTGAACACCGCCACCTCTTTCCTTTACAAATTCGTCACAGCTTTAGGTGCACTGCTTTCGATACAATTGATTAATGCTATCATATAATTCGTAATTGTGAATTACTAAAACTGGTGCTCTCTTCAAGCCAAGAAAATCTTTTTACAGTACTGAGATAATAGGTGAAAACTAGCTCGTTAAAACGAAATTTTAATAACACGAATTTTTTTTACATGCTTCAAATGAGGAAACTGCCTGGAAACCAAAAAGTTTCTCACAACGGGATTCGTTCTAACGGAATTTTGAACTCTGTCGGCTCATACTGGAAAAAAAGGAAATGAAAAATGATTGGTGCTATCCTGAATTTAGACTAGAAGGAAGGTTAAGCTCGCGGATTCTTGAAAGACAATTGATTCATTAATTTTTCATAACGTACTGTACAATGGTTTTTAAAGCCTCTTTAAATACATGATCAAAAATTCAAAAAATGAATTGGGATAAAGCTGAAAGAAAAAACTTCTTTGAAAAATTCGGAGATTGATCCCCTCATAATAAAATCTTCAAGTTCCAACAGACATAATCAAATTGAGATGATAAAAAATATCTGATATAATTTTGAACATTTGAAGAGAAAGGACGAATTTCAAAAAATTATGTCAAAACTGACGTACTCTCAACCAGATTATTTTCGCAACCACTATAAAAATTGTTCAAATTGCCAAGGGGTCTGCAGAATTACACGCATGTGTTACTGTGGGAAAATCTCGTCCAGCTAAAAAGCACTTAGGAACAATTAGGCATGTTCGATACGTCGCGTTTGGATTTATAAGATTTTAATACGACAGAAAATGAATACAGTACATACAAGTATATACTTACTTGGAGCTCATCCAAGTCACAAGAAGAGTAATCTTGCTTCACAACGCTCCCATTAAAATGCACATGACGCGACGAAAACATAACTACGCCGCCCTCAGTCAGCCTCGTCATTGTCACTGGCAACGGAAAATCACTTCCGAACTCATCCGGTCCACGAAGACTCACTCCGATTTCCACATTCCCTGTCCACTTGTCAACTTGTCCATCGACTCGCACGCGGAAAATCTCGTCCGGTTTCAAAGGAAATTCAGTGAAGAGCACTCCGTTGGCGTAATCGACATCAGACGATCGTCTACACGCAGCCAGACGATCCGAAGACAATTTAACATTCAAGCCACAACATGCCGGGTGGAATCTCGGGGAGCCGGTGAGGGAAATGGTCGGCTCTTCCACTAAAACCTCTCTTCGGTTCTCTGCCGAGACGGAGTCAAGTAAACGCACTCCTGTGCAGCGTCCGTAGAGTTCCACTACTAGAAAGACTTCTGGTGGAAGATCCGAACCGATCTGGTGGGTCTGGGAATTCCGTACATTCACCTCACATCGATTCTGAGAATGAAAAAAAAAAAGTGAAAGCAATCGATCTAAAAAATGCGAAATTATTTGCCACGCTTAAAACAAATATTTAAAATGTATTCTAGATAAATTGCTGCTTCAACAAAAAGGGGGAGGCATTTAATACAATCCTCAGATTGACTCTGCAGAATTAAATTCACATGAACGTCTCGAATTACACTCGAATTTTTCCAGTAAACCGACAACCGAAAACATTTATCTAAATTTAGCCAATGACCTTTTCAAAGAAAAACTTTAGGAAGATTTTTTTTAATGCAGTAAAATCTCTTCACAACGAATCCATCAAGACTTGTAAATTATCTTCGTTTTAAAGAGAAATTCGTTATAAAGTAACTCATATAAAATTTTGGCATGGATCTAAAAACGACTTTTTTACAAGCAATTAATCGATATAACGAGATTCCTTGCAAGGAATTAATGCTTAAAGTGAAATTGTTTTTCCCACTGTCCAATAGCCGCAACGTTATTTCAATTTCGTTCCAACACAATTTTTGTTCATAAAAATGCACTTTTCAAGGCCCCAAACGCTTTGTTGTAACGAGTTATTCTTGTAGCTGTTACAAAAAAGTTTTTCGGACTATCTTCAGATTCGAACGAACATTTTATGCCTCCAAATGTTCACCACAAATTTCTGCCAAATTTTTCAAGCGGTCCGACCAATGCATTAAATATTGTAATGAAAATTCCTCCAAAATCGATGAATTCTTTCAACAATATCCAGCTGGACACACTTTATCATTTCAAAAAGGTATGGAATAATGACTCACATCACTGGTTCTTTTCACCGTTATCACATCTCCTTTGTCCAGGTCGTCGAGATTCGGGCCATCGTAAGTGCCACCAATCATTCCCTTCTCCAAAACAGAGTCCCCCACCAACAACTTTAAAAAAAAAAGAGTGCTCGATTCAAAATATTTTCCAAAAGTTTAAATAAACGAAAAAAACCTCACCCATAAAGGACCGCAGATATCAAGATAAACGACAGGGACATTTTCCAAAGCCGACGGATTCGTGCCAACGACACCAATTTTAATGCCTCCGGTCCATCTCTCGCTCTAAAAACATCCAGAAGATTTTTTCCTTCAGAATTATGGAAAATAATTATTCGTGAAAACCGATATTACTCACGGTTTCGGTTATCAGAACATTCACCGGGACACCGACTTTCAACGGTGATTCGCTGAACACAATCCCATCATTAAATTCTTTGTTGTTCAGTCTCTCCGCCGATATCCCATCTTCAGACAATATCACATTCCGACCACATTTCGCGTGAAATAACATTATCAACAGACTAAATCGTGTTCTTCCAGAACATCTTAAACGACACTTCGCATCTGACACGATCGAAAAAAAAACGAAATAAGAATCATGAAACATAAGTTTAGAATGGAGAAACATACACATATAAACACGGAAATACGTAAGGTCTATTCTATATATGTCACATTCACAAGTTGAGATCTCCAAATAACGTTATTTCATTCTACAGGAAAAAAAAACTTGCATAAAATTCGACACACCAAAATTAAGCAATACAATTGCACTCCGCTCGTAGAAAATTCTAAAAACGTAAGTCTCCGTCACTGAACATAGCAAACTCTTTCAACCCGCATACGCTCCAACATTTCAACAGACAAAAATTGTTCTTCGGCTCCTCCAGGCTCTTTTGGCACAAAATCAAGGACCATGTTGTTGGTGAGCATGTTGTAGGGATTGTAAATGAAGGGAAGCTGCTGCATGGGCCGGCGTCATGTGTTGCAACAACATTTGTTGTTGCTGCTGGAGTCCCATCTGGTGCTGCTGTTGCGCCATGACGGCAGCCATTTGGTATGCATGTTGCTGTTGGTGCTGCTGCTGGTACAACAAATGGTGCTGTTGGTGTTGCTGCGGCTGGACTTGAATGTGGTGAGATAACACCGCTTGCTACAAAATAAAAGTATCCATACACTTGTATTCTCTATTATTAGTGGCCCCCCGCGTTCATTCAAGAAATAGCCCTTCTACCTTTCGGCGTTCAAAAAGAGACCAGCCACTAATGTAAAATCTCATTTGTAGGAAACAGCTTTGATGAGCAAACAAAAAAAACAGTTGAAATGAGTGGAACAGCTGAAACAGATTTAAACTTTTAAAATCTACACAAAACACAAATGCAATGACTACCGTATTTACTCGAGTACCACGCGCACCTTTTTTCTCAAAAATCCAGAGGAAAAAAGGGGGTGCATGTCATAAGTGGGCGTAAATTTTTAAACAGTTTTAGAAGTTCTGATGCGCATGATATTTGATCCTAATGGGGAATTTCGAATCAATATAAAGAGAAAGGCTTAATGTAATGAAAATACTGTACTGCACTGTATTAGTTGAATTCAGGATCAATTTATGTCTGAAATTCAAATTTTGTTAGTTCTTATTTCTCAAATAGTGTATTACAGCTTTGGGGTCACTAAAAATGGGGTGCTTGTCTTCCTTGAGGATATATTTTCATCAAAATTTCAACTTAAAAACCATGGTGCGCATCTGACTTGTGGGCGCGTGGTACTCAAATAAATACGTCATATGAGATAACTTGAATCAATATTTCAAGGACTTATGAGAATTTTCAACACCCGTTAATGTGGTAATTTCTTTACAGGAAATTTCAGAAAAGGACAAGGGTTCCAGTTGAGAAAAAAAAGCTTTCTGATGTCCCTGAACTATTTATCCAAGTTTTCCCATTTAGTCAGTGAAGTTGATTTTTACTTGTGTAGATTTTACATGTCTAGACTCTAGATGATCTTGAAATAAAACAGTGGAGAATTCCTCCACCTTTCAACGTTAGTGAAATCGTATTTGCTTCGTACCAATTGTTCAGTTTACTGAGCAGAATTCGGTGCTTCTAAAATTCAGAAGTTTTTGAAACTGTATACCTGTTTCATTTGCTTCTTTCATTTTCATACAATTGGAAGATGCCTGACTCACCAAAACCATCACAATCTTTATGAAGGATTTACCCCGATAGACAATGGATTCAATAGTGGCCAAGGATTAAGGGGATAGCAGCCACAAAAGGGTGACGCCACTCTTTTTACGTCATATCTTAAATTTCTAAATTCAGACATAAACAAGTTACTTTGTGTGGAAGGAATTACACTGCGATCAAGAGAAACAATGAATCCTTGCCTCCCAAGTTCATCATCCTGTCAACTCATTTAGAAGACAATTTCAAGTTTAGAATACCTGCATCAACAATAAAACCGATTATCACTAAAATTATTTTCCCCCCAAAATATTCTTGCTTCCTCAACTCAAAACCTCCAGAAATCGATTTTTTGCTGGTCCCTTGACAATTGAATTGAAGAGGTTTGACTATAAAATGCACTAAACTTGAATTTTTACTTAAATTGCAGTTGATTCGAATGTTAATTTTCCATTGCTTCCATTTTTGGATTTTTCCGTTAAACTTGGATTAAAATACCCCGCTAGAATCAAGTATGGAACGAACTCTTTTTTCCTCTTGAGAAAAAAAAAAGGTTCGCGTGATACAGTACGGTCAAACTTTGATAAGCCGCCACCCTTTTTGTGAGGCATGTTGCAATTACAGGGTTTAGGGGGTTTACAGGAGTCGGGGGTTTATTAGGAAACCCAAAATAATATTCAAATCAAGTGCAAAATGAAATGAAATTCATATTATTCTAAAAAATTAATCCAAATAACCCTGGGATGTTTAAATTACTCCTAGATACTCTTCCCGAGAACTGAATCTTGTCATCTTTGAGTTGCTGTTTAGAGACCTTTTAATTGGAGACTAACTTTTACAGAAAATTGAATAATTTTGGTGGGGTATCAAAAACAACAATGAACTGGCAGAATCATAATTTCAACAGAGTACGTTCTAAGGGGGTTTTCCAATATCATTATCATTATCATTAGGATATTATTTTTTCGCAAAATAAATTGGCATTTCCTGAGGCCTACGAATTATTGACTGTAAATACGATATGTCAGCTTCCAAAAAAAATTCGTCACAGTTGTACTCGAAAATTCTGCGATAAAGTAAAAGCTATTTTCTCACCTGCACTTGAGCGACACTTTGGGTCTGATGAGATATATGCGTTTGATGATGGGCCAGCAAATGCGGATTATGCATCATCTGGTGCCTGACCCCAGACGACGACGACGAAGACGGGGACGCTGAAGCTGACGACGACGGTGACGAGGCAGCCATAGCAACATGCACTGCACTGTTTGCATGGGAAGGCACCATTTGCGATTGTTGCTGCGACGGCGACATGGAATGTCCCACTGCAGACGCAATCATTTGCTGATGCTGCGGACTCCCGATGCTCGCAGGCAACATGTGCTGCTGCTGCGGCGGCTGTTGCATTTGCGTTTGTTGATTGTACATGTGCAGGTGCTGCTGATGCTGCGGAGACGAGTTTTGAGGAGATACTGCGGGGAGTTGTTGAGCAATTCTTTGCTGCTGCTGCGTCTGCAGCCTGGCCTGATGTTGTTGCTGCTGCTGCTGCTGCAGCAAATGCTGCTGGTACATCTGTTGTTGCGGATTCTGCTGCTGCATTGTTGCGTGATGTTGCATCTGCTGAGGCTGCTGATGAGCCACATGCTGCTGCTGTTGCTGCTGCTGGTAATTCATCAGTTGCTGATGTTGTGGTGCATACTGCTGGGAAGCAACTTGCTGCTGCTGCACTCCACCGATGGATGGAGAAACAGAGGGCGGCTGGGTCAACTGTTGCTGCTGTGCAACGTGTACACTTTTCGGTGGCGTCTGACCGCCATGCGTCACAGCGGACATCGGTGTAGAAGGTGCAGATCCTTCACTGCTCAAGTGCGGATTAGAAGCTGGCCCCGGGGCGACTCTGGGATGTCCAGGCGGCTCCTGAGCATTCCCAGCAGGAACAAAAGGCGGTGGTTTCACTGCAGCGTCGGTGTCTCCTAGCCACAGCAATAACGCGTGTTCCGGCAGCACCTTGGCTTCTTCTTGGTCTCTTGACAATCCCTGAGAAAACCCTTGGGCCAGGTTGAGACACTCTTGTTCCCGGTTCGTATCCCCGCAAACTCGATACAATCTCCGTTGAATAGACGCGGCCCAGAGTTGAATCGTCGCGTCGGGGATCTTGGAGGCAAGTTGCATCGCAGGTGTCACCATGTTTGAACTTTCGCGGCTGTTGTTCAATGCGAGAAATATGTGCCCGAGCAACACGAGAGATATTGAGGTAAGCCGATTGAGATCCTCAGCATTCGCCATCTTCAGTGTGTCACGTAGAAAGCTTTTCGCCTCGTTGAATCGCCCGCCCAAAAATGCGTGCAACCCACGGACGTAAAGACCCGCTGCGCGAAGTCCGTGACTATGCTGGGGAATTCTTTCCGGGTCTGCCAAACGTTCCACGATTTCCGCGTCTTCGTTGCTCACGATCTGCTGCGGATTTCCCTGCATTTGAGATTTCATGAGCCGGATGATGGCCATGTTCAGATGAACAAAGACGATCAACTCTGGTTTAGTTGCTAGGGCGACATTTGATCCTTGAACGGCAGTCGCGAACTGACGTTCTGCAATGTCTAGTTCGTCGAGACTCATGGCGCAGAGTCCGAGAAGGGCGTGCATTTGGGGTCTGGTACTACGGCGGAGTTGGGTCAGGTACTTTTTCAAGGCTTTGTCAGCAGATGAATTCGTGTCCGGAAAGTAAAGGAGGTGGCAAAGGTTATTCAGTTCCCTCAAAGCAAGTCCTCTGTGACCCATGACTAGCTGGCAGAGAACCATGTGCTCCAAGATCATCCTTTGAAAATTCAGCAACAACGGACGCTTGTCACCGGCTGAAAAAAATTATGTGGGTTCATCATTATTCAAGCATCACAATACGCAAAAAAGGCCAAGGGACATTTGTGAACGCCATCAAGTCTTCGAAGTACGAGCTGAAATTTACCCACAAGGAGTCGTGAAAAACTCCATCGTAGAATTGCAACGAGACGCATCCCATAGAATTGCGACAAGCATCCCGTAGAATTATTATTTGATAGAACGGCAGTTTCCTTCGAGTCAATGAGTTTTTTTCCGCCCAAAATTATGTAACTATTCTACATAGAATGAGTGTTTTCCAAAATTGAATTCCTAGAGCTGATTACGTAAGAAATCAAGTTGGAAAATTCGCATGACAGACGTTGCATTCGTTTGTTTTGAATCTATAATACGATAAATCGACCACAGAAAGAGATGGACATGGAAGTACCAACAAAGCAATATCTGTGAGGAAACTTTTGAAACCCTGAAGGGAACATTCAGTTTCTTCAACGTTTTTAAATAGTGTACCCACTAAAAGTCAATGCAGGGGAATTGCGTGCCTTATGATCAAAGCAAAGTTTAAGAAAACTAGAGTGGTCTGTGAATAGTTTCCATAACATTACACAAGGGAATAAACTCGGAAAAATCAAATCCAGGTTTTGAATAAAAAATTATACTGTATATAAAATAAAAACAAATTTTAAAATGTTAGTCTTGAAAAAAACTTGCATCGCTCACGCCGCCACTTTCCTTCTGCGCTGAAAGAGGGCGATTTACAAGGCCCGAAGTTCAAAATACATTTTTTGACATCGACTAGGGCTCATTTTTTGGATAATTCTCAATTCTTGGAGAACGCAGATATGTAACGAACGAACCACGCACAAAAAATGTAACTCAACACTCGCCTTTCATTTTCTCAACTTGCGCCAAGGCTTTCTCAGAGTACTTCTGTGCTTTTTCCATGTAACCGGCTTGCATTGAATGAGAGATCGTCACCAGGTACACCAGCACACACATGTGCTCTTTCGGCAGCCACATGAAATTATCAGCTATGCAAGTTGCCGATGCCAAATCTTGGAATAAATAAAAATAAAATAATCATGATGGATTGAATCAATTTCTTGCAACAGACAAACCGTACCTTCGTCATTCGGCCAATTGGGCTGCGTGATAGTTTGGACGGATTGTTGCAATTGTTTCAAGCCAGGTTTCACGCTCTTCACTTGCCCAACCATCAAGTAGTGGCAGACTTGGAGAACAAGGAAGAACACCTTCAGGTACTCTTTTTGATGCGAACTTCCAGTGAAAGCCTCGAGAAAAGTACCTCCTTGATTGAGTACATCGGCAGCTTCTACCATTCCCCCGCTTGTGAGCAAAAGCTGGAACACATAATGAGGTCAAAACGACAGAGACGTCGTGACAGTTTGTAACATACCATGGCTTTTGAGAGTGTGAAAAGTATTCGGGTGAACTGTGCTGAGGAACCTTGGGAGTAATCAATACCAACGCCAAGCAGGCCCAAGGCTGAAGCATAGTCTTTCTCCTTTGCATGCATTTGCTGTATTGAAGAAAACGAATTGGCAATATAGATTGATTTACAAGCACATTCTTCAGCATTTACACAAGCGCCGAAAATGACAATACCTTCATAAACTCACTGGAACAGTTACGACCTCCTCACAAAAATGCGAAAAGAACACGAACAAATGTCCGGATTGAACTGTCACACATTCGTACTTCACGTGGTTCAGAAAACAACACATAATCCCATTTATGTTTCGGAGTTTCGCAATAATGTGTCCACTTGCACACATAATTTCCTTGTTCTAGTTAGAATACCCCCTTTTATTTAATGCGACAGATAATCAAAGGTTTCTTCGTACATGATCTGAGACGGACAATTTAGTTCCGGTTCCGTGCACACCTTAAAAATTCACACCTACACTCGCAACATTGTCTAGAAATCCATAGTACTCAACAAAACAAAAATATTTCACCCGCAAAGTTAGCATGGTTTGAAAATATGCACAAACGCGACGAACTAAAGCGAAAAGCTGGACTTCAGAACCGTCGATTCCTCACAGAGAGAAAAAAGATTACATCAAGTAATTCAAATTTCCAGCTTTCTATTTTAGTACAATCGCATTCCCCTTTTTCAGTAGCAAGGTGGTCATGCAGAGAGCAAAGATAATCGCAATTCTGCGTTGTAAAGAGAATATTTAATATCCAAATTTACTCAATTTTGTATTTCCAGATTGAAAGGCAGGAAACCGGAAAATTGCATAACGGACAGACTGACACTGATGATCGTTGTTTGACAAAAACTAAGCTTCGAAAAAGCTCTCCACGAAAAAACATAATACTGTGATAACTCACGGCAAGTTGAAAGAGCAATCGACAGTGCCAATACACATGAGTTGCTTGAGATAATTCGAGCGCTTTGCGAAGTATAGCTTTAGCATCATTGCTTCCCGGTGCTCCGGGCAACGCTGCTGCACTTGAAGCTGCATCCAAGGCGTCTTGATGAAGGTGCTCGGTAACTTCAGCCAAGAGACTGGCAGCTTCAAACTTGACATCGTCGAAGCTAGTGAGATTCTGACTTAATAACCACTGTAAAAAAACAAAAAAACAATGACTTTAATCTCGAAATAAATTTATCATTAAAACTCTGACTCACAGCTTGTTCCAAATGAGTTTTAGCCAAATCAATGTTCTTCGTATGAGTGTACAGGATTGTTCCAAGCTGTAAATGCGTCCGAGCCTCAACTTTCGGCGGAGGCTTCGCATGAAACACTGCCATTAAACATTGGATGCAACGGCGGTAATCAGGCGGTTTGATGGTGCGAAAGTGCTCCGCTAGCCCCAAGAGGGCTAAATACCAGGAGTCCATGGTCCAACTACAAAAATACACTCAGCGCTTTCAACGCACCATAATTTAACGCGGCCGCAGCTTTGCACTTCCGACGCATACTCCTGTGGACACGCGGCAAAAGAGAAACAGAAAAATTATGAAGCAAGTGACCACTCATGCGAACAGTACGGCACTAACGATCATCGAAATAAATTACATCCTTTACTTGAATTCAGTCAATCGAATCAAGATTCTCGCATTTTTCATCGTTCACACTAGAATTCTGCATCGCGCACACTTCATGATACGAAGGAAGAAAATTTATACAAATGCGGCACTGATCAAAATTATTATCTTCGCCACGATGCAGGAGCAAAGGTAAGAGAACAGGGTACTGTACTGGATACTGTGCACTTAAATCTTGATCGAAGTAGCGTGACCCATCCAATCTCGAGCGGTGTTCCAACACGATCAGCCTGCACACATCTAGATGGCTTCAACCAGATAGTACGTTATCCGTTTAAAAAAAATTATTAAAAAACACTGTTCACTGGACTGACATTTCCAAGTATATCTGCGCTATTTACGCAAGAATAGAAACGCGATTTGAAAGCTTACGTCACTCTTCTTCCATCCTCTTAAAAAGCACTGTAAAGTGATTTTCAGGTACGGAGCACGAATGGATATTATTCGTACCTTTACTCTTTTCATATTTACGTCCAGAAATTCGCGAACCTTACATCCTCCTACTTCGGAAATTCAATTCACACCATCTAACATTCACCGCTCCTTCCCATCGGACGGACCTGAGCGACAGGATGTCATATAACGGATACAGTACAAGCGTTTGGGGGATAATCGCAATGTTGACGTACTTCGGTACTGTAACGGATTATTCCCTTGAAACAACCTTGTCTTATGCGATACGCGCAGTTCCATATTTTAATTCAACCTATATGAGAACAAAAATTTGTTTGCTTATTTCCACAGAAAATTCCTTTGAATTCTGGAAAATGAAACAGTGTAGATTTGGTGTATGTTATACTGCACAGGATAGTACTTCAGGGAATGACACTGAGGTACATTATCTGAACTGTGGAACAGCACGCACATGAGGATGTCGTAACTTATCCGCTTGCGTTTCTGCAGGTGATGGTTGAATTTTGAGCCTTCGTGTGCTGTTATGTCGAATTTTACATCGCCTCATCTGGATATCGTGACGCAATCGCGCGAAGAGTTGGAGGTTCCGAATGGGCTGGTTAATTTACCATGCGCAACGCGGACGAAAGTCAACGTTTTTAATAATGACTTGTCCGCGGAGTGGCAAGACCATCTGGAAATGATTCCGAGCAGTGCAGTCTTACTGTTCGGGAATCATGTCTGCTTTTGTTGTCCGGGAAAACTGAGTGTTCCTGGCGCGGAAACAAAGTGTATCGGTACGTAAGAACCGATGAACTTCAAGGAGCAGGATCGCATTGTTAATGTTCGAAAAATGCCAGATGCTTAGATGCAATTTGTTACTATGAAGCTCAGCCGGAGGAAACGACGGAAGAAGTCAATATTGCGAAAATTCAACTTATTCGTTTGATCAACTCCCATATGAACGGCCTTTTGTTCGACTTTTGGAACGTGACTTCCGTAATTACATCATGTGTGTCGCGGTGGCATGGTGAAATTTCATTCGAAATTAGCTTACCTTGTATAGCTCAAGCCAATTCGATCCACAGAGGACAATATGTATTGGATGCACCTCGATACGACTGACATCCAGGAACATTTTCCTCATGCGTTGCCTTTTCCGGTTGGCATTTTTATTTTGCTGTGTATTCAAGTCCCAGAGTTCAATGGTTCTTCCGCCTTTCAATTACGGTTTTCAGGCTTTTTCATCCTCAGTTCACTGGAGAGGCATTTTTATAAGCCTCAGTCTTTGTGCCATTTCGCTTTTAGAAAGCGAACGTTTTTTTTTCTAGAATATACCTCACGCATTTTTATCCAGTAATGGAATCTGTAGTAGGACCAAAACGGCCAAAATCGAGAAGTGACATAATTCAATTGTATTATAGAAAGGGTGAACATTTAGTGTTTTATAAACTCTGAATGGCATAAACTTTTCTACCAACTATCCGAAGTTTAGATGATTGGTAGGAGCGGAACGATCTCCTTTACGTGCACTGAAAATTAAACGATTATTCGCTGGAAAATATTTTCATTGATGTGTATTTGATTTTACATTTCTGAACGAATTATCTTTAATCGACGCCTTGTTGACAATTATTGAACAATCGGTTTTTTAAACGTCCCTTTTTTCAGCGAAGCTTGACCGTGTCCTAGCCTCCAGGGTAACAAATGTTACCGAATTTTCAGAAACAGTACCAACGCATAGTGTTAATTGATGCTGGTATTATCGAGATAATCCATGATTATGAAATCGACCGTGTCGTTACGGTTTTGTTGTCGAAGCGCTGATTAACTCAGTGAATGGTAATTTAGAATCACACATATTGGGTCTGAGTGTGCACTGTTTTTCTTTTCATACATCTAGTAGCTTCCAGAATTGTGTTGTGAATCGCCCGAGAAGACGGGCGGAGAGTGTTTTTGAGCATGGCAGATTCGTCGAGGGACGATATTGATTACGACACTAGATCAGAGGCATCCTCCAGCTCGTCAAGATCTCGAAATATTTCTTCACACTCCGGTTTGTTTGCTTCAGCATCCCAAAGATTTCTTGAGCAGCCATTGGCATGTCCTTTTTCAGAAATCGATGAAAGATTGGCTCACGATTCCGTCAACGTTGAACCGGGTACCTGCCGTGACAGGCACTCGCCTGTTGTGAGGAGTAATCAGGCCCAAGGTCGACAAACACATATAAGGAAGCGAGAACATTCACCAGTCAAATTTGACGTGAAAGATGACTCTCCTAAGACGACTGGGCCGTCAGTGAAAAAACTCAAACGTCCGGAGTGCTATAATTACATCACAAAATTGAACTATCTGTTTCGTGATGCAAGATTTTTTGTGATGAAAAGCAACAATGAGGAAAATATCGCGTTGAGTAAATCAAAAGCCGTTTGGTCAACTCCACCTCAGAATGAGGCCAAATTAAATCGTGCTTTCACGGAGTGCAGAAATGTATTGCTATTATTTTCTGTGAAAGAAAGCGGAAAATTTGCAGGTTAGTTTTGGAAAAAAAATTTTGTTGTACTCCGTTGTCTATACTGTTATTGTGCTTCCATGATCTAGGATTTGCTCGACTTGGAAGTCACAGCAGGAGAGATGTATCTCCCGTGAATTGGATTTTGCCGCCAGGAATTTCCGCACGAGCCTTGGGTGGTATTTTCCAGATTGATTGGATCACGAAGTGAGTCGGAATGCATTTCTCTTAAATACAGTATTGTACCATGCTTACAGTCTTGTGAATTGGGCGGAAATGTGTAGGAATGATGAAATTCGATTTCGTTTCAGGAAAGAGCTGCCTTTCTCAAAAGTTTCTCATCTGTATAATCCCTGGAATGACGGGAAACCAGTTAAAATCGGCAGAGATGGACAGGTGGGAATTTCACACAAGCAATTTTTGTTTTGGAACTTGTGCTCGATACCCATGGCATTTTTGTTTAGGAGATTGAACCAAAAGTTGCTGAAGAGCTTTGTCGCATTTTTCCTGAAGATGAGAGCACAGAATTGACGCCGATTCTGTATAAAAGTAAACGGGCATCCAAGAGAGTCTCAAGGGATCCTCAGATGCGTACACCAGCTGGCACCTCATCATCTCCTGGTACAAAGTCGCGCCATAATGATAGTTCTATTGGACCAAGAGAATTATCCGCAAGGTGAGATTGGTGTCAGTTATATACTTATATCTTTAGTTGGTCGTGAATGATTTCAATTTTCTACTGGCAGAAGGAGTTTTCACGAACGCTGCTCTCCGTATAGAGATCTGCCTGGTCATCACCAGAATCGCGAAGAATGTGAGCTGAGTTCCGTAATTGAGTTTGTATTGTTGAATGATGATTTATGTATCCAGTTTGAGATCGTTTATCTTGGGAATGTATCGATTTTATCAATGCATAATTACCCTCTGAGTCTGTAACGTCCTTCAAAGTAAGTATTTTTGCATCTCGTTATCATATTTTTTTTCGTTTGCATGCCAGAGTTCAGAAAATTTAATTTTTACCAAGTCTCGTTCGTGGGTTTGTTTTTGGTGGAATATGAATGAAAATGATGCGATACTGTATACTCTGTGAACGGGAAGGGACATTTTCTTGGATAGTTTACATTACCTCATTTGCATTTTTCGCAGATTATCTTCCGCGTCGAAGAAGATCGCCCAAAATCATCAGTCACCTGTCCGGGGGGAGAAGTTACCGCGTCGTAAGTTCCCCTTGAAAATTTTCTCGTGAAAATCTTTAAAATCGTCATATTTCAGGCAAATTATGGGGATTTCTATCGCCATCCAGTCCACTTTCAGCCTGAGGTAGTTATTTGCTTGACGTACACGCATGACTGTTTTGTAAATGAATCAGAATTTTTATTTCAGGTACCACATGCGGATTCTATGAGTCATTCAGTTTACGATTCCTCTTCAAGACTTGATTTTCGTCAGCGTCATGATCAAGAAATCCTCAAAGTCATTGTATGTATCAACATTAACCAATAATTTTTTACCTTGCTGTACGTCATGTAAAATTTCAGCGGTACGAGGATCGTTACAGACATCGTGACATCATCCCTGGATCACATGGGAGAAGTGGTAGATTTCAAGAAGGAAGATACAATCACCGTGGGCTGTGTTGAAATTTGTTTTGAATTTTGTTACTGTTTTTTTACGACTTCGGAAAGCATTCTTTGTACGGATCTAGTGTTGTAGATGGATTGTTGTTTTTTTAATTATTCATTTCTTTCAGTATTATCGTTGTCAGCGATTAATCAGGATGTGTTTTTTCGGAAAATGTCTCACTTCCTTTCGTAGTTATACCAATATTGTGCATGATCTGAAAAATGTCCAACTGTTCTTTCGTAGCAAAATTTCTCATCACCTACAGTATTGTGTTTTTCAAGACTTGTAACGTGTTAATCCAATATCCAAAGTTGAATTATTTTGTCATTATCACTGGAAATTCTTCAGTTGAGGATTTAAATTCGCATGAGGGATTGGGGTCATCAATGCCGCCTAAATTTAAGTGAAATGTCAAAGGTTTTCCAGCTAAATCAGCTTCTTGACTAACATGGTTTGTCCAGCCACATTAGCCGGATTACCCCACACTTACGAGTAAGACACAATGATTTTGTGGAATAAGTTTAACTTGACATGTATCCTTGCATAAGACTCGCATGCCAGCTTTTTTTGGCGATGGAAATCGTTATACGGTATATCAACAGCTACAGTACATTAAAATTTGAATCAAGGCTACTAAACTCGGTACTTCTTTTTAAATTCAATGTCATGGCTGCTGTTTTATAAACCTTTGATCTCTGGGAGATTCTTACATAATAATGGAAAAATATATTCTAACTGCTGTTCAAACTTCACCAACTACACCTGCATCAAAAATGTTGAAAAATTTTACTCTGACAAATTTTACAGGATTTTAAAGGTTTTAGTTTTAGGATTTAACATGCTTAATGGCTGAATGTGGAATTTTATACTGTGGAAACCGAATTCTAGCCACGTATTAAAAAAAAAAAAAGATACTATCTTGTACATTATAATTTTAAGAATTCGTCAATTTTTTTTATCAAGATTTCAAGTTTTGCCAAAAAATGACTAACCAGTCAATATTCTGCTTCAAACTTCCGTTAAAATTGACATGTTAGCCTAAATTTTATTCAAGGTAAACTGTTCCTTGTATTTCAATTTTTGCATCTGGTAAAGATTGGATTACAGTATCAAAAATTATTTCCACCTGTGGTCGAGAAATCATTTTTAAAATTTCCAATTGAGAATATAAACCAGTGCTGCTCAACATATGGCCCATGCTGGGCCAGATCTGGCCTGCGGAGACTCTTCGCCTTGTGGTTCCTTCTCTATAATTTTCGAAGTATGGTAACTGCCACTATTCAAATTATTTATTGAAGGATCAATTTAAAAAATTTCCCCACCCTTCAAGAGTGTTTTAAGGCTATGTTTGTGATTCAATTCATGATATTTAATTAGATTTGAAACTTTTCTATTAGGAAAAGAAAATTTTAACCTAAAAAACTGTCTATTGTGGCCAGCAACGACTCAATCCCCATCTCTGCAAGTGCCCCATGTTTGGAAAAATGTATTAATGTAGCCCTTGGCAGCATTGATATGCCCCACAAGGCTGTTTATTCAGTATGTTATAAATACATTGAGCACTTAAAACCAGTGAAGTATTAATTTTTAATGGTTGAGTTTGCACCAACTTCTCAAGTTCCGCAGCCCATGATGATGCATGCTTGCTCCAGGGTTGCCAAACGCAACGTGCGTTAAAGCGGGACATTCATGCGTCAGCAATGAAGGAGAAAAAGGAGAGACAGGAACGAAACGAGATGCCACCGCCGTCCCGATTATGTGGCGCCGAGTACATATGAAGGCGGTTGCATGAGGCGCCCCCGCATGTTGGTTGGGCGATCATGTGGGAAGGGTCCTTTATATATAAAGTTTATAAGACTCCAAGTGTCTCAATCATGTGATGTACAGGGCCACTCCGGCTATAATGAGTCAACATAAAATAAATTACATCAGGGGGGGATCCAAAAGTTCGAAAGAAAAGATAGAGATGGATGACGCTTTGTAAAAGCCCTGACGTTATGCGTTCGCGCACTAGATAAAAAAAATTTGCGAATGGAAAATTATTCGCTCAGCAATTTTTTTTCTTGGAATAACTGTTGAGAACGGAATTCTTTCATACCGGAATGCATTCTTGAAGAAATAAAAGTTGAATCAGGTGTTCAGTTTCCTTACTGGGGCGCTCTTCTATTACATTAGTGATAAGGGAATGTTTTTCTTGTGGATACTACCACAAGTTCAGCAAGCTGAGATTTTACTTCCTACTTTATTGACTAATATGCCACCGGATGCATCATTTTCTTTAATGTTTTAGAATTGAGAGTTCCACACTCCGACGACAAAGACCTTTCGATGAACCTTGCCTTTTATTCCAATATTTTTTCTCGGAACTACGCGGTTTTGTTTGTAAATGTTCTGCTGAGCTGGGGAAAATGAACCATTTGTCTACCTTTATCTGGATGTGCGGTTCATTCTTTCGGTGTTCATCGCTCTTCCTTCGTCCTCTTACTCCTGTATATAGTTATCGTACCTTTTTTTTCTTTTAATTTTTGCGACAATATGCTAGACATTTTTTTTTTCAGCAGGCGATACGTTCAACTATAGCAGCACTTGTTCACTCAAATAATGAATCTATTATATGCGTTTATCTAGTAACATCTACAGTATTATGAAATAATTAATTTTTAACGAAGAATGAAAGCTTGAGAGCATTTTTAACAGAGGACGGAATATTTTTTCATTGAATTCCCAGCAGGCATGACGTTTTTTTTTGCTGGTGCATCCATGTCATTTTTAATCAAATTGTAAGAACATTCATCAAAATTAGGCACATTAGAACCTTAAGCAATCCAGTCTTGATCAACTGGGAATTGCTTTAACCGTGACCCCAGTTCTTGACCCACTGGCATTCTTACACTTCACTCGTTACCAAATAATGATTGTAGTATTGATTGTAGTACAGGAGTTCTGATGTCTTCAATAGAAGATAAAATCTTGTTATCTTCGAGAAGATTTCATTTTCCTGAATTCATGATTCAGACATAATTCACAATTTTGGAATACAGTACAACAATCTTAGGCATTTTAAAATTTGGAAACATCTTCCACAAATTAAAGTTGGATCATATTCCTGTAAAATCCAGTGTTGTGAAGGTAACTGTACAGCAGAAAAAAATGCCTTGATGAAATTTAATTCAATTAATCCGTGGTGCGCACGACGCAGTTCCAGTTCCCAACGACAAGGGGAAACAAAATAAAACCAGTGTTCCACAGAAGCAGATCATCCATGGAAGTGCTCTTCCAAATCCTAGAAACATTTTGTTACTTTTTCAAAAGACTAAGAGTATTGGGCTTATATTCAGGGTTTAGATGTAAAAAAAAATGAGTAGGATGGAAAATTTTCAAAAATTCCTATGCTTGATGAGCAATGAAGGCCAGAAGCCGATTCACGCGAAAAACTTTCGTCATTTCGTACCGAAATTCGGGCAGTTGATGGCCCCAATCCCTCTTGTATTTGAATTAAAGTTATCATTTCCTCGTATTAAAAAATTAGACACTTCGACAGGACTAAAGGAGCCCTCTTCTTAGCATTAATTTTATGCAATACGTGTTTCCAATCTGTTCTAGGGTTGGTATCTATAATAACTGTGTAAAATTTTCGAGAAGCATGAGAATATTGATAAATTCTTGTACAGGAGAGCAGTTCGACATTATTCAGATAGAATCATAGTTGCAATAACTATGGAAGAAAGTACGCCACTATCCAATAAACTCATTTAGATCAATCACAGACAATGATGATACTGAGAGGAATGATGAATAAAAAAACAACAATCCATCTACAACACTAGATCCGTACAAGAGTTCTTTTCAAAGTCGTAACAAAACCGTAACAATATTCAAAACAAATTTCAACACAGCCCACGATGATTGATTCTTCCTTATTGAAATCTACCACTTCTTCCAAGTGATCCTGGGATGACGTCACGATGTCTGTAACGATCCTCGTACCGCTGAAATTTTAAAAACTGGAGAGCAAGGCCAACAATAATTTGTTAATCTGCATACATACAATTAATTTCAGGATTTCTCGATCCTGACGCTGACGAAAATCAAGTCTTGAAGACGAATCGTAAACTGAATGACTCATAGAATCCCCATGTGCTACCTGAAATAAAACGATCAGGTTCATACACGCCTCAGTCACGCGGGTACGACAAGTAAATAACCACCTCATGCGGAAACTGGACTGGATGGCGATGGAAATCCCCATAATTTGCCTGAAATATGACGATTTTAAAGATTTTCAGAACAATTTCAGGGGTTAACTTACGAAGCGGTAACTTCTCCCACCGGACAAGTGACCGATAATTTTGGGCGACCTTCTTCGGCGCGACAGATAATCTGCGAAGTACGCGAATGAACACAAATAATCTAGCGAAAAGAATACCTTTCCCGGTTCTCACACAAAGCAAAACCGCATCGTATTCCAAACATTCGGGTAAAATTATCGCACAGCTAAACGCGAGAACCAAAATCTTTAAAAATGTTGGCAGTACAGCATTTTTAAAGGCAATATAAAACAAAATTCGATCGTAGGACAAACATTTTTTTCTTTCTAAATCTCGAACAGGATTTATGAATCAACGTTCAAATGAATACTTGAACATGGTACAACTATACCTAGATATACTGTACACCCAATTGCGGAACTATACTCACATTCATCGACGTTCAGGTTATGACCAGGCAGATCTCTATACGGAGAGCAGCGTTCGTAAATACTCCTTCTGCCAGTAGAAAATTGATTTTCTTCACAACCAACTAAAGACATAACTGACATCAATCTCACCTTGCGGGTAATTCTCCAAGTCCAACAGAACCATCATTTTGGCGCGAATTTGTACCAGGAGATGATGAGGTGCCAGCTGGTGTACGCATCTGAGGATCCCTTGAGACTCTCTTGGATGCCCTTTTACTTTTATACAGAATCGGCGTTAATTCTGTGCTCTCATCTTCAGGAAAAATGCGACAAAGCTCTCCAGCAACTTTTGGTTCAATCTCCTGAACAAAAATGCGATGGTATCAAGCACAAGCTCGAAAACAAAAATTGCTCTTGTGAAATTCCCACCTGTCCATCTCTGCCGATTTTAACTGGTTTCCCGTCATTCCAGGGATTATACAAATGAGACACTTTCGAGAAAGGCAGCTCTTTCCTGAAAAGAAGTTGAATTTCATCATTCCTAAACATTTCCGCCCCATTCACGAGACTGTAGGCATGGTACTGTATTTAAGAGAAATGCATTCCGACTCACTTCGTGATCCAATCAATCTGGAAAATACCACCCAAGGCTCGTGCGGAAATTCCTGGCGGCAAAATCCAATTCACGGGAGATACATCTCTCCTGCTGTGACTTCCAAGTCGAGCAAATCCTAGATCATGGAAGCACAGTAACAGTACAGACAACGGAGTACAACAAAATTTTTTTTCCAAAACTAACCTGCAAATTTTCCGCTTTCTTTAACAGAAAATAATAGCAATACATTTCTGCACTCCGTGAAAGCACGATTTAATTTGGCCTCATTCTGAGGTGGAGTTGACCAAACGGCTTTTGATTTACTCAACGCGATATTTTCCTCATTGTTGCTTTTCATCACAAAAAATCTTGCATCACGAAACAGATATTTCAATTTTGTGATGTAATTATAGCACTCTGGATGCTTGAGTTTCTTCACGGACAGTACCCCTGTCGTCCTCAGAGAGCCATCATTCACGACAAATTTAACTGGTGAATGTTCTCGCTTCCTTATATGTGTCTGTCGAGCTTGAGGCTGATTACTCCTCACAACAGGCGAGTGCCTGTCACGGCAGATACCCTGTTCACCGTTGACGTGATCATGAGCCGATTGCTCATGGATTTCTGAAAAAGAACATGCCAATTGCTGCTCAAGAAACCTTTGGGATGTTGCAGCAAACCTACCAGAGGGTGAAGAAATACTTCGAGATCTCAACGAGCTGGAGGATGCCTCCGATCTAGTGTCGTAATCAATATCTTCCCTCGACGAATCTGCCATGCTCACGAACACGCACGGCCCGATTTTAAGGGCACTTCACAACACAATACCTAAAGCATTAATTCCTAGTGCCTTTAAATAATTTATAGATAATCAGATTCAGTCTGCGTGGATTTAATTTCAGCTGGCTGTGTTTCTCTTTGATGTAACGACAGCAGAACCATAAACGAGACGGTTGCTTCTGTTGTACAATCAAGGGTAAATCTTGAGAACGATCGAAAAATTCGACTTAGAAAATCTTATTGATTTCAGGCGTTCTGGTACCGCTGAAAGACCTTTCCCATTTTAACTACGGTTTTCGCCGCTGAAAAATATTGAAATTTAAGACTATTCCGATTCCTGAAAACAACGGTTCCACGTGTTATCGCAAGCTAAAATGGAACGGAAGCGGCTTTTAGTTGAATTCAGTTTCACGTGCTCTTAGAAGTTTCAAAGAAAAATCTGGAAAACCTTATTTGAACTGAAAAAGCTAAGGATTCTTGAACGCTTCAAAAAATTGAATGCATAGCAAAATAATAAAAAAAAACATGTTTTCTTTATGCGCAATGTAATCGTTATTCACTAAACTGGCGTTTCCCGATATATTTGCGCTATCTTTGTGGAAGCAAAAATGCAATTTTTATGCGTACATCATTACATCTACTTTATCCCATACTAAACAGTAACACTATATACAATCCACTTTTTATGTATATAGAATAACTACGGGAGCTTCCTGGTGGTTAGGGACTTGACGCATCCCACATGAAACCTCACTACCCTAAGCTCCAGTTTCTCTTCCTCAACTTCAGTCTCGTTACGCTTGCTTTCAGAAATTCGCGAAACAGACTTCTCCCGTTGCACAAACCTCGCGCGGGATAGCCCCATGCAGAATTTTAACGGGATCTCAAAAACGAATACAGTACTGTACAGTACAGTAAAAGCGTTTCGGGTTTGTTTGTTTGTTGACGTACTTTGGTAATGTGGAGGATTATTCCGTTGAATGACATTGGTCTTTTTCGCATTGAATGCAGTTTCCTAGTTTCATTCAATCGATATAAGTGGTGAAATAAGTTTTGTGCTGAATGTCATTCAAAATACGCTTGAATTCCGGAAATTAACCAAAGTCCGTTTCTGGCCTATGGCGAAGTGCAAAACTCGGTACTTCAGGGTATGGTAGTGATGTAACCGAGCTGGCTAACAGCACATGGGGATGTCGAAACTTGTCCGAATGCGTTTGTCAGTCTTGGTTTGCATGTGGAGGGCTGCATGTGTTGGATCGTGAAATTTTGCATTCATCCAGACGTTCCGTTATTTTATTGTAGTGTCTCATTGTGTGCTGTCGTGGATAGAATGAAAATTTTGAATGAGAGGAACCTGGCTGCATTCGGAGCTGCGCCGTCGACACCTGCTGATAAACAAGGGTGGCTTTTCAAGCGTGGTGAAACAAATCGAGCATACCAGAGGCGTTGGTTTTCCTTGAAGGGGAATCTTCTGTTCTATTTTGAAAAACCAAATGAGCGTGAACCGATTGGCGTCGTAATTCTGGAGGGATGCACAATCGGTAAGAGGAAGAACTTTTGCGTGAGGTTGAGTTGGGGTGGAAAACGTTGTCTTTTTCAGAATGTTCGGATGGAGATCCGTACAGCTTTGAAGTTGCTTTCCATGGGCCAGGTACAAGAACATACTACCTTTGTGCTGAATCTCAGCGCTCAATGGAAGATTGGATGAAAGCTCTGTCGTGTGCGTCGTACGACTACATGAAAATGATGGTGACAGAGCTTCAGAGGCAAGTGGATGAGCTGGAAGGTGAGTATCTTTCTTCACGTTTTCTGACCTCCGTCGTTGATAACGCTGACCGATTCCAGGCGGCGAACGATCCAGAGACTCGATGGGGGTACCACCTGGATTCTTTCATGCTCACCCGAATGGATCAGTTGCTCTTCCAGTTGCCCAAGAGTCCAAAATTAATTCCGCGAATTCTTCTCAAGTATCCGGTCGCACGTTGTTTTCCAAACTATCGCTACGAACATTGTCTCGAGATGGACCCGGGAAGGTTCTTCCCATGCATTTGCGACTTCCTTTTGGTCAGATGCATGAATTTTTCAAATGTAGCCTTATGCAGAGCCCCATTTTTCCACCAAATTTCGAATCGGAAACGAATAACAACAGCAAGATTGCGCATCGCTTAGATGAAAAGCGGAACGAACTTATAAGTCTGTGATTTGTTGGAGGCGAATATTCCAGTCGAATTTACCAAGATTAATCTTCATACTCCGTCTTCGTGAAGTTTACTGCGTATTTGAATTCTTGTCAGTGCCATGTATTTTGATCAAATCGACGTTATTCGGAGCTTCCTTGAAGCACTTCCTGCAGATTGAGTTGCAGTATTCCTGTATTCGTGACGCTCCTGTATTCCTTCGGCGTATTTGCGGAGTTGAAGGACCATTTAGGAAGGGGCCCGTTCAGTGAAACTGTTGAGGAATCAGGTCTGCTTTTGTTTTTTGGAAACCTACTGTTTTTGGCGCATAAAATAAGTTTGAATTGAAACGTTCAAAGAAGCTTTTGTGCCAACGTGTTTCAAGGAAAGCTGGATCGCGTGGTGTCAGTTAATGTTCGAACGTCGTGGCGAATTTGTGAGCTTTATGTAGGTTTGAGAACGAAACAAGTTCATCGAGGATTCCGGGTACTTGGATGCAATGTGGAATGATGGGGCTCAGCCGGAGAAGATACAACGGGAGAAGTCAATATCGCGAAAAGTTAACCTTTGCATGTGTTCAAGTAATATCTGATGTGCGATCGTTGCATTGAATGTGGTTGTATTAACAGAACTAAAAATTGTCATCGACTTCAAATGGAAAGGCATTTTCCTCGTTTTTCGGAACGCGGCCTCCTCAATTGAGTCATGAATGTCAAAGTGGCGTAGTGAAATTTTTGTTTAATTTAGTCTCCGTTGGTTAGTGCAATTCAATTCGATTCATATGAGCTAGTTTGTATAAGATAGACCTTGAAAAGTGAACGTTGAACAGTCCGGAACAGTTCATTCCACCTTGTCAGAAATTCGGATGATAAGGAATTTCATTTACAGTAATTTCCAAGTACTGTATAATATTTTATGGATCCACCATTAGAAATGTGAAAGAAAGGAAAAATGTTGTGTAGGCCGTCTCTTGTTCGAATTTTTTTCTGCTGAGTTCAACAGAGTCCCTTCACCTTTCAACAACGGTTTAGGCTTTTTTTGTGGACGAATGGGCTCAAAATTTTTTTGGTACCAACTTTCTTGTTTTAAGCAGGACTACCAAAATCGAAAAGACGGACAGAGAATCAAACAGCAAAGTAAAAACGGTGAACTTATCGAAGTTTTATGAAATGTCCAAGACCCACGCAGCTGAAGTCATTTAACTAAAATTGTGGAATGAAAAACTTTTATGGCCATTTGTCCAATCGTTCGGGAGTTGTTATATCAGTACTCAAGAAAATTATTCTTCTTTCCGTGGTCCATCGCGATCATGGCAGTTTTTTTTCTGACTTCTCAAACCTTTTTCTTTTCGCTTTTACAGTATAATGATTTGAACGAGCCTAAATTAGACTGAATTGAGCTCCGTCTTCATTTCACTCAGAAAATACGTGCTTTTTCCGCTCGGAAAATAATTTTTCCCACGTTTCACAATTTAATTACGCATTTCCATTTTCAATTTATTTTTGCTGCTCGGTTTGCTACATTTTCTTCAAGTGCTCGAAAAAGCTTTCGTAATGCATTAGAATTTTTCCAATTCAAAGTTCACTTATGTGCCTATCTGTTACCCATTTAGTAATACAGTACTGTTCAGTATGCGATTATCTTTTGGGGTAATGCTCGCAGCTTTCAAGCGAATGGCTCATTAACGTGCTCGTGCTTCACTGATCCAGAAAGAAAAAAAATAAGTCTAAGGAGGCCGCTTTCCGAGAAAAAAAAATTGCATTTTTACTGTCCACAAATGCGCAGAATATTTCATTCTCTGCATCGTTTCATGTGGCTTATTTCTTTAGAAGTTTAGAGCATGAAGTGTTCTGAATGACGAAGATTTTTCCGTATCTCGGTTACTCGAAGATTTGCGAAGATGGCTGACGATTCAAGATCTGAAGTGTCCGACGCAGTCAGGTTAGAAAGATGAAGATCTGCTTCCTTCTCGCGTAAAACAAAAATTGTATATGTTGATCATTTTATTGTGCAGGTTTTTTGATGAAGATGGTTGCCAAGTCTTAGATCATCGTTCGAACTGTGACCTTTGCTGTAAGAAAGACATCTGTTCTCAGTTCCTGCTGAAGCCATCAACCATTGAAATCCTCGAACGGAGTAATTTACTTAAGACGAGTCCGGCATTTTTGTGTCAAGAATGCTCCTTTATCGTCGTAAAATGCGAGCGTATTGTTGTCGAGTTGCAGGAACAGCTGAACGACCTTCGCATTCGTAAAACCACGTTTGCGATAGAAAAATTAATCGAAGAAACCGTAGATTTTGATGATGATCCCGTGTCCCTTGTTGAGGAAGAAACGGAGTTGACTGAAGAATCTTTTCCCGTTGAGGTGAAGGAAGAAAAACTGCCGGAAGAGTTCGCGAAGGAAACCGTTAGTGTTAAATCGCAGTTACCTCTGGTTTTGGTCAAGCCTCTGAAAGTTGAAGATGTGAAAAATCTTACATCCTCGTGCACCATTTCAACTAGAAGTTCAACGAGATTGCAAGCTGCGGCGGACGAAGATGGAGAATACCCTGGGAAGAAATTCTGTTGTCCCCATTGTGACTTTCGGTGTTGGAGACCGAATCGCTTACGAAGCCATATTATGTTACGTCATGAAGGTCAGAAGCCATTCCCGTGCGATATGTGTGAGCTGGAGTTTGGAAACCGAGAGTCTCGAATAATCCACAAGTTCAGAGACCATTTGAAGAAGTTCCAGTTCGATTGTCACCATTGCGACAAGGGATTCTACACGAAGAAGAATTTCATGAAGCATTTAGCTGAGGAGAATCTGACTTTCGAGGATTATGTAGCGACGAAAGGAAAAGAGGAGGAGCCCAAAGAAAAACCGAAGGCCCCGGCGAAACTAAAATGTCCGCAATGCGATTTCACGGCCGAACGTCCAAACCGCATAAATGCGCACATTTTAGTTCGCCACGAAGGAAAAAGGCCCTTCAAGTGTGACACGTGCGATGCCACTTTCATTTCTGCACTGACCCGCACTGTGCACAAGTACAAAGTGCACTTGAAGGCATATCCATACCAGTGTCATCATTGCGAAAAGGGCTTCTACACGAAAATAACCTTGAAGAAGCACTTGGATCGAGTGAACGGGACCCTGCGGGAAGTGATTTGCCAATTTTGCGGGGAAAAGTTTCTGGGTGACAAGATATACAATCATGTGAACAGAGTGCACAAGAACGTGAAAAAGGTGTATACGTGTGAAGAGTGTCCGGGAACTGTGTATCGGGACTGGTTGGCGTTCCACAACCACAATGCGTCAGTGCACAACAAGGGCGAGGTCAGGGCCAAGGCACCGGTTCGACCCCGTGTTTGCGAACATTGCAACCGATCTTACGTGACCAAGTCGCTTTACTTCGCCCACTTGTGGAAGAAACACAAGATTCGAGACGAAGAGTTGAAAGTTATGCAGTGTCCGTATTGTGACAAAGCTTACTACAGAACGACTCAGTACAGACTTCACCTTGCGTCTCACACGGATACCGAAAGACACCAGTGTGACAAATGCGACTTCGCGGTGTATCACAAGAAGAAGCTGATAAGTCACATGATCAGGGTACATAATCAGGGTGGAAGGAAAAGGAGAGCTAAGTAATTTTCGGAATGAAACACAGTGTTCACTCATTCCGAATGCGAGCCGAAGCTCATTTTGGTGATCTTCGTTGAGCGATTCTTGTTGTTGGCCAGCTTATTTTCTTCCCGTTATCTTTTTTCAAAGCGTTGGTGGAATGCTTCAGTACTTCGGTGCAGATCTTGAATTTGTGTGCAGGTCTAGTCTTCGGTTCACAGAATGCCTTTTGCTGTCGCATCTGCTGCTTGTTTTTATAGTGCTGGAATTCGTTCAAAATATTTGTGTAAAAAGGATTAAATGATTGCGTGTCGGTATTTTTGATGCGTTGCGCTACTTTGTCGTTGAGTGACTTTTGGTAACGTTTTTCCCCTTCGAATCGTGTTTTCAGATCGTGAATAGTAGTAGGAAATACCAGAAATGTTGCCGGATTGACTGTCAGATAAGACGGAATCGTGTGAAAACTTCCAGCACTTGAATCTCATTTCTGCTCGGGCTGTATGTGAAATGTTCTTTGGATGGAATGCCAGTGACGAAGTGGAAGATGACCCCGATCTCCGGGAACAGATATTTCATGATCGGGTCAGAGACCACATTGTGAGTTATTTTTCCATCCTCCTTTTTCACCAACTTTTATTGAACATCACTCTGGGTAGAAGTTAATATGTAATGAATGTTGCGATGGAAATTTCGGCGGTTTTCCTTTTATTCACGAGCAAATGTGTGGATCATTTATGAAAATAAAACTTGCATGAGTTTAGGAACGTTTTGATGGCAGAAATTGATTTCTGACCAAAACTGGAATGAAATGAAATCTGAAGTTTGAACGACTCAAAATTCTTTGAATCATTTCAAATTTGACAAGGTCCTTGAGGATTTTCACGAACAATTCCACGTTCTTGGCTTTGTATGAAATTCCTAGGTATTTTAAAATATGTACAAATTTGAAAATAAAAAATATTCTGTTTATTTTTAGAGGCATCTATTTTTTCATCGTAAATTTATTTTCGTATGTGCCGCTGCAGACTCAATAAGATTCTTTTACAGTAATTGTTATTTTGCTTGAGTTTAAAAATGTGAGATCGAAGATTTTATTATGAAACTTGAATTTGGTAAATTTTGAACTTTCCAATTGATTGGAAAATTTGCTGACTACGTTTCTTGGTATGATCTGATTTTATGAAGCATGGGTTAAGGTAAAACAAACGCTACAAGGTGGTTTTCGTTTAGATAAAAATGAAAAAAATGAACAGAAAATTCCTAAATTTTTGGAATTTCTTCCAGCGACACAATTGGCTACGGGTACATTTATTTTCCCTCGAGAATGGTCTCGTTTCTTCTTGGCCTCTGAATGTTTATTTTTGATCAAAAGATAGAACAAAAAATTGAAAACATAAAGTTTTTATAATTTGAACCATCAAATGTTGGTCATACATCTTTACTTCATTAATTGAAAAGTATTTTGCGAAATTTCGTCGGAAGTGTAAATGTCTGATTTTTAAAAATCGCTGAAATACTAAAAACTTCCTTCTCTCTTTCAGATTTTCTTTTTACTCTTCATTTGCCTGTACGCCGGCAGCTATGCAATCGTGTGCAGATTTAAACGAAGAGACCGGGACGAGTATTTGTCCGGGGACTCTGAAGATGAAACAGTGTATCGCACGGCGTGAGTTTAGATTTTTTCTTGTTGGTTCTGGTAATAAGCAAATGACCTTTTCCAATATTCGGAGCAGAATTTGGCTGTGCACATTCAGCTTGGCGACGTCGCTCACGGCCGCATTCCTTCTCCCGTTGTCCATTGTGAGCAACGAGATACTTTTCCTTTACCCGCAGAACTATTATGTGAAATGGCTCAACAGCGATCTCATCCACGGTATGTGCGACGGGATTTCCAGAATGCATTCCCTACATTCTTGAAGCTCCATTTGTTTATTCTTTCAGGTCTGTGGAACATCGTCTTTTTGATGTCCAACGCGTGCTTGTTTGTGTTTCTCCCGTTTGCCTACTTGTTCACAGAGGCGGAAGGTTTTTATGGCTGGAAGAAAGTAAGGATGAAAAACCGCCGTTGCGATTGTGTGGATCATGTTTCACATTTTTTTTATTATTTTTTTTTAGAGAGGATTGTGGGCCAAGGCTTACGAAACGCTTGTGGTCTTGTTTTTGATGGCGATCCTAGTGTTCGGCATGACGTTTCTCATCTCGTTACTCTTGGACAGAGACGAAGGCTCTTGGCGGAAACTTTTCAGTACGTCGTGCAGGAATTTTCCTTGATAGACTTTTTCCAATAATGTTGTGAGACTTGAAGAACACCGTCACTAATTGGCCGCGGGTTCCGCTAACTGTATCCGATAGAGTTTGCGTGTTTTTTCGTCTTGGAAGACTACTAGCGCTGTATTTATGATTGTACGTGTCTGGTTGGATTTTTATTTAAAGCACCAATGCGTATTTTTGGGGGTATGTTTTACAGTATTGTCTCATATCGCAACACATTTTGATGAAACTTGTATGTTTTTCCAAATCGTAAATTACGGTAATACAGTACCATTATCTTCATGACTGACCAGAAAATTCTCTTCAGAACTGCGAATTTCAACTGATACTATATTCGAACAAAAATTCAGTTTCAATAAACATTGAAAGATTTTGAAACTTCACCAGTAATTTCAGAGGGGCCTTTTGTGCAAAACTGACAAAAGTAATTCGCATATTCAGTATTTGAATGAATTGAAGATTACTGTGAAGTGCAGTATAGAGTTTTTTTTTCTTTGAAATCGTCGGATTTAAAGAACTGTTCTTCATCGAAGTACCATGTAAAATTAATCGTGATTATCTTGAGTTTTGCTTATATTGCTAGGGTTAAATAAAATTTTTGTTAAGCCTGTTTTTTATAATAAAAAAATTTCCTTTCATTGAAGTCATTGGAACTAACACAATATATTCGTTTTAACGAAAAATTCGTGATGAAAAAACTCAAATAACATTATGGCTATTGGTCAGGGACCTAAAAAACTAATTCGTTGTAACGAAATTCTAATGTAGATCATAATTTGAGGGAAAAAAACTACTAATTTTCTGAGCAGAATGTCGTGAACATTTTAGCGCCGTTCGCGGAGCTTTTTGATCAGTGAGGTTATTTTATCTATTCGTCGTTTATTCTTTTACTAGATGTGTGGTCGTTTTACTTGCCATTCCTCTACTCGTGCGTCTCATTCTTTGGCGTTGTGTGTCTAATGGGTAAGAATTTTTTTTTTCAAAAAAATTTAAAAGTGGAAATATTTACTAAGGATTTATAAAATTCTGGGATTTTCAGTGTGCACACCACTCGGCATCACAAGACTGTTCAGCGTTGTCGGCACAGTTCTCGTGCGGCCGCAGTTTCTGGGAAACGCTGAGGAGGAGTTCTTTGCTGCCAGCTTTGAGCGTGACGCTTTGGAGAGGAAGCTGAGGGTCGAGAAATCTCGCCAGGGATTCGGGTTCGGAATCTCGGGTTCTGATGTGAGAATGAGGAGAGGAACGCAGTTTTCTGGCTGCCCTGATTCCACGATCCCTGGGAATTCTGAGTTTGAATTGCGGATCAAAGAGGCCGCGAAACTTGCCGATGACTTGGGTGAGGGAACGGGAACTTGTTTCCAGAATGTCAGGTTTTCCTTAGCTCTTGAGAATTTCGTTTATCTCTTATTTATCTTTTTCGTCGAGATCGTCGAGATATTTTTTTTTTTCGTTGGCCTACCCGTTTCTGGTTCCTCGGGAAGTTCTTACAGCAATTCTTAAGATAAATAAACTGAAGAAATGCATGTGTAGAATATAACATCGAAAATTAGCAGAGAAAATACTCAAAAACAAGGGAACTACGCTCGACATGATCAAGAAGCTTTTAAAGCCGTTACGAAATAAGACTGAAAGCCGCAATTCTCAAAGCAACTGCAGTACATTTTTTGGTGGAAATCGAATTTTTTTGCCGTGTGTAACATCTAAAAAATTAATTGTTTAAATGAATAGAAAAAATCAATTAAGTGTAGCGTCCGCCCTTCGATAAAAAGCTGACCGGAATTTAATCTCCCTGCGTATCGTGGAAGCAAAAAAATCGTAAAGCAAATACGAAAGGTTGGGGTATCGTGAGAGCAAGATATTCCTTATCTCTTTTCAAGAGAGAAGGAAAGTTTTATGAAAAGCCCGGAATGTAGTAAATGAAACGTTGATCGTCCTTGGTAAACTGAAACGCGTGGGAATGAGACGAGTGGCTTCTGGATTATTCTGCATTTTAAGAAAAATTTGTTTGCTTGTGCCAATCCCTATGAAAGATCTAAAACGCCACTCAGCACGAAATAATGAAAAAAGAAGAAAAATTACGGTATGAACTAATTTTTTTGTTTTCGAGCCTTTTTATTCGCAGAACCCTTCATAGATTGCGTAGCCCCTTATAAAATGAATATCAATGTCAAAGACGTCATCGGCACATGAGGTCGAATTCACTTCGAACTTTGTTATGGACTCAATGATTCTTGCCCATATTTTGAGGGAACGAATTTTAAAACTAAATTCAATCGAATTCCAAGTCGTTATAAAAAAAATTGATATGCTGTCGAATGTAGCGCCCAGCTTCTAAACAAAGACTGAACGTGATCTGCAATTTTTAATGCCAGAGACTTTCTGATGTACACTCCCGATTAGACCCAATTTCTTCAAAAATATGCACTGCGAGGATTTCGTACTCAAAATTATGTTCTATGTTTGACAGATCGAAAAAGAAGAGCATCTCGTTGGCAAAGGAACGTGGGCTACCCACTTGCGATGCTGCTTTTACTCTTCTTGACGGGAATCACGGCATTGATGGTGATCAACAACACGTTGATGTTGTTGATTGGCATGAAAGCGCTGCCGCAGGGTTCTGAGCAGCTGACGTTAGGAATAACGTCGTTGTCGGCATTGGGGCCCCTGGGGGCGGGCTTGGAAGTTGTGGTGATTTTGTATCTCATCGTCACTTCAATCATTGGCCTGTACACGCTTCCGGTTCTTGAGAATCTAAGACCCCGTAAGGGCATGACGCCGATGACACACATCATCTCAAATTGTGCCGTCGTGGTGGTATTGAGTTCCGCGATTCCTCTACTGGCCCGAACTGTGGGTAAGGAAACGCCTTAGTCTGGAATTAATTTGATGTTAGTTATCATAAATCCGCGTCTTACGCTTCCACAATACTGCATTTGTAAAATCAGCACGAATATTTGAAAATATCAACACTGAAAGAAATTCCAGCTTTTTCCAACTCCCAAATTTCAATTTAGGCGTGATTTGAACCTGAATTCAACTATTTTTTCATATATAAAAAATATATGGTCTTAAGTATAAAATAAAATTAAGTTTTTCTGATGAAAATTGGTCAACAATTTCTCATCAGAATCGAGCATAATTCATGCCTAAACTTCTAAGATTTTTTAAAAGATTTAGATCCACCATTGACGTGCAATGTTTTTTCCCTCTCAATTTTGAGGTGAACTTGGTACTTGAGTAAATATGGTAGTTTAAAAATTGGATTCTTTCCTCTTGTTTTTGAATGCTGCTCTTTTGCGATGCTTTGTGAAATGCTCGTGCTTGAAGTTATTCTATAGATTATGAATGATATTGGATGTTTCTAAAAGATTGTTGAGCTTTAAAACTTCGTGTCCTAGAAATTTTCGATAATGGGAAAGCGCCACTGCGTAGAAAATTGAAGCTGGACTTTTTTTTTAAGTTTAAGTTTAAATCTACGGGAAGAACCGAACTTGCATGTTGAAAATTTTTTCGTATTTAGGTATCACCGATTTTGATCTGCTGGGCAATTTCGGGAAAATGGAGTGGCTTGGGAATTTCAAAGTCATCCTCTGCTACAATGTGTTCTTTGCAACGGCGACGATCGTTTGCCTCATCAACCACTTCACTGCCCCTGTTCGTCGAGAGCTGATTCTTCGCCTCGAAATGACCCGGGACGCGTTTCTCAGTTCAATGAAAATCACCGGTCAGTGGCTGACCTCTCAGGCCGGTGGTTTCAGCCACGAAATGACGGAAGACACAGCGAGGGAACGAAGTCGAACCAATTCCGGAGACAGTTGAGGCCCTTGAGGGGGGAGCACGTTTATTTTTATTTTTTGTGTTTTAATTCAAGCTTCACGCCTGGTATTCCTTTATGAAAGTACTGATCGCGCTTGAGTTTTTTTTTTATTGAGCAGACACAGGCATTTTCGTCTGCGTGGCTTTCCTTATGTTGGTCCGTCTTTTTTTCTTTTTCAATCTATTCTTTTCTTGTGATCAAATTGCACAAGGATCTCTCTGACAAATCCCCGTATACGTTACGATGTACAAAAGGGGCGGAGAGGTGTTTTCCCTTGTGTGAAATGCTGAAATCCAACGTGGACTCGATCTGGAGTTGTTCCTTCAGAATATCTGTGAACTTCGCACTAATTTAAAAATGTATGCCTTCAAAATGTGTCTATGCTTCACTCTAAAGTCACGATTTCACCCGGAGTTGGAAGAATCGCTCATGGATATAAATTTAAAATGTCGAACTTTAAAGTGGTGTCCGAAGTGTTGCTGTACTGTGATAAATGTCATGCTGTATATGCAAAAATGTTGAAAATCAAAGATTTTTTTTGTGTGTGTACGTTCTGTCGTCTCGGCAAATTCTGGTTAGGTTATTTTTAAAAGGTATGAAGTTGGACCTCATTAACTTGAAACTTGCTGGGTCAAATTTTTCTGTGGTCCCTGTCTGAATTCCAATATGGACAATGTATGATAGACCTCCCAACTCAAATTTTGGGAGTCCTTTGGGCTGTTATTCTGGGGACCCAGGAAAGAAAAAAGCAATGTAAATGCAATTTAATGATTTTCAGAAGGAAGTGCGTGACTAATTGAGCAATTTTACCCTTGCCTCCAAGTTCAGCATCCCATAAACTTATTTGCCCAGCGGTTTAAGGTCCAGATCATCAATTATAAATTTATGTAATTCTTCATCCACTCCAGCAAAAGTGGTAGTTTCCCCAACTGAAAAACTACTCAAGTTGAATTTTGTGTGGGTATCCCTTTTAGTTTGACTTAGAGAAGTTCAACTATAAATTCCATAGCGTAAAGGTTGTGATTGTATTACCTTGAGTAGATTTTGTCTATTGCCCTCCTGAAGTAAACCGGCACCAACTGCAAAAAACTGTATTTACTCAAATACCACTTCTTTACTTGAGCACCACATGCACTTTTTTTTTCTCAAATTCATGAGGGAAAGTGTGCATTGTAGGTGGATATACATTTTTCAAAAAGTTTGAGAAGTTTAGATGTGCACTATACTTGATTTTAATGGGAAAAGTGGACAAAATTCAATCAAAAAAAGTAAAAAACACATTTCAAAGGAAACCGTTGAACTCTGGTTCAATTCATGTCTGAATTCAAAGTTGGTTGCTCATGTTGTTGAAATATGCCATTTTAGGTCGCTAAAATGGGGCGTGTGTCTTACTTGGGTATGCAATTTTATCAACATTTTTGACTGAAATCCCTCTGGTGTGCTCACCCAAGTGCACTTGAATGATTACAGTACAGTTAATATTGCCAAGAAATGTTAATTGAACATTTCCCACAGCGCATTGACATTCTTGACACCATGTTTATTCATGCCTAGTTGAAGATAAACTCAATGGGGTCTAGGAAATAGCTTACATGCTGTGTTGGGTTTGAACGCAGATATGCTGTGTTGCTAAAAAGGAAAGCGTTAGTTGGAGGCATTTTTCTTCTAGCTTTTCCAGGATTATTTTGCACATAATATGACCTGCTCCGGAAAGAATTTCTAGAACGGTGGACGTTTATGTTGTGAGTCTTATGGATGTGCCATGACTTGAAGGTGGTTTTTTTTTTCTCTCGTGTTTTTGCCGTTACACGTTGGCTGTGATAGGCAATTCGACGTCAAATGCTGGCACAATTGTATGTGGACATCGTATCAATGCAAAATATTATACAAAAACGTCACGCTGTCAATCTTCCTTTTGATTTCCTCCTTTGTTCTGTACAGGTTATCGTTAGAAGATTTAATTTTGGTGTTTGCGTCGTTGGAAAATTTCTTAATCAAATTTTTGTTCGAATACTGGAAGCGAAGGCGTTTGAAGAAACGAACAAAAAATGGCTCCCCTCAATGTGAAGGACATACAAGACTTGGACGAATATCGTCGACAATTGGAGTCAGCTGGTGAAAAATTAGTAATCGCCGACTTCGGAGCTTCTTGGTGCCGTCCGTGTCACTTGATTGCTCCAGTGTTTCAGTCTTTGGCTGATAAGTACCCGAATGCCGTATTTCTGAAGGTGGACGTGGATCAGTGCCAGGATGTGCCTGCGGTGGAGAAAGTCTCCAAGATGCCGACGTTTATATTCTACAAAGAATCGGTGTGACTGGATTATGAAATTTTTTTTAAATAGATATTCTCAGTCTTCCTGACTCAAAAGACCTTTTTTGCCATCAAATTTCACGGTTGAATCCATCTGTTCCAAAGCAGATGGTACAGTTGAACCTCTGTAAGTCAAAATCGGTGAGACTTCAGAAAAAAATCTACTTGAAAATATTTCAAATTAGGGAATTCGACTTTATTTTGGTAGTAAAATCAATGGAAATTACTCTCTGGCCAAATTACGTGTATTAAAACTGCTTCTTCTTGAAGAATAAAAACAAGCGTATTATCTTGCAGAGGGCTGTAAGAAAATAATTTGCATTCAGATATTATATTTGAACCTCTTTTAAGTATAATTAGAACAGACTCCAAACGAAATTTGATCAGTTTTTAAATTAGTGAAATTGACTGAATTTTGGTAGCTGAATCAATGGAAACTTATTTTCTGGCCAAATTGCTTGCATTGAAACTGCTCATCGAACAAGTGATGGGAAAATATAATTTTTCATGTCTTCGACGATGTAAGAATGCATGTCCACAGGAAGTGTGAAAGTATATTTGGAGTGAGTCCAGAGGACATAGAACAGCACTAATGTGAATAAGTTGACCACGGCGGAAATACAAGGCAAATACGCTCATTTCTGGATCTAAAACTGCCGTCGAATTATTTAAATAAGTCACACTGCAGAAATTTATTTATTTTGACTCAGTCAAATTGTTACTTCGAAATTGCATGTAGGGCGTGATGCGAGACAGTCCAGATGAGGCCATTGGACAGCATTATACGGTATAGGAATAATTTTCCACTGAGGAAATGCGCTAATTTCGGAATCTAAAAACGCGGTTGAATTATTTAAATTTACTCTAGAATAAAATTCATTCATGTAGACTCCGGAAAATTTTCTCAAAAAAATGAATTGCGATGTGCTGCAAAAAGACACAAGTTCCAATTCAAGTTCCAGTGAATTTTGGCAGGCGAAAGTTGACCTTCTACAAGGAGCAGATCCTAATGCGTTGGAGTCCATGATAAAGAAGCATTATTCGGAGAATGAAGGAGCTGGAGACGAGTCACTGGTCCCTGGCCAAGTACTGCTGGAAGGACAGAAATTAATTTGAAGCACTAATCACGAAACAGGTGGTTTGATTAAATTGTTCTTTTTTTTTAAGTTGGATTTGACAAGCTACATAAGCAAATCCGAATCAGAGTGCTTGAATGACCACGACGAACACCCGTGGATAAATGCTTTGGAGGCCAGCGAGGATTTCTGTCAGTCTGACTGCGACGAACAGGCACGGGCTTTTTTTTATAGCAAAAAATCAAATTGGCGAGGAATTTGAAATCAATTTAAAATGCCTGTAGATGAAATTGTAGAGAAAATTATTATTTTTTCGAATAAACTTTCATCTAGGTTGGTCAAACACAAAGATGTACAGTATAAAAGTACAGTACTGTACTTTTTTTTTAAGTACTGTGCAGTTGAACCTATACAGAAAACCTCTTCAATCGAATTTGTGTTTCAAGTCCCATCCTTAATTCCCCTAGAAATACTGTAATGCATTAAAAACCTCTCTAAGTCGAATTTTTTGAAGTTTGACTCAAACAGGTTCGACAGTAATACTGTATCAACGGCTTAGATATTTTGTATAAAAAAGGTATTCTTTATACTGTACATGAATTCATTTTTTCTCAGTATGATGGGGTTTCCCAACATGGCTAATGCAATGGAAAATCCCTTGTAATCAGCAGCATTTACGATACAATTTTGCATGAGTTCATTACTAATAAGACCCAAAAACCTCAGAAATGCTGACATCAGCACAGCGATTTTTCAAACACAATTTCTTAGAAAAAATCAGCACCGCGGGTCCAAAATGAAAATGTTTTGTGCTGAAAATTTTGAGATTCAAAAAACTTCACGCTCCAGCGGACTTCGAAATGCTTCATTTGCCATAAACTCAAACTTAGAGGGACCCACAAAATATGTTGACTCTAATAAAAAATTAGCTATTAAGGAAACCAGCTTCCTGGGAAAATATGAAGAATTTGAGGAGGGTGAAATTGGTAATATTCTGGAATTTAAGGCGATGAATGAATGAGTTGACAGGAAACTATTGGAGGCTAAGATTAATTTGTCCAATTAGTGTACATCAAGTTGCGTTTTTATTCATCTTCTCTTCTCACTTTCCCAGAATAATATCCCAATGGCCTCTTAACAATTTGAGTTATAGACATGCAGAGGTTCTTGGGAGAAAAGTATTTTAGTTAAGGTGTTCTATTTTACATGTCAACAGAATTTAGACATAGACTAAATATACATTCAACAAAGAGAATTTTAAACTTGAGAATGCTTTACTTCGCAAGGTCCAACTGTAACAAGATTCCATTGCATATTCATAAGAAACAGGGATTTATCTCATATTGCAGATGATTTTCAACATCACCTTCAATACTCACGTGAAGCTTCATTCAATTTTGCTTCAAGCTCCAGAAGAAAACGGCCCAAAGGTTATTAAGCTGTTCACCAACTTAGCCTTGCCTCTGGATTTTGACTCGGCCCTCGGTTCGACCCCAACACAAGAACTCACGTGAGTTAAAAATCTTTCCTACAATCTTTTTTTGTTGTCATTTTTGAAACAATTTCGGTTTTACTTCTGAAGTTTGTATATGCCAACACGCTGAAGAGGTCAAATCGAAGAGACTTCTTTATCAGGTGCTAAGGTTCAATCTACAAATTCTAACATGGCACATCAAGTATAGTGAACTGTCTTCGAACATTTAAAAAAACACAAAAAGCACATTAAAATTTCCAGCTAATACTAATCCCTAATTTTAAAAATTACCCAAATTTTTACACATAATTTAGAAAAACTTCCTGTGCACAGAAATGAAAAATCTATGCTTATTCAGTTACTTCCCCGCAAAAAATAACTGAAAATGCAGGTGCTAACTGCTCAAATTTGCGCATGACAAAATCTCCTCAAATATAAAGCAAAAAGTAGACGGAAAAAAGATGTCAAATTTTGTTCATATACAATTGAATTTGCAAGCAATAATACAGCACCTTATTCAATAAGAAAGCACCACCCAGAAAATTATTGGTGGCTTCTTTCTGGCAAACGGCAACTGTCCATTTCAACTTTGTTCAATTCCTTATACAGTACAAACTTATCACAAGGTAAAAATAAATTGCAATGATTCAGTGTTCTTAATAATTTAAATTATGCAGTTTTGGGCCGCCTGTAAAAAATTGGCATGCAAATTCAACTTGCGCCATGTTTTTCAAATATAATCAGATACAAAGAAGTCCCCCTAAATGTTGTTCGTTCTCCAAATACGAAAGCAGTTTTCTCTGAAAAATTATCTGCAAGAATCTTGTCGCGCATTTCTTACAGAAGTGCATCACACACTAATGAAAAAAGAAAGTTCACCCCATCAAATCAAATCACGGCTAAAAAAAAAAGCTCTCTCACTTCCTGGTTCATCCTTCGCAAAAAAATAATTATTCCATTTTACCACAGGCGCAGTTAAAATATTCCATTCGAGATTTTTCGAATTTATAGCTTCACGCCTGAGGAACTCGTGGCCGGGAAACCAATCCAACTCAAGTTCGTGAAATTCCAAAATGTCAACTGTCTCACCATTTTCGTACAAAACAACGTGGGAGAACAAGAAGTGACGCGAATCAATCGTCTAGTACTTTTCGGAACTCCAATCACCACAACGCACATGGACGACTTCAAACGCGTCGCAGGGAAACCAGGAGAATCTCACTAAATCAAAATGTATTACGCATCGAAATCAAGAAAACAAAATGATCAGAACATATCATACTATTTTGTCTCCTTCCATCATGTCACACAAAAAAAAAAAAACAACATGGATCTCCAAAAAAGCTGGAATGAATAATGCATAAAACTCCGCAGGACAGTGGAAGATTAACGAGAACAACCAGGCAAGCTTGTGAACCTCCTCAAAATCACTCGAAAGTCAGCTACGATTGCTTTTTTCCCCTTCCAGGACGGTAAACGTTCGCGTGAACCCGTTTGTAACCCATCGCACTCACTCATGATTTCCATCTGAAAAAAATCTCTCCGTTTGATGAATTGAATTTATCGCCATCTTACGACACGTAAAAAAATATTGCTCACGTGAAGCGATGAATCACGAACGAGTCCCCGCAAAAAACGTTCTGACCCCCTCACAAAAAAAAATCAACGAAGCGATTCTAATCCGTCGTAAATCCCCATTAAAAAAAGCCACTCGGGAAGCGATTCTTATTCGAAAAAAAAAATGCTGATCGCAGAGGATTCCCAAGCTTAAATAAATTAGCCGGCTCTCAAACATTGAGATCACATGCACCGAAAGTCTGAAAGAAATCTCACTCTGACGCCAGTCGTCAGCAGCTCAAGTCTGGACGGAGTCTCTCGGAACCTCGATCTTTTTTTGCAGCCTTCACCACAACCAAAGAAACACCTCTTTTCCACATTTCGCGAGTATTCCTGTCTGTCCTTCACAAATTGCAAGAAAAAAAAAGCACCCAAGGCAAAAATTTGACAATTGAGCGCAAGGGGGGAGGGTGAAAATCCGTCATTCATTCCTAAAAGCGTCAGTGCGAACTACCGCGCGGCAATTAATACAAAAATAGCAATTACAATACTAACAGCTTTCGCGAAAAAACCAGAGCAGAGGGCAGCGTATCACGATGTGAAAACCGAAGGAACCACCCGACTTCAAAGTGGGGAAAAAGAAAATTCAGCACGAAATTTTCTTTTCTTTCAAGTGGGCGGACGACGTACCGAGTATTTTTTCTCACAAATCCCACCACAGCTTTTCCGGATCCTCAACACATAAGCTATGTACTATACACTGTCCTATACTGTACTTGCATTTTTCGCTATAAAAAAGTATAATGCACTGCACTCCCGAGGAAATCTGCTCTCGACGAAATTAACTCCCGCAATGACAAACGAACAAGTTTAACAACTCAGCACGACAAAATTAATTTACAAAGCCACATAAAATCCGCTAATTAAATTCAATCCAACTCATTTTCATGAGAATTATTCAACAATTTGAATTCACAAGCTAAAATTGCGCGTCAAACGAAGCAATGAATCTTTCGTCTAACGAAAATGTTCCTTGAAACCCTTGTGCTTTTCAATAATGGTAAGTATAAAAAAGTATACTGTTCACTCTTTTTCCAGAAAAATAAGACAGGGGTAGGTTACATATTATTCATACAAGACCACCTACTATTATGCAAATCTAAACCAAGTCCTGTTTATAATGGAGTTCAGTACTTTCGAAAGACTGCAGATGACAAAAACACCTGCAAAAATAATCTCAGCTCATGCGGTGTGCGTTGAATTTTATTTCATAAATCATTCAATCCGAAGCGAGTTTTGATCATGTCGCCAAGGGCTTACATACATTTTGGTGTTCGGAAATAACTTATTTTCAAGGGTTTTTTTTTGCCAAGCGTTTTAACGCAGATAAGATTTTTAGAAATTCTTATGCTCTGTCGAATGGTTGGTTAGCTGTCAACTCAGTCGTCACTTCCCCAGAACTAGCATAGTTCCGGAAGGAAGAGTGGAGAAGAAAAAAAATTGAAAAACTTGGGTGGGATGTGCGAAGAAAATTACCCAGCACGGTCTAAAAATAATACCTCCCCTGGGGTTAGTCAACGTGTTCGCTGGGATTAACGGTCTCGTGGAAGCCGGTTGATTCTTCAAGCACCACTCCAGTCAAATCCCGGATTTCGTCCTGGTCGAAGTGATCTTCGTCGGAAGGAGTCACTGATTGCGCGGATGCCATCGATCCGGAGCTGAGCTGGGATGCACGCGAAAACGAGCCCCGATTGTGGGCCGATCGCGGTAAACTGCTTTGGTTTGCTGGACGTACTGTGATTATCAAGTTGCTGCTATTAGCCACCATCATATCCGTCACCTGGAAGACAAAAGGAATTCCACAAAGCCAATATACAGATGGACTCTCTAAAATGAATCTCAAGGGACCAGAAAAAAAAGTTGCTTCAGAGAACTCCTGTAAGATGAGGAGAGAACCCAATGAGACCACAAAAGAATGTGTTGTACAGTAAAGAGAAAATACTGTTAGACAAGATTGTTTTAGAGAATCCCCCTTAACTGAAGCGTGGCTCCAACATGTTGAAAATTTGGCTGTGGGACACTTGAAACTCAGAAAATCTGCCCTGACACCTGAACAATGTCTTGAAATACTGACACTTCACCATAATTCCAAGACAGATGAAAATAAATCATTCGCAAAATGTTTATCCCTTCAAAAAAAAAAGGAGCTTTCACAAAATAAAATATTAATTTTATTAAAAATTCACTACAATTCTTAGTCTAAGTCATGGTAATTTTGTGCTTTTTCACATTTATTTCCATCATCTGTCCACAGCATGGGAAGACTTCTGTGGGCTCCTTTTGTGACAAAAGATCAGATTATGAGACGTTTTCTTCTGCGCAGTTATTTTCTATGTCTTGAAGTAGAGAAAAATTATTTTATTCAATTTCTCGGGGGACTTTCTCCAAAATTTTCGATGAAAAGGAGATAAAATTCAATATTTTTGAAGTTCAAACATGACCAGAAACGATGATGCTCCAACATAGAGAAAAGGTCCAAGCACCAATTTTATCTAAATCTCGGGGCCGAACGGTAATTTCAAGCGAATTCGCACGCATCGGATTAAAATTCATTCTTGTCGAAGGAAAAGAAATACGGTTTATTTATCCGGGTTTTTTCTTTCTTACTGGGCTACAGACGATGGATATGAACGTTTCAAACATTCAACAACTGCAACTTCCGGCTGATGAAACCCTCGACAAGAGCTTAGATCACAGCTCAATTCAACGAACTTCATTTCAAAGTAGCTGTTCCAAGATTGGACCGAACTTCTCCGGTCCATCATGCAGAAAAAAATGAAACTTTCCGCGAACACATTTATTTAATGATGGATTCGAGCAATCTCGATTAATATCCACTTTTGAAAAAAATCATATTTTCCCAAGAAACACGCTAATACACGTGGCATCATTTGATGACATATCTAAAAATAATACTTCTTGAAAACCCTAGGAAGCATCAAATCCTAAATCCTATGAACAAGAAATCCAAAGTAGAAAAAAACCTTGTACAGTATCTGCTCAATAAAATATAATAGTGTAACAACGTGACCAGTAAAATACTGTAGCTACGTTATACAGAAACAATCGATTACAGAGACAAGATCAACATCGCGGCCATTGGACAGCGACGTAAAAAAATGACTTAGTCGTAATCATTTGTTATATCGAGATTCGTCGCGACGAGACTTTCCTTTTTAATTTTTTAAATTTTCGAAATACGGATTATCAGGGGTCGATGAGGTTTTTCCTCGAGGAAGAGCAAGACATTTCTTCTTTCGAAGAAATGAATGATTTGATCATACAGTCACATCTAGGAATTCAGTTCTGTCGATCAGTCTGCATATCAACCAAATGGGTTGAGATAATCAGGTGTTGATAAGATAATGTAGAATTTTAGAATACTGAACGTGAATTTCACCCCGTCAACATCTGTAAAGGAGTTGAGCAGAAATTCCATGGAAAGTGGGATACCACGACGATCACTTCCTAATTTTAATTTTCATTACCGGAAGACTTACCTGATCCAAACTTTTTCCGGCGACCTCAATGCCATTGACTTCAAGTACCTCATCATTAACTGCTAACAAACCGGTACTTTCAGCTAATCCTCCTGGAACTAGCCGAGAAATGAATATGCCTGGCACCTTCAAGAAGTTGGACATTAAAAAACCAATTAACTCAATTTCTAAAGATTCAACTTCAAGGCGTACCTTTTGGTATCCTTGAGATGTTATACGAACGCTGGAACCATCCCGAATATAAAATCCGAGCGGTTTGTCGGACCCATGCTTCAGAAGACGAACCCGACGGCAAGTATCCGGAACAATGTCCACATCAATGATTTGGGACACCTACCGATTTCAATAGATTCACAATGCACCACTTCATCCAAGAATTACTGGAAGTTAATGCAGATTCACCTGACGGAAATCTTCAGGGTATGAAATGTGCGGTTTTTTGGAACTGCTGGACGGTGTTCCGCTCAAAAACTGGGAAAGCAAACTCTTCGTGCCAGAACGGTTTAGTGCTCCCGAATAGCCGTTCAATTCTTCGAGACTATCACCTACAACACACATTGAAGTCGATCACAAGTTTTACACGCGTTCGGTACAACTGCAGTCACCTTTCCGTTGGACAATCAGGCGCAAAATTGGCTTTGCATTCTGAATAGCTCTCGCATAGTTATCATCGTTGTTGATCGGGAGAAGATCCCCATCTTTTGGATCGGAGTAGCTCAAAGTGAACGGCAAGTCTCCCAATGAATGCAAGGTTTCGACGACTTTACGGAAGTCTTCGAATTTCGGAACTCCCTCTCTATCGACGGAAAACCGTCGGAATTCTGCATCGAGCTGAAACCATCAATTTTTACAGTAATGCATCACAAATTCACGGCGTGATATCACTCACCTTGCTCTTAACTTCCAGAAGCTTACTTTCAGCTTTCAACACGACGTGCTTCGAACTGCGCGTCATGATAACGCTTAACGGGCATCCACTCCACGAACTCCGTCGTTCATGAGTTCTAAAGCACGTGCGAAAGTTTCGATTCCGAGGGAGAAGTTGGATCACAACTTTCACGCTCAATAAATAAAATTACGTGAATGTAAGCCAAATATGACAACCGCATAAAACACCAGAAAACCCCGAACAATCACACACAAAGCAGAACAGCTTAGTCGTTCACGATCGAAAAATGAAAAAAATATTGGATGTAATCCAAAGATGACAACCGAATGAAACAAAAGAGAATCCCACACCCAATTGTGGATCCACAACACATGTCGAATCCCCTCGCTCATCAGGTGCTCCCCACAGTTACCTAAACGAACGACCTTCGCTTCCGATGGTACTCATCATCGTGGTTCCATTCAACGGCCAGCTCAACGGATTCATGGGTCGAGCAGACTACTAGGCCGAATCCGCGAATACGGTACAGTACAGTATACGTTCAAATAAATGGTATCCACATACAGGAACAGCATCAATTGAAAAACAACTGTTTGACTGGTGGACGGACTTGACTGATGGAAAGCCCTTACCTCATTTGAAACTTTCCTCCCTTTTTTATGTATGAGTGCATTTATTTTCCAGATAAATTAAAGCGAATCCTGCCCTTACTATAATGAGACTTTTGAAAATACACAGTAAAATGTATAAGAACACGTGATATTATAAACGGAGATTTAATCATTCCATCAATTTTCACACAGGTACATCAATAGTAAAAACTCAAAAGTCCTATGGTAGGAAAGGGTTTTTTCCAATATGATTCAGAAACCTCAAAAATTACTGCTAAAGTATACAAATAAAAAAATCTCTATAAAAAAAAAGGATGCGAATATAAATAAAAACAATTTTCACAGTCGTTTTTCACTGAATGCTCTTGTCCTCATTCCTCATTATTGCCTATGATGTAGGAGCTTTTACCCTGACGCATGCTGTGATTATAAAAAATCTTAATGTAAAAGAATTACAGGAGTTGATCCATTTACACGAACGAAATAAATGGGGATCTCTTGTCGGAAGCTAACCTTTGTTGAAACATACAGTCCATGCAACAGCAGTAACTGCAAGGTAGTCAAATAAGACAATAACAGCGGCTAGTCCAAGTTAAACTTGCCTCCATCATATGCATATTGAATACTTCATACTGTAGTTCATATAATATGATTCATACTCGCGGTATACATTTATTGCTACAGTATTAAGATGAAGAACCTAAAACGCATTCGCGAAGCACCGCCTTCTGTGAAAGATTGCACATCGCGGTTCCACGAAGCCCCGCCTTTTCATGCGTAACTCGCTTCGGAATGTTCAGCGAACTTTTAAACAGGAGAAGCGGGAGTGCGCGCCCAGATTCCTTTGGAATTTTATAACGTTCTTTGATGTTGATCATCTCAATATGGCGTGCCATTCTTGCCGCCTGTGATTTCCTCTTCAATTTTCCGTTGAAGGTAGCGCGTGGGAACGGGCGGGCGCACTGGAGCAAGATAAACGAAGGAATGTCTTGCGATGGAGCCACGTGCTTCCGCAGAGAAAAGGTGTTTTTACAGCTAAGCTCAGTTTGGTTCCACGGGAGCCGGCTGAAGTGCGTTGAATGTACAGTATATCAAGTATTGTACCCCGTCTGATGTGAATATATGTACTGTATCCTGACGCCGGGAAAAGTTCTCGCGCTGTTATGTGGTTCATGATTTGTGTAAATTACTGTATTTGTTTTAAAATACCATATTTGCTTCGGCAATCCACAGAATTTCGGAATATATTTTCTTTGTAGAAATAATTCCTGTTCGTGAGGGAATTACGCATGTGATACTTTGCCTGCAAACAGTGCTCAAATCTTCTGTAACGCGCACGAGTGTTGGACTCGTCGACGCTGTGTGCTGACAACATAAGTAAATCTGCATTTAAACCAGCGACCTGTCTGCGTCTGTAGAGCAGTTACAGCATGAAGCGTTGAACGTTAACGAGGAGCCGTAAGCATGCGCAGCGAGGACGACGGGGACGCCGTTTCCGTAGCGTCCTGCAATCCCGATGCCGACGATTGTGTAACAGAGGATGGCTCACCGTCAAGCCATGACGCCGAACTCGTTTCACAGTTCGGATCATTGCTGACTAGTAAAGCTAACCCAGGGGATGCCTCATCTTCAGATCTTTCCCTCATTGGTAAGGTTTTACGAACAGTTCCTGCCACATTAAACTGCTCCTAATTCCTGTTTGCTCTGATGTCTAGAGCGGCTAGTGCTTGCTCCGAAAACGGTATGCCTGTTGGGTGACCTGAGCTGCGAAAATATCCCACCGTGCTTGAAAGTATGACTCGGTTGTGATTGAAGTGCTTTTAGTTTGGAGGGTGAAGCTAATCTTGTTTTTGTCGTTCCAGCTGTTGGATTTACCTGTGGTTGAAAATTTGCTCGTGGAAGGTAAACTCCCGCCAGATTCTTCCGGTGTGCTCTTGTTCGTTACGAGCGAATGGGAATCCTGCGCCGTTTCATACCTCGGTGACCTCATGATTGAACAGTCGAATGCTATCCAAGGAGGAAACTGCACCAAGTTGCTGGAGCATCCTGGTGTTGTTCGCTTAGTTTCATTAGGAGTAATAGCCTCTCTAGCAGAAACATCCTCTCGAGATGAAATTCTGAAAGAAGTCATGAGTTTTAAAAGACCAGTGATGTCTCTTGCTCTTTTACGAGCGCGATTTGCTTTTACTGGATTCACGAGTAAGGACTACGTGGTGCGTGTCAATGAATGTGAATTTGTTTTAGGTCTTTTGTGCTGAAAGTTCTTTTTTCCTCACAGCGGTATTTAACGAAACTTGTCCATCGAATGGGTGGAAGTGTTATGCAAGACACTGACAGCACCACGACGCATCTTGTTGCGAAAAAGGCCTGTGGAATGAAGTACGCATATTGCAAGATTTACAATGTTCCGGTGATGAAAAAGGCGTGGATTGAAGACTTATGGGAGGCTGGAAAAATGGGGAACGAAAAAAGTGTAGAAGTTGAGCAGTATATTTGCCCGCTTTTCCACGAACTCCGTGTTGGATTCTGTGGATTCAGTCAGGACAAACTTGCTGAAATCAAAGCTTGTTTGGAGAAGAACGGAGGAAAAATGGTTCGGCACGATGCTGATCGCGTCGACTTTTTGGGCAAGTATTTCTCATTTTATGGTGTTCAGCACTCATTGTCGGCAGTATGTGTTCGATTCGCTCATCATTTGTTACAAAATTTTTATACGCGAAGAAATGTTGAACAATATCTTGTTTTTACGAATATAGGGCGCAATTAAATTTTTAACTTTCTGGAATTGAAAAAAAGCTTGATAATCTTATTTAAGGATGTTCAGGTGACATCTCTCATGCATTAGTGTATTGCCATTGAAATCTGATAATGAAGGCTGGCATAAAATGTCTGATGTGTAGTTGAGCGATTTTATGGAAATGAAGCGTACACTGAAGAGGTTTGGTACATTATATTTTTAAGCTTTCTGTATTATTCGCTCGCAAATCGAGAAAACCATCGACTGAGGTGTCATCGATTTGAAGAAGCTATTATTTCTATGAGATCATTTCTTGATTGAGTTGAATCTTATATTCCCGTGAACATAATGATGAGTTCGTGTGCACACTTTTCATAAAGATTTTTGATGATGTCGAGATTTACTCGTGAATAGAAGAAAAATAAATATATAATGTGTAATTCCTCCAGTCGTGAATGAAGCAACAATGATGGATGGGGCACTTCCTCACGGAATGAACCCTAAAGCTGTGCTGGTGACAGAATCCTGGTTTTGGGAATCGATGCTTAGAGGCACTGTTCTGATGGATGAATATCGCTTCAAACCTTTGGTAAGCCGATTTTCTTTCATCGAGGTAAAATTTGCTTCGGGCTCGAACATTTTTCCAAATGCAACCATTTTCTCGTAGCGCCCAGACATGAGTTGCAAATCGCCGTCTGTTGAATCCAACCGAAGTAGTGACGCTGGTAACGTGACCATAGGCTCATTAACTGGTGAACGGGTTTCCAAAGTACGTCGCAGAAGTTTTCTGAATCTGAAAGGTGAAAAGCGGAAGAAAGATGACTCCCTGGGCAGAAGTCCTCGAATGGAAATCAGCTCAGATGCTGATGGATCTTCAGGGGTAAGGGTAGTAAATAGTAATTTCTCCAAGTGTTGGAATATTCAGTTGAATTCTGCGAGTCGGTTTCGCGACAGTCTCAGATGGATTAGGTTATTCTTCAACTATTCTCGCATGAAATTAATTTTAGCTGCACAAAAATGTCCCACGGACTTTCCCTACAGCGAAAGGAGTATAATATGACTGCATTTGACAATTTTAGATATAATTTAATCTTAATAGAACTGCATCTCCGCGTGCATTAAAAAAATTTTGCCTGGTGGTAGAAATCTATGTAGAAATAATCCGCCTGTAGTAGTTTTGAGATTTATTACTGTAGTTTCTGATGCATGAATTGATCGAGCAAATCATAGACTGATAATTTTAATTTCGAATTTCTAGCTTAACCTTGTATATCTCAAATGAGGAAATTATAAGTTAGGGAGTTTTAGACGTCCGTAACGTTATTTGCATTTCGCGATTTATTTCGTTTGGCCGAATATTAGACGCTTCGGAATCTTTCTTGTCCTCTGCTTGGGCTTCCTTTCCTGAAGAAAGATGGAAGAATAGAAGTTGGGAGATCATTCGAAGATATTAATTTTTTTTTTATTCCGCAGAATCACGACGACGGGAAATCCAAGGACGGCGACGGAGGCATGATGATCGACGTTTTCCCGCCGGGAAAGCGGTCAATCATGAATGGCGATCAATCCGTTGCCTCTGTTGGTGACATTGACCTCACTTCCGAGAGTCTCGGATCCTTGGATCAATCCGGTATGATGCACGGTTTGGACGGTCCGACGACGTCTCAGTCAGCATTGCCTCGTGCTCCAACTGCCCGTCGTCAAGTTTTCTGTGAACTCATTCAAACGGAGAGGAACTATGTCATGGTTTTGGACTTGATCATGAAAGCTGGCACCGACTGGAAGCAACAGCAGCGGGACCCGAGACAGAGTTCGGCGAAAAAGCCGGGATTAGCGTCATTTGTGAGTCATCACAACACGTCCACGGATTCTGTGGGATTGTTGAATGCGTCTCAAGCGTCTGTGAGACACGGCGCGAGTTCTCCTCCTCCGAATGCATCCGTCACCCTGGAAGTCATTCAAGATATTTCGAGATTATCTCCTGCCCCACCTCACAGGGCATCTGACGCCATGCCCGAGACCCCTGGAGAACAAACCTTCGATTCTAGAATCCTGGATAAATTACTAGCCAATGTGATCCCGTTGCAAAAGATCCACGGGCGATTGTTGATCGCCCTCCAAAGGCTGGATGTGACATGGGACGAAAACGCTCGCGTGGGAGCGGCTATAGTGGAAGAACTCGGTCGTGACGACGTGATTCGTGCCTACAAAGCGTACATCAAGGACGTGGACGTGCAGAAAAGTCAACTGCGAGGACTGGCTGACAAGTACCCCCGGTTTCATGCGTACTTGCGAGCCATCGCGTTGAAACCAGAGTATAAACGTCAGAGTTTGGACGAACTGCTCATCAGACCCGTTCAGCGATTGCCGTCCATGATGCTGTTGCTCAAGGACTTGAGGAAACGAACCCCGGCAGGGTTGAGTGACCATACGGAATTGAACAAGGCGCTGGAGATTGTGGACATGACGACTAGTAGGATCAATGAAGAGCGGCGGATATTTGATCAGCAGAAGGAGATTTTGTTGAAGATGTACGAGATTCAAGATTGTCCGCCGGATTTGTTGTCGTGGAGCGCGGGGCGAAGTTTAATTGCCGATTATGACGTCGTAGACTTGAATTGTTCGACAAGTGCCAAAAGAGGGGCGCCGCTCGTGCTTTTCTTCTTCACAGATGTTTTGCTGGTGAGTTTGCGTGATCGGCAATTTTTTTGATTCGATTCACGAAGTATTTTGATATTTTCCGAATTTTTCTTGTAGAGGAAGGAGTGTAAGAGTGATTCATGTTGTATTTTTAAAATTGAGTGTTGGTGTTGAGTTATTCACTCTCTTTGAGAAAAGGGTGATGTCTTCCGAAGAGGAAATATTTTAAGATGTATCACTTGACTTTAGTTTCTGCAAATGTCTATTTGTTATTTTGAGACTGATCCTGAACAGATCTGCAATCTCGTATCCACGAGAAAATTCCCAATTTGCTCCTGTGACACAAATCTAACGATTTTTCAAGTTAAGATTCCGCCAGATTTTTTAAATTAAAATTTTGACAGAACGAGGGGTATTTTATTTTGACCTTACCCGGGAAATTCAAAAGGTAGAGAACCAGAGGAGAGAATGATCCTCGGAAGTGTGGAAAATTGAAATGAACTTTTCATTTAATGGTCCAAATTTTTATGGTGGAGAAATTTGAAGAACGAATTAACGAAAGATGAAGTGTGTTGAATGGGCAGCTTGGGTCAATCAAGGATGGGTTTTGAAAGTTTTTCAACAGGTTATATGCATGCACATTTCATCTCTCCCCATGTGTTTCATTACATGCAGAACATGGGGAGAAAACCCACAAAAGTTCGTTATACGGCGAAAATCGTTGTAGACAGGATTGTTTTGAAGGGAGTCCACCTGTATGGAAATTTTGACAGAGCGAGGGGTATTTAATTTTACCCTTACTTCGGAAATGTATAAGGTAGAGAATCAAAAAAGAATGATTTTACGAAGCGTGAGAAGTTGAAATAAATGTTGAATTTAATGGCTGTTGAATTAAGAATAATCAAGGTTTTGTGGGGAGGAGGGCATTTGATTCAATTAAAAAAAAAATAGCTGGAGATGAAATGTTTCGACTGGGCAGTTTGGGTCAATTGAGCGTAGTTTTTGAAATTTCTATTGTCCGCCTTTCTCTTTATTCTCCCGCAGAATGCATTCGTTTACGATCTTCCCCCACCTTGTGCATATCGGTTGTCCGTCTTCCTCATTTTTTCAGGGTTGCCTTCACTTGAAGTTTAATGAGTTCCTTCTTCTTGCCACCTCTGCATGCGCTTCCTGGGTGTCGGGTGTCGCCCAGTCATGTGCTTCATTTATCACTGCGTCTCGGGAGTTTTTAAGCGGAAATTCTTTTCCTTTATTTTTTTTTTCGTTTACGACTCTGGTTTCCTCGGCGTGTGTCGCTGAGTGTACCTGGATGATGTATTTTTTTCTTTCTTTCTCAGAGTAAATTTTCCTTTTTGCAGCAGATTTCTTCGAGTCTGTTGAGCCTTTTCTCTCTCCTTCACTGGCCTGTTTATTTTCTGGCGATGAGAAATATGTCTTCGAATATGTTTTACGGGTGGGAGGTAGAATGTGGGAGTAAAGTGAGCGCCAAGCCCAACTGAGCTGATTGTAATACAGTACAGTCAACCCTCGATTCAGTGCCACCCTCGCATAGTGCCACAAATTTCCCCCAGAACAAATCTCCATTGTGTTTTTGAGGGAAACCCCGATTTAGTCGCACTAAAATGCTTTGTCCTGTATGAAAAGTCAACGAAGTTAAGGCCTTTTTCTGAAGATATCATCAAGTTATTACTGAAAATTTTTAATATTCTACTGCGTCTGAATTTAAATTGTAAACTATTTTTTTTTGCATGACGCCTTCATTTTTTTTAAAATTTATATGGAAGAAAGTGGGAACTTCCCTGGAAAAATAGGGGACTCTTGCACAATGGCACCTAATAGAGAAATCGATTTAAAAAATGAAGGAACAGTTCTGCTTGTTTACTGGTCACGATATGAAAATCTTGTGTACAGTATTCTGTCTTATTAAATGTTTGGAAATACAGCACAGAATATGAATGGAACATTTGGACTGAAAAACCCTCAACTGAACCTTACTCTTGGAAGAAACCCGTGATTAAGTGCACCAAAATATGCCTGGACAAATGATGGCACTAAATTGAGGCTTGACTGTGCTTCATTGAAAATGTATACATTATCGCTACTATGCTCCAAAGAAGATTGTAAACTTTCAGCTAATATACCATGTAATTCGGTGCCTGGAATCCTTGCTGTGACTGGAGTCATGTCTCATTTTAACCCACCTTCTTCGTCTTTAAAAAAGGCCTTATACTTCAAAACATCATTTTTGCTGCTAGAAATCGTCTGAAAGCTGAGTGAATTGAATGAAATTAACGCAATTGAAGAGAATTTGATAAAGTACAGTACTGTACTATACTATTGTACAGCTCCGGCACAAAATTTACAGCTGCTGTGCGCTCAATTGGTTGGCGCTCAGTTGGCGTCGCTCTGTTTTGAGCGGTGCTCGGATGAGCGGTCTCGGGCAATGTTGTGCGAGAGCTTCCTTTTGATTGATGCCTTGTTTGTTTATTTCCGAGAGGTCGTTTTATATCGAGTAAATTGCCTGAGTTGCGTTTGGAATTCATGTTTTCTACATGCGATCGAAGGATCGAGTGTCAGCGCATGTGCTTCTTCGAGCGGAGTACTTCGCACGATGTAAACATTGCTGGATTCATACTACAGTATTTCGAACTACCAAGAACTTGAAATTATGTAAATTTCTTCGTTATTATTACTAATTTGGGTATTGCTATTATTTTTGTCGGGGAAAATTCTATGGCTTTATTTTTCATGAATATTTTGAAATACCAAAAACTCTAAATTGTGGAGGTTTCTTCGTTTTTATTATTAATTCGAGTACATTACAGTATTGCTATATTTTGTCGTGGAACATTCTATGAATTTTATTTTTCTTGATATTTTTAATTACCAAAAACTTTAAATTAAAGAGATTTCTTCGTTTTTATATCGGCAGTAATAATTAGAGTATTGCTATTCTTTTTGTCGTGAAAAATTATATGTATTCTCTTTTTTACATTGTGAGTCAATTGTCTTGTATTGCACAGTGAGTCCCCATTAAAAAAAAAATTTAAGACGGTAAAACAAGACCCACATGAATCAGCTATTTCATATAACGAAATAACCCCCCAAAAATGAGTGAATTACATCTACATTTTCTTCTCATTACAATTTGAGAACTTTTGGAAATTATGAGCGAGAGTTGTCATGTGAACAGGTGCAGTCCTTGAATTTCATGCTCAAAAATTTTTAATTCACAATTTTCTGCCGAAAAATACCCGAATTTTATTGTAGTCTTTTGGTGAGTGACTGGAACCAGTTGAATACATTTAGACAATTCACCGTATTTACTCGATTCCCACACGCCTTTGAGTATGACGCGCACCTTAGTTTTTTTGGCATGGAATTTGCACAGAAATTTATCCTCGCATAATACGCGCCCCTCTGTTTTACATGGTTGAAATCGAAAATTATTCAAATTATGATTTAATTGATGTTGCATAAGATAATTTGATAAAAAAAATATAACGAGATAAAGCATCTTAATTGGATTTGAGTCAAACCGAATTCCCTGCTCATTATTTGCTCCTACAAAGTAATCATTTAAGCCTTGAACCACTAATTTCATAATTTATTGATCCAGAAAATTCATACGCGCATTCCGCTATTCTGGCTCAATTTTGCAGGAGAAAATGTGCGCGTGTTACTCGAGTAAATGCGGATAATCTTGATGGAAAATGCGTTTCACATACCATTAATTTGGCATAACGAAACTCATCCAGGAACGGATTAGTTTTGTAATGCGGGGACCTTGTGTGTCTTCAAGGGTTTTTGTTCTTGTCAAAGTCGCCTTTTAATTTCACAGTGAAATCTTGTTATAACTAACTTCCGGGACTTTGGAAAAAGTTTGTTGCACTGCATCATTTGTTATGAAGAGATTTTCAAAATTAATGACTGTGAAAAATTCACATCAGAAGTGCATATACCAGTTGGATCTTGATTTTCTGGCTTTCTCAGATGCCTTAACAGCCTTGTTTGAAGAAAAAATGGTTTATCTTCTGAGTAAAATAGCTTCAATCATGAATTCCTGCAGTTATTCGAGTACTACACCAATCTCTTCATTCTCGGAGGATGATTTGAAAATCCCTTTATTCTGGGAGAATGATGTGTGGAACCACGTGGAAGCACGTTTTTCATTGATTACAGCTTTCATCTGTGCCATAAGAACCAGTCAGTCACATTTGGGATAAGAAATTTCTGACTGTGCCTGTCTTAGTCAGGAGATTTCTCCCTCGAGAATATATTGAAGATTCCTAAAAAGGGTTTTTTTTCGGAATTCAGAACTATGTTATAGATTATTTCAACATGTACTGTACTTCATTGGCTTTCTGCAGGGACTTGAGAAAAGTTCCGTTATTCTTAAAAGTGTGTTCTGATGGTATTTATTGTAACGAGATTTGACTGTATTTCGAAAGATTTATAATGCGATTGTTTTTTTTAATATGTGACTTTCTGACATATTATTTTATTTGAACTTGTGACCATGGACTTCCTGTTGAGACTTGAGCGGAAAGTTCGTTTGAAACCGAAAAATGTGTCTTATTGGTATTTCATGTGACAAGATTTTACTGTGTTCCGATAGATTTGCAAGCGGAGAGTCGGACGAACGGGCGCCGGCGGGATGATCAGGTCCAGCCCGAGCGTGGCGAGTCTTCAGGGCGACTCGGACGCCTCTCACCTGCAGCACCACGCGGGCCAGCGTCCTTACAAGTTCCTCTGCTGCCTCGAGCTGCGCTACGTCAAGGCCCTCGTGGACCTGCGCTACGCTGGCCGCGACGTCGACCTCTCCGCCATCGTGCAAGACGGCAGTTTCGGACTCTGCATCCAGCGAGACGGCGAGCTGGGCCAGACCAATTACGCATTCCACGTGCTGAGAGCCGGGGCGTCGTCGTTGGGTGCAGCGGCGTCGTTGCCGTCGTCGTCGTCGTGTTCAATGTCGGCGCCGTCGTCGGCCGCGGCGTCTGCCATGAGTTCGCCGTGCGGCGGCGGCGGCAAGAAGGAGAATGGAGGATTGGCGGCGTCGGCGAGTTTGTGCGGGTCGACGTTGAGTTTGTCGGAGATTGCCGTGAAGGCGGACGGGAGTCCGAAGCAGGACCTGCTTCGGTTGCTCACGGACAATGTTGTGCGGCAGACTTTCCAAGATCCGGTGAGTTTCGTTTCCTTTATTTCTTTCTTTCTTCCCCTTGTTTGAATGCAGTGCATTGCTGTATTCTATGTATTAAAAAATAATCTGCTGTGCAAAATTGCTATTCCCTTGATGCGTTTATGGCTTTGGAAGGTCGCGGGAGTAGAATTTATGATTGTCCGTAATGAAATCACAGAAGGGACCGAGTGTGATATATGGGTTGGACGAACCTGGTAGCAGGTATTTTATCCATTTCACTGCGTATACGGTAATCTTCGATCTGAGCAAGATTATTCGAAAATTATGCCGTGAACATTCGAAAAATTACTTTCCTTGAAAGTGGGCTGTTTTGGAAGGTTTTTCTATTATCAACGGAAGGCGATTTTCTACATGGCCGAAGTAGCAATGCTATAGTGTACATTATTTTTTAGTTTGGGAAGGTCTGTATCCATGTGCTCTGATCTGTTATCAACACAGGATAAATATACATCAGCTCAAGTAGATTAGCTGACAGCAATGATTTGAAATATTTTCTTGGAGACACATTTATTGACACATCCATGGAAATGGTGCCAGAGACTACAACATAATTTTACTTGAAGGAAGAGAGAGATATTCAGCATTTCTTACTTGGATATGAATCAATTCAAATAATCATCTGTAATTCCATTACAGTACTGTACTTCCAAGTTGTGAAGTCCATTCTGCAGTTACTCAGGTAGTTTGAAGCTTCCCAGGCTCCATACGGAATCTGATTAAAAAAAAATACAATGTCAATAATGAACTGTTGACTTGATGAGGTTTCTCAAAGCCTCACATTTCTTTCTCAAAATGGCACCACGTGCGTTGGTTATGCGATTGTCTGTGGGCATAACAGTGAATATTTGCTGGGAAGAAGATGTGTTCAAGGAGCTGGATGTTTTGTTGGATTTTGTGGTTGATGGGATTTGAGTCTTGAATGCTGATCCAAATCCAGGAATATTCTTCAAACATGGCTACAGATTTAAAACATGAGGATTAGTTGAAAACAATATCAGCTGATTATGTAATCACCATCCTCAGTCCCATAGTGCTCAGGACCACTTTCCTGACTCTTGAGTTGAAGACCACATGGAAAAAGAAGATGAAAACTCCTTGGAGTGAATTTAGTGTGGCAAAAATGACAGCAAATATGTAAGTTGCTGCAGCAAAAAAAGTATCTTTCAGAGGAAATTTCTTTTGTGGCATAAAAAAAAAGAAAGTCAAACCCTTGTTGACAAAGAGGAATCCAATGATCCAAGTCAATCCAAGGATTGAAGACAGACTAGCAGAACCCTTGATCCATGAGATAGCCTGTGTCCGGTTGACATTGTGCTGCATGTTCTGGTGGCTCACAGCCATTTTCAGGCCAATTATCAGAAAGACAAAGTTTATCTGGAAAGACAGATCAGGATATCACTTTTATTATGGCCATGAAAATCAATGATCAGTCTCACCAGAAGGATTGCCAGAACAGGTCCTGCAAATGCCCAAATGTATCCATTTTCTCTGCTTATCCAGCAGCTGAGAAAAATAAATAAAAAGCATCATCTAAGTTATCAAACATTGATGGTACTTTTCATAACAAAGCTTACTATTCTTCAGATTCATAGCATTTTCCTCCACTAGCTGCAGCAGTGGCAGCCACAACTAGTGCTGGAACTCCATAACCCAAGAGGTAATAAATGCCAGCACTCACTTTAGAAGTTGTGAAAACCTTTTGAAAAGGTCTGTTGCATTAAAAGTTATTTTGTTTGAAGCTGAATTCCCTCACCTTGACAAGCAGCAGATAAATCTGGATTCCTTCAATAAGCATCCACATGAAAGCAGAGAGAAATAGAAAGTGCAGCAGAGCTCCAACAATTTTGCAGTAAACCTTGTCATCAGTCCTGTCTAAACCTGTTAGCAAGAAAAACTGGGCTGCAAACAAACTTGTGCACAGATGCACATGCATGATTTTCCTGTCTGAAGGCAGAGCATCTGTTCCAAGAAAAACCAGTGTAGCCATGGCCAAGCATGCCATTGACAATGCTGATCCAACGATTGTTATTCCAACCATCAATGATTGTCTCTGAAAATCTCAATATATTCGAGTTGGTAATTTAGTTGTCACTTGATGTGTTTACTTACTTCAGGATTAATGATGCTGTGGATGTCCATGAGAACAGCAAAGTTGGTTAAATGAGTGCATTTGCAGGTTGTGAAGTTGTCAGCACCCTCAACAACATGGCATCCATCATCAGACCATTTTTGATTCAGAACACTCCAGAAAACACAGAACACCTTGAAGTGAAAAGAATTTTGTATGATCTTCATAATTGGATTCTGTGGAAATGCCTTGATTCCTGAAGTACAGTACTCTGGAACAGTGCTTCCCAACCTGTGGTCCATGGACCACTGCTTGTCTGTAGTTTTTTTGCCAGTCCATGGGAAAATTTCTCAAGCATAACAAATTCATAAAAGCCATCAATCAAGGACATTACAGTATCTTTATCTGAAATTTTTGCAAGGCAATTGCAACTATAATTATCTCATGAAAAATAAAAGTTGACTTTTCCCCTAATGACACTTCAGACAAATTTTCACCTGATAAAATGAATTATTTTAAATGTTCATTCCAAGAACATTTCTTTCAAGCCCACTCTCCTAATTTTTTGAAAGCATTCCACTATACCTCCTTCATTGGTTCTCAACTTGATTTTGTTTGCAAAAGAGCAGAAACTTCTTCAATATGTGCCATAAAGTATTTCAGGCAAAACTTTTTTGAGTGTGCAAAAATTTCACAACATTTCACCAGTCTCCAGATTTTTTTTTTCAATTTGCTGGTCCAAGTTCATGGAAATTTGCCAGTTCGCAGGCCCAAAAATGTTGAGGAACAAAAAACTTCCTGTATTGGAAATTGTGAAAATGGAATGGGCATCCGCATGAAATTAGCTTGAACAATGAACTGATGCCCAAACTGTGAAACATATGCGTGGCTATCAAAATAAATCATAAATGCATGCAAAACTTGAAATTTTATTGAAAATTTAGAATTTTCAAAGCTTAGATTTTATGCTCTGCATGTGTTGAACAGCCAAGCCAGTTTCAAAGTACGTGCTGCACATTAGATGAAAAGGAAAATAATGAGCTAGTTTATCATGAAAAATACAGAACATAAAATTTGAATTACGTGCCAGTGCAAGTTCATTAAATATTGTACAATAGTTTTAATTTTTCACAACACTTTTTATGCTTCTCCAAAAATCTCCACCCCTGGAAAATGGGTTCAAACACAATAGCTCTCTTCAAACTGTGATCCAGGAATTAATTTCTAAAACTTGAACGCAAAAACAACTGAACTAGCAATTAAAGGGATGATCACTTACAGGCTGCATACTTTTCATTTTGGCAAAAATGAGGTCATCAGCTGTTGCAATTTATGAAATATTGTTGTTGTTTCAAATATCTTAGTGTGCCTTGAGTCCAGTGATTGGTTTCAGGTACCACTGTGAAAGAGCTCACCTCAGTGAGGGGATCAGGTTTTGGAGCTGAGTGCACAAATTTAATCAGGGGTCCATTGTCATCAAGTTCATAATGGTGATTTGCATGTCCAATAGAAGCACCCATTATGTAACTGTTGATGGTAGTATTGAATCCATTCATCTGATGAATTGCATCTACAAATGACTCCACCTTCAAGGGTTTCACAGTGACATCATCTGGATCAATTGTATCTTCAAAACTGGAATTCTAAATGTTTTGTCATCCAAATGGAAGGCAAATTACAGAGCTACTTACCAGCTTGGAATCAATGGTTTTCCTAGAACGCAATGTAAACTGCTAAAAGCCACAAATACAACATCAATGCTCTGAGTTTTCAATTCATTGAAGACTGTCATGAAAGCCTTTTTTGGAATGGTCAGACTAGAGCCTCTGAATCCAAATGAAACATCAGAAACAGATAGGTGTGAAATTGGCGCTTGCATCATGTAAACAACTGGAAATAAGTTGAATTCATCAAGTAAATAAGTTTCCAATATAATTCTCAAGTGATCTTACCAACATGACTTTTCATCAGGTACTTGACTAGGGTCTCATTTGCATTGCTATCAACTTCTGGAACTTCTGGTTGAGAAGCAGACATCATACTGGCTACATGAAATGCTGCTTTATCAGCATTTACTTGAAAAGCTGTCACAATATCCAGCTTCTCAGCATCAGGCATCCCAGACCACGCACTAACCCCTATGGGATCCAGAAGCACATCTATGATCTCAACCAAACCTTCTGCATAACTCCAAGCTTCCTGGAAGGCCAAGTCATCCACGTTTGTATCATTTTCCAAATGCAGCAATGACTCTGTAGATTCAATTCATGAATCAAAGATTCCTAGGTTTAAAATGCTGTATATGATTCAACACACCTTTCATGACCAAAGCAATATCCATGAGGTCACCAGCAGTGAATTTGGCAGTCTGCATTACTTTGTTTTTCAACTGACACAACACATCTGTAGGGGTTGCATTCTGCTGCTCCATTTGCTGGACATATTGTTCTGCATTTAAACTTGGGGTGAAGCAATGCCTGTGGAAGATGTGAACCATTTTGAATCAGCAAAGAATTTTTAAACATTCCAGAGTTACCAACTCATATTTTTCAACAAATGAAAAATGTGCATTTTTTATATCAAAGCAAGGGTACTTTTTCTGTGTCACTTTAATTGTGACATCATAAATGCCACCAAGAGAATGAAAAAAAATACTATCCTCAATAATGTGTTCAAGTATGTTGCTTAATTACATAGAGGCCTAAAACTGTAAGCCCAGATCTTTACTATGTGCACAATATGAGAGTTTGCTTTCAATTTGTTTTAAAACTTTTTTGAAATTTGCTTTGCAGTACAGTACAAGGAATTTTTTGAAAGTGCATTCCCCTTGGATGGTTCCACAGTGCTAGCACTTGTACTGCACTTGCTTTAAAAAACATGACCCATTTTAAATAAAAAATTGTTCATGTGTTATGAAGTTACAAAAATGTCATACTAAAATAAACAAGAAGACTTCACAAAGTGTTGCATATAAAATCCCACAATGAATGGAACAATTTTGGGTACTTTCCTGTTATCTCAGTGCCCATTTTTCTTTGTCTTGTGAATTCAGTATTTGTTAGGTTAGGTTAGGTCAGGTTATGTTAATTGAAAGATATTTGTAATTAACATAACATGACCTAACCTAACT